ATTTCCATTTAAGTACCTTATTTAGTCATGATATCGATTCAGTTATATGGGGTTTTGCGGGATTTTCAAATAAACTGCATTCCTCATTGTTAGACTGAGTTGAACAAACCAATTGAAACATTTTGAAACAATGAGAGAATACTGTATTACAAACCCACAACATATTTGCACGTTCGTTGATACAGTCTTTAGCGTAGTATCCATGCATCAAAATGACCATTAATTACATCAACGCATTCTTCTCATTCCATTATTAAATCCATAGAATTTTAATGCTATTTTTATTTCAATATAATACAATATCGAATTGCGACAAAAGTTATTTTTAATAACCTAAAGGCTTTTTTTTCAACGCTATAATTTATAAATTGTATTTTCTCTTAATTAAATAAGTTATTCACATTAGGAGTTGATGCTTAGTTGTGATATAAATTCTATTAAACTTTAATTTCAATTTGCTTAAAGTTTTCATCATCGTTATTTCATCATGTTTGCACTTTGTTAATCATAATGCAGGATACGTGCGTACACATTGATTAATGTATATATTTGAAAGAAAAACTCTCTCATACTTTTGACTGGAATCATGTTAAATAAATGTTATGCCAAATTGAGTTGCTCTAGAGATGTGAAACTCATTTTCTTGCTGATATTCGATGCTGAATGCCTATATTTTTCGCAATTATATTGTTAAATATGCGTCTTGAAGATGAACATGATCAGAATAAGGGCATTTCATTGAATTGAAAAGTAACGTGTTCTAGGTAAATTCCATCAGAATAAATTCAAAGGTGCATTCATTCACGCGAAAAGAATGGCATGAAGAAAAAGTTAAGCTTGTACGAAATAAAATCACAGGTTTCGAAATAAATTTCTGTTCAAATGGAAAATTGAATGATTTTTGTAAAAGAAGTTCACAAAAATTATGTCGATATTTTGTTTTTTTTTTCACATTCCATCCACGACACAAATCGAAATGGATTTTTTTTACAAGTTAAACGGAATAATAATTTTTTTTTTGTGCGTCCTGTTTTATATTTTATCTTTTTTTGTGAATGTCGTAAATGGCAATATTTTCTATGCTTAAATTTTGTTCACAAATTACATCATATGCGGTTTACTCGTTGATTTATGAGCATTTAAACAAAAAAAATTTAAACTTGATACAACTACGGGAATAAAAAACTGATATTTTTTTATGTAAAATGCATAAAATAACATTATTGACATCATAAAATGGTTTAATCCTATTGGAGCTAGAACGAGAACTTCATTCATTTTGACTACATACGAATCCTTTTCAGAAGCAATGCAGGAAAACACCGTTTATTTATCGAACGATGAATTTCCTTTTTAGTTTGGCGTTTTGAGTGTTGTCGAACACACCTTTGAAGCATTTTACTGCAACGGCGAATAAGATGAAATTTAATTTCGCCTTAACAAGCAAATAGAAATGAAGAAAAGAAGAAGAAATGCATGTGATTCTGTTCAAATATTATTACCGCTACCGTAAACTATTGAGCACTTAACATCTTCATTTTTCTTTGGCTGCTTTCTTTTCGTTTCTGCACACCGTTTTTTTTCTTCTCTCTGTATTGTAACTTTATAAAGCGAATGTCGCAATATATACATTTTCCAAGGGGCTTATGACATTTGTGAATCGCACGAGTCTCATGTAAATTATACGAATCAATAAGAGTCTTTATGTGATTTGCGAGTCCCCTTATGATTTTTGAGTCAGTAAATAGTCTCAATTTTATTTTTTTATTATTTTTATCAAGATATATATATATTTTTTATTATTATTTTTAATAAAAATGTGATTTGTCACATTTCAAAGGCACAAGAAAATATATTTAAGTGTTGAAATACCAAAAATTGTTCAAACTATTTTGCGAGAAATGGGATTTGGTTGCCGAACTAGTTTATCTTTTATTACAACAGAAACTGTAGCTGAAATTGAAGAATATGTAATCGAAAATCGTGAAATATTAGCTATATCAAGCCATGAAAATAAATATTCCTTCAAATTTTTGCCCGGATCTATACAAAACATGCCAAATTATATGAATTAAAAAAACTGTGAATCAATCATCGAACAGAAAATGAATTTGTCACAATTTCCGTATTTATTAAAATATTTCATGGAAACCGTTCAATTGTATGTAAATTTAAGTGCTAATGCCGGAAGAGTGAAGACATCCAATCATTTTTTATGATACATTTTTTATCATTATCTATATGATGAGTGAAGAGTATTTTTATAAGACATTAGCTTCTAATTTGCCGATCCCAAAATGCACTTTTTTTAATATCAAACAGAAAGAAATTTGATTCCTTTGGATGCTAGAAAAATTATATGTCTTCGATTAAACGTTGATGATATTTGAAAATTGTGTGCGTTGTGTATGAAGTGACTCGTGTAGCGGTTTGTATGAAATTTTCACGAGTCAGCACTGACTCGAGTCAGTCATAAGCCCCTTGACATTTTCTCGTCTACAATATATACCATCATCGTCTATTGGCTGCCGTAACATGAGTAATGTCTACAAAATAAGATATCTTAACATGTTTGGATTTGTTCATTATTACAACATTGCTTTCAGTCAATACCAGTTACCCGTACATTTCGTTCAATGTTCGGAATTGCTCAGTCAAGCTATAAAAACATCACCGAAGCGTTGAAAATTCTAGATGGTTTTACTTTTATGAATATTAAATAGCATTTCATTTAGTTGACACTCTATTATCGTTGCGTGCCTTGGATGCCAAACCCAACTCAAACTCTCTTGATTTGGTTTCGGTGTCACTTGTGCGAGGGTTGATGTCGTTTTCGTTTCGGAACGGTGGATAGGTCCGATTGTACAACATACAATGGTGTAAATTGAACGAAGTGAAAACGGTGTGGTTTTACGTTTTATTCAATTCTCCATTGGATCAATCGATCCAACTTTCCGAATAATTAAATAACGCACATTTCTCTCTCTCTCTCTTCCCTTTTTTCTCTGTCGCAACACCATTATTGAATATAAAAAATGTATACACTAAAAAATTGATAAGCTTTAAAGTAGCACACAGACGCAGTTTTTCGCTTTCATTTCGCCGTATTTTTAGCTGATGCATTTTAATTATTGATGGAAGTAAATTTACCATTGCTTGTCATTCATTTGGGATATGTCGCAATATCAGTTACTGTTGTTGTAGTTATGCATGTATGTGTGTGTGTGTGTGTGTGTATGCACTGTGCATATCCTAGACATGTAATAATATTTGTTATTTGTGCCAACATATAAATAGCTCTTCTTCAACATCAAAATAAACATCAATGTCTGTCAATTGTATTACATTTGGATACATTTTATATCAAACTTAATACTGAGTCGCAAATTTGTAATCTCAAAAAGCTTTGCGTGATAGTTTATCGAGTTCATTTTTCAAAATTAACGATTCTGCAATCTTTTGAATGGAATTCGTTCAAAATCGATTTTATTCGATAACTTACAATTGTTCAGTTGCTACCGTCTAGACGCATTCTAGAGAGAATAATTGTTGCAATTGCATTCGAACTGTATTGAAAAAAAGAAATGGCAAGATTTTGTTATCGCAGCTGCTGTCTAGTCGTCTAATGCATAGAACTCTAAAATTACTATACAAACAAATCATTGAAATATGATTGTACGAAACATGACTTATACGCAAACAGAGTGTAATGAAAATTGCAAAGTTTTGATATGGCTTCATATATCATACTCTCAATTTGCTTGAATGCAACCCCATGACCGATTGCAAATGCCTTTGCCGCATGTCAAGCTTCTTTGCATTTTATCATCCAAGCTATTCACCTATTAATTACATAGTTCTAAAATGAAATGAATCCGAATAGTTTGTTCAAGCTGTGTGTGCCGCATGTACTTTATGAACAGCCATTGAATGCGGATGGTTGTGGATAATGTTGTGAACAGAATTTCGAGAATTAAATGGAAATTCATTTCGAGTATATCGTACTTGAACATTAATATTTTAGTTTGTCGAATAGTTTTGGTGAAATGAACGCTTCTTAAAATGAACTCCCATTTCAATGGGCAGCACAATGCAATTGACATGTTTAAGGTAAAACGAATTTTTGCACATGAGTATGACACTTTTTGATGATAGATCAAATTTACTATCGCTATTATAAATGTTGAAAAATACCGCTATTTTTCCCTGTATTTTATGCATGAGCGATGTCTCTTTTACACTTTTTACACAGGAATATAATAATATGTACAGTGTCGAACACGAACATAAAATCACACCTTAGTGTATAATTCGTCTCAACATGTGTCGACATTATCGTCAAACGTACACTACATTGTTCCAACATTGTATGCTTTGTGTGTTGAGAGAGGAATTATTATAAATTCACATACTCACACATACATATACATCCAGAAATTGGACCATATTTAAATTTTTCTTCATACGGTCATATATGATTTTAAATGTGTACATTATTATTATTTGACAAAAAAAAAATAATTTCGATTACAGGTGCTTCCAAATGATTGAAATTTGATACCATTGATATATTGATTGTAATTGTATATATATGTGTGTGTATCCATCTAAAATGAATTATACAAACATTTTACCAAGTATCGTTAACTGGCACTTCAATGGTTTCCAATTGATTGAATACTTCAAGCTGATTTTTATTGGGGTGCTTTTTTTATAATGGCATTTTTTTTTCGCTTTCAAACAAAAGCAAAACATTTATTAACGATCCACATAATTTGATACATGCACATACATGGCCATTACCGTGACGATTACACATTTAACTTCGCCTTTGGTTCTTTTGTCTGAATCAATGATTTTCTTCCTCCTCCACCACTGAGTGCACACCAACTTTTCACATAATCATCGATCACGACAATGGCCAAATTGTAATTAATACTATTTATACAAACAATGATTAAATATTCAAAAGGTTTCTAATTGATTTGAATTTTGCTTACCTTGAAATGCGAAAATTATAAGAACAGTCTTTAAAACTTGGTCATTCTTTCCAATACCCATTCTGTGTGTATGTTAGGCTTAAAGAAAGTATGATTCGTATCTTTGCATGGATTATACACAACGTCGCGTAAGTTCGTTTCTAAATCGATTATCTGAAAAATGCGTTGAATTCGAAGTACCGATGTAGTTCGTCAATCATCCAAATATGATCATCAATCGAATTACGAGTTTAAAATTTAAACGAAAAACTATTATAGTATTTCACTTTTCACAGAAATTATCGATGTATTATCATATAATTACTTATTTTATAAGTATGAATATATCTAGATTAGCGATGCAATAGAAAAATTCGGTGTTTTGAATATTCACACGAGTTACATAGTAAAAAAAAATGAATTGTAACGGAGCGAAACCGATTTTAAATGGTAATTTTTGAATGTTCAATGTCGTTAGATTAAGTTAAGTTACTTAGTATTGTTGTTCGAAAACATTTGTGCGGTAACAAAATTATAAAAATTAACTATATTCATGTCGTTTTGGCTTGTTCACACGAAAAAATAATGTTTTTTTATGAATGATTCCTTTTTCGAACGAGTTTCAGTGTGTTTGCATTGCCCGTGGTTTTTCCGTTTGTTATTTGGCCACTGTTCACAACTCACAAGTTTTTTATTTTCACAAACATTGTTGACTTTCATCGGAAGCTTCGTTTTTTGTTTATTTTTTTTTTTTAATTTTATTTAACTATCGATTCATCGTTGCCATCTTTTCACATTGAAATTATATATATTTAATTTACATTATTGCACGATGTGCTGAACATTTTATTTGTATTGATTCATTTTAAATATTTCAATTTATGTCAATAATTCTTTTCATATTGTACGATATGTCGGTTTTCGAAGATTCATGTTCTGATGCATTTGCAACCTGCCGAGAAAAAAAAGGATGTGTTTTTAGTGATTTCTCATAATCGATCAAATTCGATATCGAATTTTATTGCTTGAAATAGAAATAACAGTCAATATTTCAATGCACTACAAATATAGAAGCTTAACGAAAGCAACCATGTTTTTATTTCACTAAAAATATAAATAGCTCAAAAGTTTGGAAAATATTCAGAACCAATGATTTTGAAACCGATATATTTGGATTTATAACGAAAGAAAGAAAATGATTTACATTTTTCTCCAGCCGGATTCTCTTCACAATCACATATTTACAATTTAAATTTTTTTTTGCAGAAGAGAAAAAGAAAACGAATTTCGAGAAATAAACTTAATTGAAATAAAAAAATAAATCTATTATTGATAGTGAATTAGAAATTTTCGGTTCGTTTTCTGATTTGTTGTATTCCGAAACGGTTTTTATGCGAACTGAAGAAAGGTTTCGAGATTTCTATAGACGTGAATATCAAGCGACCTGCCACAAACGACAACACTCAACAGTGTACTGAACGAAATGGTGCGCTATGCTACATCTCAATATGCGAATTGTTGCTTTTGTTGTGAACGCTTTATGGAGTTTCCGTTCAATAAACCGAACCGCCGAAAGAAGGATGAAAAAAAAAACCGTATTTCAAGAATGAGAAAATTTTCCTGCTTCACAAAACGTCGTATCAACAGCCCATTAACCAAAGTAATGTTTAGAGTGCGAAAATATTCACCTCGCAGTAGACTTTTTATATTCATAAAATGATGTTGATTATAAGCGAGAACCATGCAAAGTGAAATGTTTTAAAGGAATGCCAAAATGAGAATGAACATTTGCGGATGCAGTGGGAATTTATCTTAAGAATTTTCATTTATTTTTCCGTACTCCTTGCTTGTGATACCATCATACTAAAGATTATTTTATAAATGTCTATAACAGCATTTTCCACATGCGATATCGTAAGTACATCTGTGTATAGCACACCAATACCGATATCAACACACACAGATGTGCTTGTGCATGCATGCCTATTGACCATGGGCAAATACTTTTCCGATTCAATGAGAGAGCGTTTGCAGTGTATTTTGCTATGCCACGGATACGATATGAAGCGAAGAATATACCGTTTCTTAGTGCACGTGTGCTGTAGATGTTGTAGATGAAGTATTGAAAGTCAACAAAATCACTCTCTTGCGATAGGGATGGAGATAGAGATAGTGCATTAGCTGTGACTGTATTATTATATACGCCGAAGTGAAAATCATTTGCCTTATACGGTTCGTGTGTATGTGCAGGAACATCAATTTATGGAGAACGAAGAAAGCTTTCAAAAAAAAAAGAACGAGAAAAAAAACTCAACCATGAAAAGGAAAGGGGTGAACAATTAGAGAGATTCGATGGTTTGTTACGCGTCTTGAAGTGAAAAAAATAATAATACTATACAGTTACATGATGATTCTATCACTTCGCATGAAAGCATTGGAAAATAAAACCCCCAATGTTATTATACGGTGATATTTTTATAGTTTGCATTTATTCACATTGAATGTGATTAACACACAAACAAACAAGTGGTTCAAATTCAGTAAATCAATCGGGTTTATTGTTTGTATCAATACATTTGAATCTAATTTGTAGTTGGTGCTCATTTTGGCTCATACATGGCTTCGGAAAGAAGTCTCTCTCGTTAAATCACAACGTTTTTATTCAAATGTATACATCGATCTTGTTGTTGAATGAAATGATTTAAAGTGACAGCTATTGATTTTACTGTCTTAACTCTGGCATATAACATAATATGAAATTTAAGAGAGAAAAAAAAATGTATTTGTGCTTAACATTTGATAGTAATTATCAAGGAAGTTAATTGAACGGAAAAGAATTTAAATTGCATTTTGAATTTTATACAACGCTCGTCTTTTTTCCTCACTTTGAAATCGGACGTTTCTATGTGAAAATGCTTGAATGGCTTGCATGGTTTACAATTCAACTATGCGAACATTAATTTCGCACTCAAGCAATAATGCATTGTATATTACTGTTGTTTTTCTTCTTTAATTTCGTAAATGTACCGCTAAAATATTTATATTGATTATCCTACGTTTTCTTGACACCACACGCTCTGATAGCGATACCATTTGCCATTTTCTGGTAGAAAGAGACAGACAGAGAGCGATGTATGTGGATAAACTGCCATGCATTTACATATCGAGTATATAAGAAGAAATTATGCTAAAAATTATGTATAAAGTCATCGCATTCGAAACAGGCGTATGGCCGTCGTGAAAGATGCTCTCTTCAGACTTTGTGGAAAATTCACACATTTTATCGTCTTCATCTCACATTTTTCGCACAGTTCCTTTTGTCATAGAATTCTTGCTGTTTGCCTCCCCTTCTCCTTTCTTATTCTCTAATTCACATTCATTGGTTGTAGTAAAAAAAATGGTGATGATGACGATTATTATTATTAGAATTATTATTTCCAATGTGGACGATCTTATTATTTATAAATTCATTGAATATCCTTATAATAGATACGAAGTTAGAACCAAAGTAATAAAGAATGTCCACTCCATAAAAATACAGATATTATCGAAAATTTTGTCATAAATACTTTCATACTGATTTAATGGAACATTCCGAAAAAGAAACTCAGGTAATTTAATATTATACTAAAATAAAATATATTGATGTTTTGTAAACTTTCACTTCTTGTTTATAAACCATATATGGTACATTGTTTTATTAGTAGTGTGCGAAGGGGAGTGGGGTGTTAGGTGGATTCGGAAAATTCTTTGGATTTGCTAGTGTTTTGAGGAGAAGAAAAAACTTTAAATTTCATAGAGTTTTTGTTTAATATTTTTTTATTGTTGGTGGTGGGGTTTTTTGACGACAATTGTGGTTTTGGTCCTCAGTTTTTCCCACTAGATAAAATGGAGTTTGAAAAATTAACACACCTCCTACAAATCTGATGATGAAAATTTAACAATTTCGAGTACTGTAATTTTTTATAAATTCCGTTTTTATTTAATATGCGATATTTTGCTGATTTTATGCGAAATTATTTACAAGCGGTGTATGAAAAAATTGGCCAATTCGCAACAAGTCGCAAGCAATCAGACATTATATTGAGATATTTTCAGCCAGATGAATCAGTTCAGCCAGATATCGTCAGGCACTATAGAGTGAAAACAATAAAAGTGATTGTTATAGTGATTGTAGCAAATGTAAGTTTAATTATAACCATAGCAATCACTTCTATTGTTTTCACTCATTTCAGCGCCTGACGATATCTTGCTGAACTGATTCATCGGGCTGAAAATATCTCAATGTCTGCAGACAATGTTATATGAACGTAAAATAATTCGTACTACTTTGTCCAATCGCAATCAGATCATTTCCCTTGTGCTTGGGTATTGCATTCGTGCAAACTTTGATTTGTGAAAAATTGAATTCCTTTTTTCGTCGAAATAAAAATAATGCGAAAATACCAACCTGCCCGAACTCGAAAAAAAAGCTTTAAATAAGTAAAATTTTGTATGAATTGGGTATAAAATGTTACATAAATATTCGCAAATATTCGTGGATACACGCAAATAAAAAATATTTCTGAGCCTCTAGCTACGAACATAATCTTAAAATATGAATCGGTCAGAATAACAATATCACGTATTCAGTTTATTTGAATATTTTTTGATAGATTAGAAGTGTACAGTGCCTTTGTGTAAGTTCTTCGCTGGTATTTTTTTTGTCCAATACGACAACTAGTAATTTCAATGCCATAATTTATTATGAAAGGTTGTCATGAAACATCACAGTTTGCTTTTTTGAGGAAAAATCAAACTTCTAACTTCTAATTAATTCCCTTTTATGGATTTTCATTAAAAATCAAACAATTATAGGTATGGATAGAAGAAAGATGAAAAAAGAACCGAGTTAACTCAGTTCATGTTTTTAATTTTAAATAATTGAATATGTGATTCATTTTAAAGTGTAAGGATAATAGGAAAGCAAATAGCTATCGAATAGTTCAAAATTCAACTTCAACATTTATCACATACCGATTTCACAGCTCAAGAAAGGTAGATGAAGTTCAGAATTTTTGTTCGAATTAAAATGTTTTGTATGTGACGTTATACACAAAAACCAAGAGAATAATTGCTAAACAAAATGCTTCAGTTTTGTGGGGGATTCATTTGCATTTTTGCTTTTGTTTATTTTCTTTTCTTCTCGCAAATATTTTCATTATTATCGGGCGGGGCGTCTTTTGTATTCGAAACAATGAAATTTTAAATGTAAAAATAAATGAGAAACGTCTCTCATAAGATATGCTGCATTTTCAAGAACAAACGTATTGCACACAGAATAAGTCGAGACTCTATTAAAACTCGCCGAAACCATAAGATTGGAGAATAAAAACATATCAAAACAATACAGATGAACGCAATACTTTAAGATATATTTTCGTACTTTGTTCGAGTGAATTAAAATTCGCATTTTGCAACAATAATGTTGAATGTTGAAAGAGTAAATATTGATTATGACGATTTTTCCGGTTGAAAGTACTTTTTAAGCAGAGGAATTCGCTAATAAATAACGTCAAAATTGTACAGGAAAGTACACATCTTGTACACATGTATTGATCAAAATAAAATTTGTGGTTGGACTCCAGTAATGGCGTTTCGAAAAATATTTAGTTTAAAGTGACCGGCATCAATCAGTAAATCCAAGTGTAAATATGCATTTATCGAATTTATCAATAAACGCTATTAACTTTTCTATCCCTCCAATACAGAAAAAAAAAATTAACTGGTGATACATATATAAAAGAAATAATGACAACAATTTCATAAATGAAAAAAGTCAAACTAAACAATAAACATTTTAATTCTTCTTCGAAGTAAGGGCGGATATTAAAATGAAATGAACGAGAATAGTTTTTAATTACAATTTCTAACAGACCGATAAATGCCGCTTTACCATTTTTTGTGGGTTTGTGTGCTTCAAATGGGATATTTGACGAATGAAAGTGTCTATACTCTTTAGCTCAAGATGCAATAGCTTATGCTCAAACATTTTCACAAAACTGGTAATATGGCAAAAAAATGTCATCAAATAAATAAAACATCCAAATGAAATTAAATCAATTTAAACATCCCATTCAGCGTGTGTCTTACACATACACATGCATATTTATGGCTATAATTCATTTTTCACGGCACAAAAACAAAAACAAATGGGACAAAAAACTGGCTACAAATGATTCATTTAAAAATTGATTAATTAATTAAATGAAAAAATGAGTGAAGAAAACTTCTTATTCTGATACAATTGTATCAGAATAAGAAGTTTTCTTCACTTATTTTTTCATTTGATTAACTGATACAGTATGTTCAACAACAACAATAATTAATTAAAATTGTCAAGATAGAAAGAAAAAAAAAACGTCATCAGAAGTAATACTTATTAACATTGTTTATTTTTTGAGCAATCGCATGTTTTTATTGAAAATGGAGAAAAAAAGACTCAATAAATTCCAATGACCTATAAGTACATATACTTATTTAGTGTAAAAACCAATACGGGAACTAACCTTAGAACTGTTTCTGTGCACATTTTTCTTTTTTAAATTAATTATCACCATTTTACTAACTCATTCAATTAAAACTTCTTTATTAATGTCTATTAAAACATTTATGCCTCAAGGATTGTACTTTCCACTAATTAATTCGTTATATATTTGACACAATGACGGGACAAAAGAGAGATGACAAAAAAAGAAGAAGAATTATGCACAAAGTACAAACAACAGAATAAATATATATATAAAAAGGATTTTTTTAGTTTAAACGATTGCAATAGAGCAAACACGTATAGAACTAATTTTCATTGAGCACAATTAATAAAAAAAGGCGCACATTCATAACAAAAATGAAGAAAGACAATCAACATGCGTGCAGATGAAAAGGACAAGAAACCTTTGTCGGCGTGTGGAACGTGCCGGTTTCAGTATATTTCTATCTACAAAACTTGTTCAATCGTATTTCATCTCATTGTCAATGTATGCGATGTGCAATAGTATGCACCACGCGGCTTGTTGCTATTGCCGTAAAAAATTGCATGGTGAATGGAAAATTGAAAAATCTTTAGGTATCAAGTCGGCGCATTGCTATATGCTCCGTTATTCAATTCGCATGAATTGAATACGTTAATTACTAGTGTGCCTAAATGCTATATAAATCTATGTACAACGTTGAAATGCACACAGAAAATATGATTTTCAATTGTATTCTACAAAAGATTTTTTTAAACATCCATATCGAAATCGTTTGTGTCATTTTTGGAATTTGTACATTTTCCGTTGGAAAAATGGAGTGGCATATTGGTTTTCAAAAACAAAATCGTTTTTATGTGTCTTTTTCTCTGTGTACACGAACAAGAGCCGAAACTTTCAACACTCTCAATATGAGTAAATTCTGAGTACACAGTAGTACCTGTATTCCTTGCACTTTTCAGCAAACGACGAAAACTTATACGAAGCCAAATGAATGAAACGAGATAGATATAGGGGATGTGCAACGTATTGTGACTACAAAAATGAAAGTTTCTATATAAATTTGCGTACGAATGATGAAAATATCGATTGTGAACAGCATCCATATGCGCAGGTCGAAATGCGCTGCATCCAATATACATTCATCATCATGTTCATACTACATTTTGAGTATGATTCTCTTTTATAGTTTTTTTACCATAATAAACGGGTGATATTCGAACTGTTCCGTAAATATTAACGATATCCCCTTCACTTAATCTGATGAGTGGATAGACATTTTCATGAATATCAACATTCATACCGTATTTGATTTATTTATTCATTTTTCCGTGGATTTTTATTTATTCGCCAACAATTTCACATCGAAATTGATGATAAACAATTAATATTTCTCTTGAAATGTAAATACATTTGATTTCATTCGGATTATCAATCAAAAATGGAAGATTTCTAAATATGAACTATCACATACGTTTGATTCATATTAATATTCTCAATCATACAAACGCATTCAACAATGTTATTCAATTGATTCTCTACAGTTTTATATAAGCATGTAACGTTTATTACGTGTCCAAAAACCGTAGACACATGAAATGACCGATGGCATATAAGCTTGTCTATACAATTGGTGCACGTTTTTTTTTTTGGAGAAAAACGTATCCGTGTAGTACACATGCATATTGCGTAAAGATAACTCGCATCGGATATTTTACGTTCATTGCGTTCAACACCAAAAGCGTGCTTTATTACAACATTCGTTTATTGAATGAAAATTCTACTGTTATAGTATAGTAAAATCAAACGTGTGTAAATTTGCCAGGGGCGTTATGTTCAAAATGTATACTATTATTATTGTAAATAGTGAAACATCATGCCAAATAATCTGAATTACGAGAAAATAATAGTATATATTTCGTCTCGCGTTGGGAACAAAATCTTTTTTCGGATCAAAATTTATGACCTTTTTTTTAGGTCCTCACTTTTTTCGTCAAAAAATCCTAGCACAAAGAGGTTTTTATTCTTTCTATTGTACCGATAAATGCTTAGCAAATCGAAAGAGCTTCTACCATTTCAGAAGAAACTGATGACCTAGAAAAGGGTTATTTTCTAGGGTCTCCAAGAATGCTGGTTTCGGAAAATATTTTTGCCGGAGCGGGGGGAATTCGAGGGAAATCCGAACACTAGCAACACTTGTCAACAACTATGTCATGTTTATGATGAATAAAACGTATGTAAAGTTCTATGCACAAATACATAACAGCCCCTAGTAAATTTGGCTATGTATCAAATAAACGAGTTGGCTTTAATATCGAAGCTTCAATAACGATAACGCAATGCATCGTCAGTGGATGCCATTTATTGTCCGTTTTTTTTTGTTGCCAGTAACAAATATTGATCGAATTTATGAATATTGAGACTAAAACTAGTTACTTTTTGAAACAGCCATTGTATATTTTTTTTCATGAATACCGTTCAAACAGGTTTACAGGTAAAGTGAGCCATCATCAGAATTAATAAATGAAATTGGACTTTAAATATAAGCAAGCTTTCATTCAATAAAAAACATTTTACTTTTTTAAAGCCTAGTATGCATATAAGTTTTGCTGTAATTCAAGTCAATAAGCGAAATCACAAAATAAAACCTGAGATCAAGAGCTTTATTTTTCTTTTAAATTATTTCTGGCACAAACACCTGTGTCTTATAAAAAACATCTGAATATAGAGCAGATTCCATAAAACTTCTTCAACGCCAATACCTTTTACGACTGCAGGAACATTTCCAGAAAATACTTTTTTCCAAACGAACGTCTACTCGGAATTAATTTCCTGCACTCTTCTTATACATCTGAAGAGTTTTTTGGATTTTGTTTCTGGTGCTTGATAACGAAATACAGGGGTCCAAAAAATAATCACCTCTATTCTGAGAATATGAACAAATTATGGATTTAAAAATACCACTGGCCGATATAAATGTTAAGATCAAGTTTGTGATTCACAGACATTATATTGAGATATTTTCAGACACCTGATTTAGCTCAGGAAGCTAACGTCAGGTGCTGAAATGTAATGAAAACATTTATAGAAGTTATTTATGTCATAAAAACGCTACAATCACTTCTGTTACTTTCAGTCCATTTCAACGCCTGACGTTAGCTCCCTTCAGTTGGCTGAAAATATCCCAATTTAATGTCTGGTGTTTCATGAATTCGTCTGAAAAACATCATAAGAACTTTCATATCAAGACAACAAGACTTCATTTTTGAATAAAAAAAAGTTGTTTTTGGTAAATAAATTCTAGCTCATGCTGATCATTGAAATAAATTCCAAGATGACATGAAACAAGTGCAACAAATCTGATTCGGTGTCATTCAAATTAAAAAAAAAAAATTGACACATTGGCGCTTGCAAAATTATTTTATTCATCAATTCTCTAGCTACTTAATAAAACAAACATGCAAACACCGCTTTATAATTCTGAATTATAAATAAAGAGTGCGTCTGAAATGTATCTGCTTATATTAGAGTCGCACTGTCACAAATTGACAGCACAAGTGTGTGTTGAGTCAATGACACATCGAGACCGTAAATAAGTCTGAAATCAGTTCTTTTTTTGTATTCGGATATATAAGGAATGGTTTAAGGAGTCGAATGACATAATCGACATAATCATTGTGCTCAGAACATTGTTTATATATTATTTGATCAGGTTTTGAACGTCGTCACTATTTTAAAGGCGCAAATAGGTAAACATAATCATTAATTTCGTCATTGGGAAATTTTCGTTGTAATAATAAAGATTTTTTTAATTGTATCTTTTGTTAATTACGTTTCAAATGTACGATACAAAAATAAAAAACGACAAATAAAAGAAGAGTGAACGGCAGAACAGAAAACAGGAATTGAAACAAGAACTGACACATTTGTGAATGAATCGAACGTAAAAAGAGGAACAACAACGTTACATTGCCAAAATCAAGCTCAGCGTCGAAAGTGTCTGAGGTTTGTGTTGTTTTGTTTAATTTATATATTTTTTTAAGAAGTTAAAGGAATCTTTTAAAAAATGGAGCCCACTTTTTTCATTTCATCTGAATTAGAAGTGAAAGTGTACTTGTTCTTCTTATTTGAAGCAAAAATGGCCAGCAACTACATAGCAAAAGGGATCGTGTATGTGATTTCGGACATTTTAAGTCTGGTCACCGTTGTACTGTGTATGGTTCAAAAATTACCACAAATTCGTGATATATACACTTATAAATCTGCCAAAGGTAATCCATCTCACACTCAAATGGTAAGAATGTCATGGATAACGATTTTAATTGACAGGCATTAGTGCGACTTCATTGATGTTGGAATTATTTGGATACACAGTGATGATGCTTTACAACTATACCTATTCTTATTCGCTGCTTTCATATTTGGAATATCCAATTCTTCTTGTTCAAGAGTATATTTTGGTTGCTCTCGTACTTAAGTATAAAAATATGCTAAACCAAAAAAGTTTCACGGCAATCGGTATATACTGGGCTGTGGTTCTATTATTTGCATACCAAATATGTCCGAGATTCTTGTTGGCCATGGCTGTAGTAAGTGTGATTTTTGATTTTTGCAGATAAAAGCAAATTGTTTTTGCTAAATTGTTTTTTTTAAATAAATATTATAGCCATTCTGTACACCAATTGGAGCTACCAGCAAAGTTCTTCAACTATTGGAAATTCTGCGAACGAAAGATTCAACCACTGTCAGTCTTACGTCTTGGTTTTTGTCCGCCTTTACAAACTTGAGTAAGTCACATTTTTTTGATCATTTTGTTTTGCTAATTTTACGTTAGCAATTTATTAATTTTGTTTTGCTTGTGTTCTTACACACAGCTCGTGTTTATACCACTTCCGTTGAGACTGGCGACACCATGCTGCTGATTAATTTTACCATTTCATTTGCACTCAGTATGTCAGTATATTTGGCGGCATTCTATTACAAACGAAATCGCCCAAAAATATTCACCCAGAAAAAAGTATTTGTGATTAACAAAGATTGAACTGAAAATCGAATTGAAAACGAAGCTATCAAGCGAGGATTGCATAAATGCCCATGACTAAGATTTATTCAATGTTGACAATAACATTTACTAAACGTTGTAAACACATTAATTTAACTAGTCATTGAAAATCGAACTTTTTTTTGTTGCTTTTTTGTTTTTGTTTACATTATATGATTTTGCTTACGCTTTCTCATGCAAATTGAATTAATTGAAAAAAATGTATACCGAATTAATTTTAACGAAAAAAAAATGAAATTATATTTTTGATAAAGAACAAAAGAAAAACTTGTACGAATGTTTAATTTTCACAATTCGTTCATGGACATTTCAAATAAAATTTTATGTTATGCTTTAATATCTTTTGTACAAAAATTTATTAGATGTATTCATTTATTGATGACAATGGTGTATTTTAAGAAAACGAATACTTAAAAACATACAATTAAAAAGAACCATTGAGATCTTATCAAATACCAGCGATTTAAATTAATGTGGACAATCAACTTTTTTCGGATTTTTGGTGTCTTTTCATATGGGAGATGTACGATGACGTTTGACTCAATCTCTTAAAACATATTTGACACTCGAATGGTTTTTCGCCGGTGTGCGTCTGCAAAAAATAAAATAAATAACAATATATAAAAATAAATCTAAAGAAAACAAAATTATTGACTACTTGTAAATGTCGTCGAAATGAATTTCGATGTCGAAAACTTTTGCCACAGTCATCATAAGTACAATGGAATGGCTTTTCACCGGTGTGAATGCGTCGATGGTTTCGATATGTAACCAGTTGTGCAAAGCCTCGCCCACAATCCTCACTGGAATAATCAATAAATATATGATCAACGGAATATTTTATTATGTCTCATATGACTCACCATTTATATGGTGTTTCTTTTGTATGAACGCGCATATGCAATTTCAGGTTAGTGGCTAACGACAGAGCAAAAGAAACAGGAACCAAAAAAAAATTGTATATTTAGATTTTTTTTTCAACAGCAATAACAAAAATCGGTGTCTGTTATACCTTGTTTAAATTTTTTATCACATCCCGGCTCAGTGCATGGGAATCTGAACTCATCGCTGTGCGTAAGCATGTGTGCTTTGTGTGTACTAATTTGCGCAAATGACTTCCCGCAAATCGAACATTGATAGGGTTTCTCATTAGTATGGATTCTAAAATTGGAATTCGGAGGAATCAATTTATTGAATGAAAGAATATTGACGTTTGTATTCGTCCTTGAAATTCATTTGTTTACAAATTGTAAACGATTTTATCTACCTCACGTGTGCTTGATATTGTCCAGAATGATCAAATTTTTTTTCACAAAATTCGCAGGTGAATGGATGCGATCCAGTGTGTTCTCTCATATGAAACTTGTACGTTTTTGTATCAAAAAATGACTCATCACATTTTACATTATTTTGATCAACAAAATCACATTTATAAGGTCGTTCAAGAGTATGAAATTTCCTGCACCGACAAACATTTATTTAATTCATTTAAAATTATATGTATGTGTGTGTGTATAATGCCAAAATTAATACCGAATGTGCGCTTTGTATGGTTGTAATTGACTAAAGCTCCGATCACAAAATTCATATTTGCATTTGTAGGGCTTCTCTCCAAAATGATATCTGAACGCAGAAAAAATAGTGAATTTTTATTGAAAATATTTTACCGTAAATTATATATATATAAATACCTTATGTGCTCAGCCAATAAGCTGCTAATGCGATACGCTTTTTGGCAGATAAAACACTCGAACGGTTTATCAATTGAATGTTTTTCTCGCATGTGTTCCGTAAAAAAGGGCGATTTATCAAATTGGATATTGCAAATCTTACAGTTGAGCAATTTTTTATCATATGCTTCATTATGTACCGCTTCTTTTGGAATTTCATTTCGTCTGCTATATTGCCTTGTTGATTTTTCTGTTGAAATTTCTACCTGAAATGGTTTCAATTAATAAACATATTTTGTTTATTTCGAATTCATTGCAATTCATCGTCTCACCTTCTTAATATCTTTTAATCGCTTTTTTGTCACATTGGGCTCTTTTTTAACTTTCGTTTTACTCGTGCTGGCTTCTGCAGCCACATTTTCTATTTTAGTCTTGACCTTACTGCCTTTTTGCTTTGATTTTGTCTCGCATATAGGTGGCTTACTCTCAGTCTTATCAATTTGTTCCGATTTATTTGCACTTGGATTTGTGATGTTGTCGTCAATTGGCAAAATTTCTTCTAAATTTGGCTTGGTTTCATATTCATCTGATAAACTATCGGAATCATAGCATTGCACATTATCCTCTATATCGAACGAATCATTGCTACTTTCGCAATTTTTTTCAATTTTTACCGAAATATTGGGTATTTTGTCACTATTTTCATGGGAAACTTCCTGTTTTATTGATTCAGCACCAACTGCATCGGCTATGCTATTTGATGATTCATCCGAAACCAAATGGAACTGACTTTCGTCGTATACCGTATCATCCAATTGAAGTTTTGTTTCTTCTTTGTCTTCAATTTCGAAATTTGATTCTAATGGATCATAAAAATCATTGTCATCATCGACTAAAACCAATTCCACTTCACCAAATTTCGGATAAAATGTATCCATTTTATTTAATGGAGATAACACGTCAAAAATATGATTGAAACTCTACTATGAATATTTCGTGTTATTAATAAAATGATTGTGGACAGCTGATGAACATATTTACACTTCAAAATTGAAAAAAAAAATTATAAAATTAAAGCATTTGCGATTTTTTTCGATTAATTTCAAAACTTTAAACCGAGAAATAATTTGTATTGACTTTCGATAGATAAAAACAAATGCCAAAAATTACTTGACACTGAAAGAAGAAACACACTCACTTTTGTGTTTGGTATGAACGTACCCCAAATCATTTCGTATTTTTTCGAGTCCATATGACAATGTTTTGTATTTACACGTGCCATTTACCAATACATATACATCATTTTTATACTTTATTCAAAATAAAATAGTAAATAAATTTTTTTCCAAGTGGTCCAAAAAGAGCAATTCGATACTCGAAAGAGCTCAAATGAAAGAATCTTTTTGTTCGTACTTAATCGAAAGCCGTTGAAAATAAATGCATTATATTGTTATTCACTTCCGTGGTCGTATTTTTATTTTATTTTTGTTGCTTATATTCTCTTTTCTCCCTCATTTTTTTGTTAAATGTACAACACTTTAGTTTTTTTTTTATAAAAATCTGATCGAAGCTTAGGTCTAAGAGCTACACAAGGTTTATTCAAATTTATCTGTTCTATTTTATTGATTAATTGGCTTGCTGTGCCTGTCGGCGCAGTGCCAATCGCCTTGATCGACGGGGCGGAGGAGCTGAGTCCGTATTGTCATCGTCATTTGCCGATGGATCATCTTGGTTAACATCTTTAAGCGAACGTTTTAATTGAACCTTCTTTTTGTGGCCGCGCCAATTTAAATTCACATTAAAGTCCCATGAACTTGTCAAAATTTCACTTCGGCTGGGATGCCAAGCAACATCACGTACAATATCCTTATGACCGCGTACCGAATACATTATCTTACCTAAGGGGAGAATCACAAAAGAAAAGAATAAAATTTAAAATAATCGATAAGTAATCGAAAAATAATCGTAAAACAATCAATAATAATTAATAAGTAATTTTTAAGTGATTTGCCGCTTAATCTTACCAGTCAACACATCATAAACTGAAACAAAAAGAGAGCACATTATTGCAAATTCAACACGAATAAAATGATAATAACAAATGACATACTAATCAATCGTCCTGTTCCACAGCCAGTGTAAATATATCGTTGACCAGTTGTCTCTTGTGGTGAAAATTTCGCTCTGATTAGTGTTTTCTTAACGCGATGGCCTCGATATGTCATTATGCTTGCGTCATCTGATAAGGTTACCGTGTCCGTATAGACTGTAAAAATTCAATGTGAAAATGTTGAAATAAATTTATTTATTGTACAATTGGGTGTCGATTGAGAAGTAGAATAGCGGTAAATTACATTCTTTTGGTACCGTATCCCAACGGTAGTCCCAACGATTATAATATCGTGTGCGTCGTCGTGATGATGATTGATTTGCATCTCCACTAGGCGAAAATACTCGCATATCCCATAATTTAATGGTTTGATCTTTTGAATTTGATATTAAATATCGCGCATCATTCTTTGAATCAATGTATGTGATGCCATCTAAATGGCCAGAAAATATACCGACTTCCTTCGGATTTGTTTCATTCAAACATCGACGATCCCAAATCTGAAACCAGACAATATTTCATAAGTTTCACGTTAAAATCCCATTACACAACGAACGTTATGTAAATATTTCGTACTTTTTTAGGTTTATAAAATCGTTTTTTTTTTTGTAAATAAGCATTTCTTCGTTACAGTCATTTTTTACACTGTGCCATGTTTGCTTACGATTTTATACAGTGTAAGAAACAATGAAAATTTATTCTCAAATTACGAAAGAATGAAATTACGACTGCCAGAGTCATAAATTGATTTTTTTTTAGAGTTTTTCATTCTTTTTGGAGTCAAAAATGGAATCTATTTACCTTAATTATTCCATTATCTGATCCACTGAATATTATATTTGACGTTTCATCGATGAACCCAACAGCATTTACATCTACAGCATCTTGTTCAAACTAAAAAAAAAACGAAAATAATAGTAAAGAATTCAAATAAAAAAATTCACTGTAATATCAAAATGGCGATTACGATATTTACCGGGCATCGGAATGTGCGTTTGGCCATTACTAAATCGTAAATATATAAACAACCATCGCTACCACCACCAATAATTTGATCACCACAGTTTGAGAATGCCAATGAGAAAATGCAAAAACTTGATTTTGATGGTTGTAAATACAACGGTTTTAGCTGATGTGATGTACCATCGATTCGGCTCAAGTGTACTGATGAAATTTAAAAACAAAACAGTAGACATTTAATTATCAAAAACGAAATCCAATTTATTCATGTACTTACAGCAATTTGACCATGTCGAATAGACAAAATGCTCACTGTCCGGACTGAACGCAATATCTAGTATGCACCAGTTAACATCTTTAGCCATTATTTCGTTTTGACATTTGTATCGCATTGTTGTTGAATCATGAATCCGTATCATATTGTCTAAAATATGAAGTCAGTACAAGGTAAATATTTCATTGGAAATAAGAGCGTGATTGTGGTACGCATTGAAATAAAGGTGACAAACCTTGACTTGCAGTCACAAAATGTTTGCCATTTCGTGAGAATATTCCACAAAATACTTTTGCTTCATATGAATGAACCGCTTCCTTTGAATTGGGCAAGTAATTGTTGCTAACTTTACATCGTTCTGGCTGTAGAAATTGGCCCTGTTTGCTTCCGATTCCATTCTAATTGAAAAACAAACGAAAAAAAAAACCATATGGTAAGTCACCAACGTGAAAAAACGAGATGATAAAATTACCTGTCTGTTTTGAAGCATTTTAACAATTGACCATTTGGCCACAGGGCTTGTGTTATCAGTGCCATATCCAGATCCATATTTGATACTTTGATAAATGTAGTTTTTCTGAAAGTCAAAATTTCGTGAAATATTCATTTTGTCATTGTTCATGATTATCAGCAAAATGAATGAATTACTTACTTTCAGTGCTTCTAGGTTAGTTTTAGCTTTGATTTGTGGCATGCAGAATCGTCGTGAGTTGAATGCGGAATTGTCAAAGTTGAATCGATTTCTATACCAATGAAAATAGAATGTGCACAGATGCAGAAAAAATTGGTCAGTTATTAAAATGAATAAATAATTAATTCAGGTCAAATAGAGAAATACAATCACAAAATCGTACGACTCACAGATATTATGTGTATGTTTGTTGATAATTTGTGTTTGTATAATATATAAAATTTGTCATTATATTGTTTTCCAACTTACGTGTTAATGAAACGTTGCAATAGCAAATTTAATAAATCTTCATTTGAATCATTGGGATTTGAATTGGGCTCTGGTTCATTGACATCCAAATACAAATTGAATATATCATAACCAATTTCTATGTCTTCACTGCTGGAATCAGACTCATGATCATTATCCATAATGTTACCCATAAAAATATTTCGCAATCCGTGGCAATCCTACATCGATGAAATGGTCGTCATTCAAAAAACAAAAATATATATATAAAAATTGATCTTAATATATAAATGCAGCGTATTGAATGCAGAATATGGTATTTTCTAAATATTTTAAACAATGAATATTGAGTCTATTTATGCGTGCGTCAAACCGAAATGACTACAAATATTGTGAAACATAATTAGCAACTTAGCTAATGCGAGAATGAAAATCAAATTATAATTGGTTGTACAAAACTACAAAGGAATCATGTTTTAACGATAATGATAAAGCTAATGGTATGACTGAAAATATTCGAGTGTTGTGTCTTATTTAATTCCACAATTGTGCGATTGCTTACCCGATAAAATAAAACAAAAAGAAACGAGACTATTTCAGACAGTTCTATGAATATTTTCCGTCAAAACTTTCAATTTACATTGAAACACACGACAAAAAATAAATATACACTTGATCTAAGTCAATACTGACAAAAGAGTTTTTTTTTTTTTTTGCAAACACTAAAAAATGTATGTGTCTCTATTTTAGTTGAAGCAAATTCAATTGCCCGATTCTGTTGCTTTGACTCATCTATTCTCGTTTCTATTCTTTTGCGTGCAAGTATTTCCTATTGTAGTAAGAAATAAATACGTTTTAAAATCTGATGTTTTTTTTCTTCTCACACTTAATTTCTGGTCAAAAATGTCAAATGATTGTTGATTTTGTTTGGATCGGCCATATTTGTTTTTACTTGTGTACCCGTTTCCATCCCTATTGACGAACCAAAGTGAACGCAAAAATACTTTCTATTATACTAACATAGACAAAGCATTGTAAGGCAAGTCACCTGCACACATACATGCACCACATTTGTATACATGTAAGTTCGCATACATATGAAAGACATGAATGAACAATAAAATGCATATTGGATTTTTATCTTTCGATTTTGACAATTGGTTTCAGTGTTTCAGTGAAGGAAATCAACAACATTTTTTTTGACGACTTTTTGTGATTGCACAATAAAAGAGAACGTTATTTTATATAAGAAAAAGTACAAAGCTCAAGGATGATTCAAGAATACGAAGATGACTATTTTCTTGAAGAAGATAAAATGTGAGTTCATTTGTGTGTGTGGTCTTTTTTTCTCACTATATTTTCTTCATGTACAAGCGTTCTTATCATTGTAATATAAATAACATATGTTTAACTGGGTTTGAGATCGAATGCTTTGAAAGTCAACAAATCATTGATTTGATTTGAAAATGTTCAAACAACTTCGATATATATGAAGTATGATGAAGTAAATGATTTAAGCATTTTAATTATATGCGAATTTCAATAATATGTCGCACTTACATGTATATCAATTGAACTTTCATTTTTAACTAATTTCTATCATTATTTATCTTCAATTACTAACTGCATGTTTGTGCATTTAAAACATTGAACTATGGATAATATATGGGATAAACTAAAATCAGGGGGATGACAGTGTCATCCGGATCAGTTATAATAAAAAAGGATCAAAGTAATTTGATTGGCATTAGCATTGGTGGTGGTGCTCCATACTGTCCATGTCTGTACATAGTTCAGGTAACACACCATTTTTATTTGCAACCAAATATTCCATATCATTCGTTCAGTATTTGTTTTCTTCGACTAACCTACCTTTATAGGACTTGTTGCTTAAAAGAAAATTTATTTCATTTGTATATTGAATAGGTATTTGATGGTACGCCGGCATCGAATGAAGGAACATTACAAAGTGGCGATGAATTGCTTGGCGTTAACGGTCAATCGGTGAAAGGAAAAACAAAAGTAGCCGTTGCAAAAATGATTCAAACGGCCACAAATGAGGTGACCATCCATTATAATAAATTGCATGCTGATCCAGCTCAGGGTGAGTCATTGGATATTGCCCTTAAAAAGCTGAAACATCGTTTCGTTGAGGGAATGTCAAGTAATATGGCCGATTCGCTTGGGTTGTCTCGCGCCATACTATGCAACGATTCACTGGTGAAACGGCTTCAGGAGCTGCAAGCCACTGAATCAATGTACCGTGGCTTGGTTGAACATTGCAAACGGTGAGATCAAATGTGTTATCAAACGAATCAAAAACTAAATATTTTATTTGTTTAATTTTAAATGACAGAATGCTGAAGGCACATTTTGATGTTATTCAGTGTTTTTCACTGTTTGGTCGAAACTTTGCGGAAATTCGTGAACCACAACAAACAGCATCCGAAACATTTCGAATATTTAGTGAAATGCATCGAAATATGGAGAAAGATGGTTTGAAAATGTTGAAAGCTGTTAAACCGGTGCTAAGCGATCTTGGTACTTATTTAACCAAAGCCATACCCGACACAAAATTGACAATTCGTCGATATGCAGATGCAAAATTTAGTTATCTATCATATTGTCTGAAAGTAAAAGAATTGGACGATGAAGAGCACACGTACGCAGCATTACAAGATCCATTATATCGCGTTGAAACGGGCAACTATGAATATCGCTTGATTCTACGATGTCGACAAGAAGCCCGAGCCAAATTTGCATCGTTACGCAATGATGTGTTGGAGAAATTGGAATTGCTTGAAAGCAAACATGCACAAGATTTAGTAAATCATCTTCGAAAGTTAATTGAAGGCTTAGCCAATTATAGTCGAGATATATTGGAAAAAATGCAGGCAAATCCAAATCTATTTCCAATTGAAGTTGATCTCAAACCAAGCGCATTCCAATACAAAACAAATCAGACGGTTAAATTTGAAGAGGAAGATGAAGCCCAAGGCGAAGAAGAAATTCCGATTGAAATGGGTGTGGAAGCGTTTACCACCAAAGATGATAACATTAATAAATCCACGAATATAACATCGAATCTAATATCGGGATTTGAGGAAATCAATCTGGAGTCGGAGTCACAAAGTAGCCAAGATAAATGTTCCACCACCGATCTTTTGATCGAGCTTGGAATTGCGGATATTGATTTATCGTTGCCAACTTCTTCAACGATCAAATCTCAGCCACAAAATCAACAAAATATTTCGATAGAAAATAGTCTTGACTGGTTGGCGGACGATTCAAATGCCTTTTCTGCAGATGCCATCGATGACATTTTCAAATTCAATGCAAACGAAATACAAAATCAAGTAGTTAGCAACAATAATTTACTAAATTAATTTTTAGTTGTTATAAATTAGGGCAATGTCAACCAACCATTTCTAGTCACAAAAATTTGCTACACTGCAAACCATTATTATTATATTTTTTATTTATTATACAATAAAATGACGTGTTTTTTCAGTGTGAATATAGAAATATGTATGTTTTTTCTTCTTTTTTATTGATGGATATTTTAATATGCTTTCTTTGCCTCAATCATTGTCCATTCGGATGAAGTACTTGGGAATCTATCTTGATCCATTTTTCATCGTTTGATTTTGTTGTATGGAATTGCTTTATCGTACCGCGATATGTGTCGATTTTCACAACAACCCGTTGCGAAAACACTTCGGCATTCACGTTAGATTCGGTTCAATGGTTAGTTTTTCATCGTCTCCAAATGCTTTGATTTGAATATTTGGATTTAAAGTGCTTACTTTGGCGTGCTACTTCGGCTTTCGAATGACCTACGTGCAACAAAAATTGTCGAGTCAAATTACTAACGTCGATTGTATCTAAATATATCTGAGAGATTGAAAAAACCAACAAGAAACTATACGTGCTTGCGATTTCAATGTCAGAAAATCCAGACATGACAAGGTTCTTTGCGATTTCAATGTCAGAAAATCCAGACATGACAAGGTTCTTCAAGACATTACAACCAATTCCACCAACTCCAACGACCCAAATTTTACTTTCGGCAATTTTTTGTTAAAACGACGACTCAAAAATACCGCCAATTCGCGCTGCCATTAGGTTTTCATTTGAATTTTACAATCCAATCAAATATTGTGTGCACTTAATCAAACAGTAAATTATTTTGATTTGTAAAATGAACTTAAATTGTTCGTCAGATTTTCGAATTTATTCAAAACAAATATATTCGCACTGATCAACACAACAAGCGCTTCTTCACTTATACACAACGATGAGAAGTTGTATCGGCGTTTGGTAAAATTCCATTGTATACATTTCCATTTGGAGTGCGTTCCTGTTGGATTTTATAATAAAATAACAATAAATGTTGCATTCTTTGTCGAGAATATTTACGAATGTTTCTTTTTTGCTCATAAAACTATGTCAGATGCACATATGAAACAGCTTAAACATTTTCACTTCATTCAAAACAGTGTAGTTATTATTCAATAATGAGACGAACCCTAAACTAGTGTGTTTGTCAATATGCTGTCAACTAGAAAACTATTTGGTAAACATTTTGTGTTACCTTCGCCTAAAAACATGAACTGAAACGAACGAACAAATTTACTTAACAAATTAAGATCAAAACAATAACTTTACGTTTATTTAATACAAAAAGTGTTGTGAATTAGACTGAACACAAAACAAAACAAAAACAAATATGTTGCCTGGTATTGGTGTTTTTGGCACGGCCGCTGAAGTTCGTGTTCTCGTTCCAATACTTCGTGACAAAGGTTTTAAAATCGAAGCAATTTGGGGACGAACGATTCGTGAAGCAGAAGAGGCAGCTAAAGAGCTCAACATTGCATTTTATACAAATAAAATTGACGATGTGTTGCTAAAAAAAGATGTTGATCTAGTGTTTATTTTCTGTCCGCCACATTTACATTCACAAATCTCAGTGAAAGCGCTTGGCATTGGAAAGCATGTTGTATGCGAACGAATGGGCCTTGGTCAAGTGGATGCATTAAAAATGGTCAGAGGATCCAATTATTATCCATCGTTAATATCATTAGTAAGTTTTTCATTGCGATTTTTGCCGGCTTTTGTCGTTATGAAACGTCAATTGAATGAAGAATATTTGGGACCCATCAAAGATGTCTCACTCATAGGTATATGTGATTTTTTGTTATAATTTCAAGTATGAAGCCAACTGAGAGTTTATAATTTTAAATCAATTTTTCTTTAGATGTTCGAGTGCAAATGGGAAGTTTGTTGAATGACAAATACGATTGGCTTTGTGACGCAACCATGGGCGGAGGTGTACTCAATTTGATCGGCAGTCATATAATCGATTTGGTATCATTTTTGATTGGTCGACGTGCGACAAAAGTGCATGGTGTTGTTAAGACATACAATAAAATGACAAAAAATGTATCTGGAATACGTCAAGTCACCGCACCGGACTTCTGTAATTTTCAAATGGAATTGGATGGTGGTGAAGTTATCGTTACAGTTTCAATACTCACAAATGTTTCGACCACAAATTTTTTACAAGAAATTTTAGTATGCGGAAGAGATGGACATCTTATTGTACGTAATGCTGATTTATTTGGCCAACGAAAAACATCCGACAAAGAGGAAACTCTATTTGTGGACAAAGATAATGTGCAAACACCCACCAATACATATAATGTTATGCCTTATCCGTATATAAATGGAATGTGCAAAATGATAAGCGCATTACGCGAATCATTTATTCAAGAACAAAGTAGCTGGGTGAAGGAACCCGTACAATCGGCGGCTAACTTTGATGATGGACTGTATGTCCAAGCCGTTTTGGACGCTGTACGACAATCGAGCGAAAATAAAAGTTGGATCAAAGTTCAGGTGATGTCCGAATCACCAACAAATCATGCGAAAATTATGACAGCAGCTCGAATGTCAGCAGTTGTTATGCATTAAATCAACTTTTTTTTTCCCTATGATTGAGCATTTGTTCTCAATTTGTGTTCAGTGTTAATTATGAAACTTTGAAAACGACACGTAATACAGTGATAAAATGGCTTGGATTGTAAAATAATATACATACTCTTGTTGTTCGTATTTATTCCTTATCATTGAATAGAAATGAAAGTGTTTTTTTAATAATTATTCAAAGAAGTATTACTATCACCACTAAACAACAAAAAAACATTAATCATTGTTCAAATATGACTTTAAGTTTGTTACACCAAATGTTCACATAAAATTAAAGTATGCCGATTTCGATGGGTGGTGCAGTTTAATTAGAAAACTTTTAATTATCTACAAATGAGTTTTCAACACGAATAGTGAACAATGTCCAAGCACACTTTTTATTATGTAACGATACAATTCAAATGAAACATTCTTCATTAAAATTGTAATGAACGGCACAGGTGTAATAAATATCATTAGTCGTCATTTTCAAATACATTTTTCTATTATTAATTCGTTTCAAACATATTGCACATATGATTTTATATTTAATGTAATGCATTTCAAATGTATCAAATTGGCATTCGATTGATTTGATAAGAGACCAGCAGCTATAACCTATTTATTAAAATTAAAAAAAAAAGTTTATTTCTAAATTTATTGAATTTGTACAAGATTTTTCGAATAAAATAAAAATGATTCATATAAAAACGCTTTTCAAACGTCGGTACATGTTTGTCAACTCTTAGATCTATCGGTGAGGTAAACATTGGAAATTATACACAATTTTGAAGGGTAAGTTTGTTTTTTTCCAGAAAATCTGAAGTCTAGTTTCTCTTTAGGAATGAATTTGAAGGATGTGTACATTTGATATAATATTTTTTTTTTACAGATTTTATTTCCATCGTGCTCAAGTTTCCAAATAATAATCAACATGTATCATTTGTTTACTAGTAGTAAATTAACGATATTCTTAATTTTTGTCTCGATCATATCTCAAAAACATATTAATGGTAAGGATTTGACGTGTATTTTTTTTTTTTTTTTTTTTCAAAACAAGAAACCAATCCAATTTCTATAAACTTCTTATCAAATATGTCGACTAAACATGTTAGAAAATGCGAAAAGCATTACAACATTTGTTGAAAATCTTGACATCACAAAAGACATAAATAAAACGATATTTTTTGTACTATTTATTGAATGAAATCGAGTGATCACTAAATTGCGTTCAATACTTTTTTAACATATTTCAACTACATAGCTGCTTCAACACAACAAAGTTTCTATAACGTGAGTGCCAGACTTCCAGCGCACTGCGGTGGATTCATAAGTAAAATAATGTTTTTGTCAAGTTCAAGTGGACATTTTACGTACATTGTTTTTCCGGATTTACCGCATTATCTTGTAACACCATATCAAAACCTACGAAGGGCGCTAACTGATGCCTTTTTCAAAAAAGCTCATGTACAAGTTAATTCTGAAAAATGTTTTCAGGAAGATTATAGTTTTAAATCAGTCACATTTGCCAAATATTTCTAGCAAATGTGTTGCGACATTGATTTTTTCATAGATAAGAATTTATTTAAATGCTAAATAAAAATAAAAATAAAACATTGTGTATGCTTTGCCATCGCACATTTGCATCAAAAATATTTAACTATAAAGACATTTAAATAATAAATCGATTTATTTTCATCTATTTACTAATTGAGTTTTACTTTGATACTTATTAATTTATTTATTCACACAGTTAAGAACTGACTGAATTTTAGTTATTTAACTTCTTTTTGGCCTTAGATAAAAATAATTCGATTTAAAAGCTTGTAGAGCAAGGACAATATCTCTAGAGAAAACTGTTAACATTGATGAAATAACATTTATTAGGATAGGTTCCATTCTTAATTGGAATTTTAATTATATTTTATAACAAAAGATTTCGGGATTGCGGTACGAAAATGCGATTTAAAAAAACTCTACCCAACGGATTTTTTTTTATTCAAATTATCACATATTTACTCGGTTCTCGTTTTTCAATTAAATAATGCAGTTGAAATTAAAGGATTTAGTGTTTCAAATGAAATTAGTTACCGCATGTTAAGCTATGACATACATACATGATATGTGCACATATATACAATCACATCCAGCACTTTCCATCTGAGTATTTGAAAAGAGTTTAATAGACCATAAATATGTACGTAAAAATGATTTTACTGATTACATTCAGCCCATATGTCACAGAGAGAACACAGATTTAATTGACTTGCATTATATAAGTAAAAGATTTATCAGCAATATGTTTTGGCAACTTATACTGCTTGCTTTCTTTGCAAGTGTTCGGGCAACTGAAGAAGAGCAAGCAGACGGTAAGATGTAGCTACAACTATTATAAATTAATTTATATTTGAAACAAGTTTCTGTTTTTTTTAAGGAAACGGAACACCATATGAAGACGTGTGCGTCGGACTGATTGAATCAATAAGGTTTCAATATGAGTTTATAGAAGGGACCGGCAGGAAAGATATTATATGGGTGAACAAGAAAACAATGAAACTCTTTTCATATGTGTCTATTATTTCTATTATTTGTTGATTATTTTGAATTATTTTTATTCGATTCTCCGCTAGATAAAATTGGATTCAGAAATGCAAGAGAACTATACTAATAAGCAAGATTTTGCGTACGCACTAAATGAAGCATTCCTGAGAAAGGCCCGAGTACGTTTGCTGACCAAAACATGTCGTACTGGTGATTTTGGATTTGGACAATTTGAAATATTGGACATAGGACAGCAGAAATAAAAATATTTATTTAAATTTAAAAACAGCCGTTTCGCAATCGGTTTTTATGGTCATTTGTAACAATATTCCGTTAATTGTAATTCGATTTATATTGTTTAGAGAAGAATTCTGAATGAATAAATGTATACACAATTAATAATGCCTTAAAATTAATTCATTGGTGAGTAAATATATACTAACATTATCACTACAGCATAGAACATAAAGAAATTGTGACCAAAATCTCACATATTTTCGATGACACACAACCTGAATTTGCAATTTGAGTATCATGAGTCAACAATGTTCATTTTTCATTTTCAATTTAAATGATTGTGTTTCAAACTAAAGAAAATAAGTCCAAGTTTTTTTTTAAATTCATTTGTGAATTCTTTGAAGCGACATTTTTTTAAATATCCAAGCAAGCGTTTGGTACCTTTTCCAAAAAAATTTTCGTTAAAATTCAATCAAAATTAACTCATTTATGGAAATATTTATTTCATACATTTTTCACACTTAATTATTACACATATTGCTGCCTCAACATATCATAAGAAAAGTCCATGAAAATTTTCTTTTTCGAAATTTATTTTTATCAATTCTATAGAACGTTTCCATTTAAATTAGTTTATGGTTGATTAGCTATGACGGCGTTGCTTATATATTTGAGTATTTATAAGACTTGACTTATTAAGCACTTTCCCACTTATACTTGAAGTGCAGATGACATCACAACTATGTAAGTCAGATATAATTTCGTTGCTCGAAAATATATTGCTGGAAGTCCACCCTGTTTAAACGAATATTTTTTCAATTTTTTTTTTTTTTTTCAAATGTATACTAGCAAATAAGATTGATAGCAATTTGGCGGATATGTTTTTGCTCGTGATACTATCGATTTACCTTTCGATTTCATCAGCTTATGTCAACGTAAGCCATGCAGTCTCTTTCCTTCATCCATATTTTGGAGGTAAGTTGCAACAATATAGCAATAAAGTCGAAATTACTATTTGAATTCAATAAGCTTAGATCTCACGATTATACACGCTTATAAAGATGTCATGTAATAATATCTCACATTTCTATTGTTTCTGCCTTAGAATATGCTGGAAATGATTATAAATATGAGAATTTAATGTCGAGATCGATGCCAACGACTACACCACAGCCAAACATACCTGATTTTGATGAAGGAGATGATAGCTGTGTTGGAAAAATAGAATCAATCCGATTTTTAACTGGACCGTTGCATGGACATATTCGTGATCACATAACTGTATTTAAATTGAATACCAAAAACTTTGAACATCATACGGATGTAAAAGATCTTCGAATTCCCCTATATTTGTCATACAAAGCACAGTCTATTATAAGATTAGATATATCAAATTGTAAAAACAACGAAATTTCAGTTAAGGGATTTACTATAGGTTTCATAGGCAATCCACCAGCTATAACAAATTTTCTTTTATAACAAACACGCTTTATTTGTTCAATTTAAATTCCAAATAAACTTTACCTAAAATATTAAATCTACTTTTGGAAGCAACGACATTTTTAATTCAAACCAAATAATACATTTTCATCAGAAGGACTCTGATAATTACTGACCAGAGAAAACAAGGTTTGTATTTAAAAAAAACTACTTTTATTTACAAAGATGAAGCGAAAATCATTTATCCAGCAAAATTGGGCATTGTAGTCTACATGCAATGTGAATGTTAAGGTTGAAGATATTGAAAACATTAAAAAAATAGACGTCTCTTCAATTTACTATGACTTTGTATACAACATACGAATATGAGATTTGTAAAATTGATTAAGGAAAACCGAAAGAAAACTATAGCAAAAAACTAAATTCTCATAATTTAAAAGTCAAGACATACAAACATTTCTTGCAAATATTTGTGGGTTTAATTAAAATACGTGGCATTTCAGGTATAAAAATTGTAAAAAAAACAATTTCTATTCCGAATGCTTCACGGCTGTTTTGATAATAATAATTTACAATCAAAGTTTTGCATTTAAAGTAACTGTATTTTATCAATCGAACAACATTACATTTCAAGTTGCCGGCTGAATCGCACGCCAAGTACATTTGAAGAGTTAATAAATAGAAAGTAAGCAATGCAATTTTTTCCATCAAAAATGTAGCCATTTGAAACAAACATATCATAATTATGATTCATTAATTTCTTGAATTATTATCCACACCACTGAAGGAATCAATCATGATTCGCGTTGTAATTATATTATTGCATTTCTCGATCGCATTGACTATTGAGAGACCACAGTATGAAAGTAAGTATTCAAAGTATAAAAATTATATCATAATCGATGAAATCGTATTTTCAAAACAGAATCATTTCAAAAGTATACTACAAAATGGAGCTGTAGATGATTCCCACTTCTTTCATTGATATAAAATCCTTTAAAGAAATCCTTTTCGAATTCCCAATTTTTATTTCGTGATTTTTTTCAATTAGTGATTGAAGGTACTCCGTATGAAATTTGCTACGGATTCATACAGTGGATAAGATTTTTGGAAACGTCAGACCATGCTCCACAACAGGTAACCGTCATAAAACTTCATAACGAAGAATTTTCACACTACACCAACGTTGCACAACATCGAAATTGGCTACTGCATGCTTATTACTACAGTTTGGAAGTGCAATTATTAACCAATTCTTGTAGCAACTCCGAAGATAGAGGCTTCGCAGCATTCAGAATATACAGAGAAAAAGAATCATAAACATAAGTCCCCATTAAATATTATGAAACAAAAATGTGTTTAACATTTTACTCTAATACAGCAATATTCATGTAAATAAAAAAAAATTGTTTGTATTATTGACATAACGTATGATTTTTATTTTTTTTCGATTTTCTTTGTAGCTATATAAATTTTAAATTTCGATGATTTGAATGACAAACGACCTTTTTTCATATTTTTTCCATTCATATTTTTCCAATTTTTGAATGATTTTTTCTAAAAGTTTCATTTTTTTGCAACGATTAAAGTGAAAACAATTGAATTAATTGATTTTTTCTAGTTTAGTTCAATCGATTTAAAAATGATTAATTAATTTCGAAATGTAATTTGTGATTGAATTCTTTATCATGAACAAAAACAATATTAACTGAAGTGTTTCAAATCATTGATGATTTTATAATTGAAAAATAAAATATAAATATTGCAATTTGAATTCTAAAACTCAGTGTAATTTGAGCTCATTGTTGGAATGTGTAATATTTCAAGTAAGAATTTGGAATTCAAATCTATTGCCATAAATTGTTTTTCCAAATGTTGATTTGCTAAATGTTAACAAATAACATGGTTTGAGCAATATAATGAACATTGAAATTGAAAATTTAATGAACATTGAAACATTTGAAATGTTTATGTTCTAAGAGCAGTTGCCAATTAATTAAAATAATTTTAAAAAATGAGATTAAAAAAATACACAAAAACTGAATATTATGCAATTTTTATATCAGATTGAATCCGCACATCGAGAGTAAAACACAAATCAAACATTTACAATATGATTTGGATTTCGATTTTATTGATATTCTTTTCGAAGGCATTGGCTGAATCAAAAGAAACAAATGTTCGAGACGTGAATAATATTAGTGAGTTATGTTAAAGTCAATACAATGTATATTTTATAACTATTTTCAATAACTATTTTTAGCTTATCCAGTGGTTGACGGACATTTGCATCAATCCCTCCGGTCGGCCTCTCACGAGTATAATTGTAAAGGTCGCATAATATATGTAAGATTGAATAGTGATTCACATGGGCCAGTAATAGTAGTACAACTGAACACAAAACAAACGGAACATTACACAGTGTATATGGAACTTTTAGATGTCATTTTGGATATGATGTATAGAACTGTAATAGTTAATCTTCTGACCAATTCTTGTGACGATGGAGATCATGGATTTGCAGACATAGAAATTGTTGAAGACAAAATAGTGGGCTAATAATTTGTTCATACAAATAAAGATTTTTTGTATACAATTGCAATCTGCAAAAATTATTATTTTTTGGGTCACTATTGTGTCATAATTGTCAATGAGTAACAATATAATGTGTTTAAAATTAAATTTCTGGGGTTGGAAACTATTTACGATTTTTTTTTTGTGGAAATGGAAACCTTGATTCAGATTCTTTTACTATTGTGTTGAATTGTTCGTTGCAACCCTTTTAAATGATTCCAAATAATAAACGCGTTGATTTAGTGAAATATTTTTTTGCTTCAGTTTATCAATTTCCGATAGTAAAAATAAGTTCTCTTTTATAAGTTTCATCTTTTCGAATGGTTCTTCTTCTTCTATTGCATTTTTTCTTTTGATTTCGGTCATTTTTACCAATTTCGTGTGATTGTCTTGAGTAACGGTGCTATTTTTCTTAACATCACCCTCAGCGATATTTGAAATCATTTTGCTTTTATTGACGTGGCTTGAAGATACATACGTTTTGAACATACAAATTGAGAGTTCCTTTAATTTTGGTAAATTCTGAATGTGTTGTACCATAAGTGAAATATCTGAACACATTCGTTCAATAACAGTGTTTGTATGATGATTCTTAACCTTTTCCGCTTTCAGATCAATCGTGATTGCTTTGCATCGATTCCGTAACAATTGTATTTCATTATACAGTTCATCAATTTTCCAAAATAATTTCCTCTTCAAATCGTCCATTTGATTAATTTTGCATGTGCTTTGCTTGATTTCTTCGTGCAATGGATTGATTTGGGCTTCCAATTGTATGGCTCTATCATTTAGGAATTGTTTCATCTTTTCAACTGTTGACCTTTTTTCCATCGTCTCAATCAAACATAATTCTTTGTCTTCAACTAATTTGGTGCGTAGATCAAGATCTCGTTGTAATTCAACAATATTTTGCTCCAATTGACAAATGTACTTTTTATTTCTGCTGTGTTCGTCCAATACAAGTGCAATGTCAGATCGCAGTTGATCGCATGTCGTTGACGTGCTTTCAATTTTTTTGGCCAAAATGTTTGCATCGGTTCGCCATTGTAATATGTTCTCGTTGCTTTCTCTGAGCCGAGTCTCATAGTGCACTTTTAATTGAGCCACTTTTCGATCATTGTCCAAATTCAGTTGATTACAATAATGGAAAAATTCTTCTTTCTTCGTTTGAATCTCATTTAATAGCTTCAATATTTTTTCTTCTCGATCATTTATTTGGTCTTTGAATGAACGCTCCAAAGTGTCTGTCGTTTCTTTCAGACATTCAGCCGCTTTGTGTAATAATTGTTCATATTCGGCTTTGGAATTATCCAAAACAACTTTTAAATTGGCCAATTTATCCGATTCGGCCAGAATTTTTTCATTAAGTTTTGCCTCTAATTGTATTTTTTCGATGGAGTGTTCGGCGTTCCGATCTTCTACGGCTGATTGAATAAGATTTCGTTCCTCGTGATATTTTTGTTCCAAATTTTTACGCTCATCTCTCAAGTCGCTGATAATTTTTTCATATTTTTCACATGTTAACTCCAATTCAATTGAATGCTTTTTTCGAACATGATTCAACTCAAAATCATGTTCAGACAACTGTTCATTTAAACGTTTTTCTAGATTTTCGATTTTGTCGATTTTTTCAATGAGATCACATCGTGGCACAATTATATCCGAACATTTTCCATGCTCACTGTCAACTAGGGCCGTTTTTCCTATCAAAATAGATCGTTTTTAATTTACTTTGAAATTTATCTTCAAGCGGTGTGCTCATAAAAAAACTTTTATACATTTCAACGACTTTTATTTAAATTTACAAATGGCACCCACCTTCTGTATTTATAATCACCCAAAATATAAGAGTACCATCATCGGAACCTACAACCAACATTCGATCATCGAAAGTGACTTTCATGCATGAAATGGCATCGCTGAAAAATCTGTAGTGTGTACATGTTCCGCCTCCGGCTTCTAAAAATGGCACTTGAATATTGTATAGATTTCCGGTTTCCGTGCCAACAAATAGCATTAGATCTGATCTTGCCAATGCAATTTGTGTTAATGGATCGCCTGAGTTTGGTTCGATATCTCGAATGATATCTGAATTGTGTATTTCACGAAATATACCGGTGTTGGTGCAGACATAAATCGTTGAATCACGAGTGAGTGCCAACGATCGAAATTCGGTGCCTTTTTCAACTGATTCATTGACACGTTCTTTGGTCGAGACGCACCAATGATAAATTGCACCTTCGCTTCCAGATGATACTAAAAATTTATCATCACATGACCAAGCCATGCTTAAAATCCTTCCACTGTGACCCTACAATCAAATATCAAATCAAAACACTGTCAGGAAGACGCATCAATGTTTCACAAAACGTTACCTTCAATGAACCAATAATACCAAATGAAAAAACAGAAACAATGGTTATGAGATTGCCGTAGGCACATGCCAATAAGTGTCCCTCATGTGAAAATACAATTTCGTCACAATTCGGAAAATCAAATTCTTTGACAGTTTTCATGGTATTCAGAAGTATTTCCATCAAATGCAATTTATCAGCGAATCCAATGGCAACAAATAAACCGGTCGGATGAAGTGCCAAAGCAGTGACATCATATTGATATTTCTTTACAAGTTCCACCTTTGTACTTTCATAATTCCAAATGCGAACCGTAAAATCTTTGGCTATTGAAAAATGTACGGAATTCAGCAAAATTCAATGGAATCAATAGTAACTGTTCACTTACAAGCTGTCATAATAATTGGTTTCCAAGAACAAATCGACATTGAAATGATGCTCGATATGTGCAACGGTTCACCAAGCATCGCAAACTCCAAATGTTGAAGTGTCACCTTTTCTGGATCGAACAATTTTGAAATATAGATTTGACTATGAAATGTGGTCACAATAACGGTGTCCATTTGCACATTTACTGATACATTTGTGATCTTGTACGATTCGGGTGAATACAAATCAATGGGTATTTTGATGATAGACCGTCGTGTATATCGAACATATGATTTTTCTTTCTCAAATACAAACAATTGATTAAACTGCGAGTAACAAAATCCATTCTCAAAATTTGTAAGACAGTTTACTTCCGTCTCACTTGTACCGCCCGACACTGGATTCAATTTCAAATGTGATTGATCACCATCGCTAAAATCGAAATAAATGATTATTGATCCGAAATTTATTCGAAAAAAAAATGTAGAGAAAGTCTCTTAAGAGCTAAATTTAGCCATACTTCTCTTTTGCCTTTTCTAAGTCGAGCAAATGGACGGTGCTTGCGATGAAATTTTGTTTTGGATCACCACCTTCAATAAACAATAATTGATCCGATGATGTGCCTGCCACAAGTATTTCTGCTGTCAACCAAATTAACGATGTGATAATTTTATGTTCACCACTCATCGTTCCAATTACACCGAAACTTTTATCTTGGCGTGACATCAATTTAAATGTGAATTTACCTGCAAATCGATTCATTATTAAAAATGTCGATAATTCACTGACAACTGACCTGCAACCGCTACGAGTCCAGTGTCACTTAGATTACAAGCTATCACATCAGCTGTTAAGCCCGGCTGATTTCCATTTGACACACGACCAACAATAACCGTTTCGGATTTATCAAAATAAAAAATTGTTAGAAAAGCATGTGGCTCTTTACTCAACACCGCTAGCCCCCTTGAATCTTCGGTGAATTTGATGAACGAAACATCTTGGCTTGGAACTTCAGGTGGTAATTTCATACTTTTCTTCTTCTTCAATGAACCAATGTCGTATGTGTTTATGATGCACCTGAGATCAAATCACACAATAAAGTGTGTATATAATATATTTACCATGATCTTACTTCTTTTTTAATTCGTTCCACTCTGAAATGGCAAGCATTTTTCGATTTGGACTAATTGCAATAACCGTTGGTGTATGGTGTTTTGCCAAACGGAGAAAAGTCTGTTTTTGTAGCTTGAAATCGTGAATTGCGATTACACCTGCAACCGGATAGATTACTTCTTGATTTTCGAGAAAATGGATATTTCCTTTTATATCAGACCGAAGGCCGTATACAAATTTCGGTTGAATTCCAATTGGTGCGATTGTCATGTTGTCAAATTTTTCTATCAAAATCAAAATTGAATCAAGATTGAACGAAACAATTCTGCATTGTATATGGGAACGTTGTGAGCACAATTTCGATTGTGACTTGATTATCGATCAAACAATGAATTGAAACGAATAGTTTTGGTAATGGTGCATGTATCATTCACAATATTTGGATGTCAAAATAACAATATGAAATTTCCTTCCACTTATATATGTATTTGTGCATCGACTATTGAACAAGTGTATAAGAAACAGAACGTACTTGCTAACAAATACATTTGTGCGAAACAAGAAAACAACGAGTACAGCAAAAAGAGCATTTCATTTCATTTCAACCAAATATTTATTGTTATCCGATGCGAGCAAGTCTCTGATATTATCGAAAGAAATATTTCGATCCGATTTTAATATCAATAGATCAATGTCCCAGTACTGAAAAATAAACTTTAAAAGAAAAATAAGACAAATTTGTTTTCATACATGAATGGAATGAACTTTATGCATGTATATATTTTATTTACTACATGTTATTTCATTAGTCTTTTTGAAATGTGTGAAATAATGCACACACACGAGCACAAACATTTGACATAACAATGCTTAAAATTTTTTACATATAGAGTGATTATAAAAAAAACTGAAAATTCACTACGCTGTACCGAGTGGTATTATGAAACTAATGCTATCTGCGAATTCTCCCCACGCAACGCGATTCGTTTGATAAATAGTTATCCAAGCGGCCAGACCGATTGCCCACAATAGAGCGCCTATCGCAGAAAATATCACATCTGAAATAGAAATGAAATCAAATTTTCCATTCAAATTTCGTTCACATTTACTTCGAAATCAATGAAGACAAGAGACATTGAATTGAAATCGGTGTAATGATTTCTTGAGAGCCGTACATTTCTATAAATATTTAAATTCACATCATATATTACATACATTTTCGAATGGATTTCTGTTCATCATATGCTGGCTTTCTGAATGCTTCGTCAAAGAACCAAACGGTGTTCACCGCCCAGATGAATGGCAGCAAAGCAAATCCGACTAAAAATATTGATCAATTAGAAAGTGTTTGTTTGTTTGTTTGTTATTAGTATATTTACGCTGTGACTTACCACGAAAATACCACTTGCAAAGATATAGCTTCCTGTCATTCGTCGCTCTAGATATATCCATAATGAGTGATTAGTCAGTTACCAAATGGATATAAAAATTGTATTTGTATGACTATTTATATTAAATAAAGAGAAAAAAAAATTCAATGACTGGATATATAATGTTGATAGTGAAGATGACAGTAGTCTACTGTCAAATTGTTGATTCAACGGCTCCTCGTTATATCGTATAAGTACTGACATCTGTATTCAAATAGGCTACTGTGTTGCTTAGTTAAACTTTAGTTTATTTCACATAAGCGCTTGAAGCAGAAATAGAGCAAGAAATAACGAATGTATTGAATCGATGAAATTTGGATGCAAAACATACGAAACCTTAATGAAAGTTGAAAATATGGATAAATGAAATAAAGAAAATGTTCAACAAAACTTTCTTCTTTTCACTTCTAATTATTCGTCGTTAACAAATAGGAAAAATACCAACGATAATAAAAACATTCTTTCCCACTTGCTTCATTTATGCAAGTGCAGAAATGGTATAAGAAAATATTTACAGAACAAAACAAAAGAATATTCTCATGTCTTCTTCTGCGTTGTTAGTTTTCTGAATTACGATTTTGGTGGGCACCGTAAAAGGTTCAACCTTTTTCTAGCGTTGCCTTTTTATTCTTTGTAATTCCTATTAATTGAACGAATAAAAATAATAATTATGATCTCGAATCATCCTTTAAAAAACTACTGATACAAGACATTAAGTTAAAATAAATTAGATACTACCTAGCGTTGATACTGAACGAGATTAAAAATAAAAGTGGTATGTATCACATTTATTTTCAACGCGAGCCGGTATCTCAATTATTTTAACTTCCCCAGTGGCTCCGGATGATGTCACTATTAAACTTTACGATTTAGAAAAAAAAACTGCGCTCTTAACTATTTTCATTGGTGAATTTTATTTTATCATATATTTCCTAATTTCAATAACAGAATTAAAGCTAGTGTGTCTCATTTTAATAACATTTTGTGATTCGAATAAACATTTTATCTGTTTGATTCATTTTATTTTGTAAAAAGTCTAACAACGATAGAAATTGTTAAAACAAGTAAATAGAAATGTAAAATTTAAATAAAATCAGATGTTTAATCACATCTCACTCGATAAAAGATTGATATAATACAGTTTGTTTGTCCTTTTGTTTATATTTGACACAATAAAATAAATACGATATGTAATTAGAATGCGAGTGTTGTTTTTAAATTCTCAATCTCCCTTTCTCTCTCTCTCCCTCTCTCTCATGTACACACTCATTTAACATGTACTGTCAACCAGCGTTACTACGTAACCTCCCACAAAACCGAGTTAACCATTCGTTTTGGTTTTGTGGAGATTTCAACATGAGCATCCAAACCATCGCTAACACGACTTAAGCGTCTCGCCCAGCTGCCACGCAACAAGCCATGTCGCGTCGACGAATGGTTTTGTAAATTTTGCATTGATTGTAGCACGTCGTTGTAGTCAACTTCTTGGGATTTTTTCAAACCACTTGCATATTTGGCCTCTTTTTCCAGTAAAGCTTCACGTGACATTTGCGTTTTTACTTCGACTGGAATGTCGGGAATTATAAATTGCATCAGCCCCGTTATAATGAATACAATATGCTAGTCAAGATAAGAGATACAAATGATAAAAATCACATTTATTACCTTTAAACATTTACAAAAACCAAATCAGTATTCCATACCTCAAATACAACAACAAATGCAAGACGAGCAGCAAAAACGTGCCAGTAATGTGGACTATATCTATAGTTTTCTTCAATCGGTAAGGTCATATTTGGTGGATTCCTATTTTCATATTTTTTTTTCAAGTGGCAAAATACATAGATACAACAAACTCATTGAAATAAAAAAGAACGACACAAAGAAGTCAAAAGTAAAAAAAAAATTAATAACTTACCGGTAGCCTCGATATTGGCAGATTTCATGTTTGTCGCTTGCAATTGGTTTCCACTCTTCTCTGTAATGTGACGTATTGAATTCACTGAGTGAATGATCTATGTATCCCCATAATGACGAATCGGGTGAATAAACGTATTTATAAACCATTCTCGGTATATAATCACTAGTGTATGCTATCACAAAGGCATTTGAAACGACCGCTGCATATGTGAGCATTCGTAAGACACCAAACCATGCCCCAATATCCTCGGCACGTTCAGCCAATGGTCGTCTAGCCTGTGCCACCATTTTGAATGCATCTACACGAATCTCGGCAATGTTGTTCAGTAAAGCGAAAAATGGAGCCAACGGAAATGCAGCCTAATCGTGAAGATAAACCACTTTGAAATTAAAACAACATCAGGAGAAAGAAAAAAAATCGTTTTTCACTCACCACAAATAGTGTTACAAATCCGTATTGTAATACTGATGACCGAAAAAAATGATAATTAGAAAGATGCATTTCATGTTTTTTTTTTTTCGTGAAAATGAATTTAAAAGAAATCAAAACAAAAATTCTTCAAAATCGTCCTTGTAAATCCTGACTAATTTTTAGTTTTTATCCGTTTTTGCGATATAGAGAAAAAAATGTAACGTACTCATTTCCAAATACTCGTCAAATAGTGCCAATCGTCCCGGATCTTGCATGTGGTAGTCTTCTTCCCAAGTCATGTGCAAATGTTGTTCGTCTTTGGTCTGTCGTTTATGTTTGCGTTGACGCCACCAATTATACATTTTTCTATACAAATATGAAATAAAGACGAAATAATAAATTTCTGAGCAACGTTCAAAAACGTGTATTCACTTACGGGAAAACGTATTCCATGCAGTTGCCCCATATTTGTTTTCCCACCATTATAATAGCTAGAATAATAGTAATAAAAATAGTGAATATGAGATAAATAAGAATAATATACTATTTTTCCATACCTAATTGAATGCAAAGTTCACTTAGGCAACCAGCCGGATCACAGATATCACCTTTTAAACGATAAAATTCACTTCGTCGAACTACATGATCACCGGGATGCTCATAAAAGCGTCCCTTAAAAAATGCTATATAAATCAACGAACTGTAGTAATTCATGAATTCAAAAAAGAAAATCTTAAATGTAAACGAGTCCTCATATTCAGTATGCGTGCGAGGATTTTCCATATTTGTCAATCGCACAGCCACTTTATGGTAAATCTATGTAAACAAAGGTTGAAATGAACATTGCGTGGCTTTTGACAATTTGAATTGCATAAAAAATGAATTCGACCTACCCGCGTCAAAAACATAATGATTATCAAATTAATAGTTGCAGCAGTGATTGTTGTAAATATTTTGGCATGCTTTCGCATGAAACCGCCCGAACCACTATAAACAGCTGATACAACCGAAATGCGATAAATGATTGTTCCCAGTACAGCAGCCAATACCACAAGAATCTGAAAAATAATTTTTATCATTTTTACATCGATTATGTAAATTGAAAAGTGCTATTGAAAATATTTGCATTTAATGAGAAAATACCATTAAAGTGACAACACTGGCCGTTACAAAGTAACGATAGACTTTTGTCCATGTTGGAATATATGGTTCGCGTTCTTTGGTTACTGGATTTGTACGGAAGTTTTTGGCGGTTGCCTCGAATTCCGGTCGTTGTTCCTCATCCTCTTCAATATTTTGAAGATCCCATTCCCAAATGATAATTGCTTGCTTACGTTTCCACAACTCCAGAAAGGTCGTGGCTGAAAATATAATTTAAATTGACGATTCATTGTGGTGCACCAACAAAAACACAGTGATCTGTGTACCCCAAAATGACATAAATATGGCAAAAAACACAGTTGAAGGATTGTCAAAAAGATAAGTAATTCTAGAAAATAAGCATGATTCGTGTAATCTTTGATATTCGCATGCGTTATCACATAATGGGCACAATGTTATGTTTCCCGGTCCAGTGATATTACATATTTCTTTGCTCGGTATATTGTCATTTGAATCGATTGAAATGATGCCGTATAGAAAGCAAATTGCACCAACTATTGCCGGATAGATCAGCATATTCGTGTAGAAACCGAGCCAACAAAAATACAACGCAATTTTATCACCGAAATATTTTCGTATTAAACACAATGGTTGCTTTTTATACCAGCAATTTGGTCGAGCCCACGTTAAATACAATAGCTGAAAATGAAAGAGAGACGAAGAAGGAGAATAGGCGGGAGAGAGAGAGATAAAATTTCAATTTAATACAATTGTCACAACACACAATATTAATAATAATAAAAAAAATCTTCATGGAGATATGTTCAACTCACCCTTCTATCGTATACAGCACCAGATGAGTGCGGACTATCGTATCTGCCTTCGTGTAATGGGAAGCATGCTAAAAATGTGCCATCAGCAAGCAACCGTCTGATTCCAACCTAAATATTTGTTTAAGATGGTTAAAAACAATAAAAAACGCTACCATATTCATTAAAGCGAATGTAAAAAACAATGTCAAAATGCTTACCTTCTCGGAATCATCATATTTGGTCCTCAGCAACACTTGCATCACCATTAAACTGCGTTGGGAACCGCTGTAGCTCGTGCATCGATCTTTTACTATGAATCTAGAATAAAAAACTAAATGTTGGTAAATTTCTCGAAACGAAAACACATTCAAGTTCATTCAAATGATTACTGTTCGTTTGGATTTCCATTTGCATTAGCGTTCGAAAATGTTGCTTCACCGTCAGCGATCAGTTCATGATATGTATTCAATTTACGAAAATAAGTTAAAAATTTTCGCCAAATACTCAAATTTAAATTTGATTTCTTCTCCTCATCCTGGATTATTTTGTAGATGTGTGTGTGTGTAACAAACAAATTATCAACGTAAAGAATCAACACACACATAAGTAATGATAAAAAGACATGGGGAGAATCACGCTAGTGAATACTAGAAAAACTAGTAAATCTACTGCGAAGAATGACGTCATAATCGAAGCCAACTTCACACCAAAGGATATTATTAATAGGAAAAACTACTGTGAGCCAGCTTTACGCACTAGAATTTCTAGTTTTTCTAGTGAAATCTGATCAAAAACTAGCTGCACTAGAATTTCGTGATTAGCCCCATGTAAAAAGATGATTAAATAATAAATATTTTACCCATGCCTTGACACTGATGGTAATGAATCGTTTCACCGGTAGTTTTAAGTTCAATACCTCCGCATATCGAATTTCCGATCGCCATGGCAAATGAATTTTCACAAAGTAGGTCTTTTCATCAAATGCTTGTGATTTATCTTCAATTTCCAATTCCAGACCATCCTTAATTAAATTATCGAGAAAGGCTTTTCTTGATTCGCGTCGCTTTGCCTCCAACTCTGTCATCACACCTTCGTGTTCCTCTTCGTAACACAGAACCATATCAATTTTTCGCCTGCCATCACGAAACATAAGCGATTCTGGATCCAATCCCTTCAATTCAATTATACATAAGCATAAAATAAAGCAAAGACACAATATATGAAAATGTAGTCACCTCTTGTTTATTCGGTTGTTTATTTGAACCATCTTCGTTTGACGAAATACTAGATCGACTAAAGAAATTTTCGTTATTTGAAGATTCGTTGCCTATATTCGATGTGGATCGCTTTCTATCGTGATTTATGAATGTAGTTTTAGCTGATGAACGATTTGAAATCGAATTTTGATTTCGATTTATCACTTGCACATCGTTCACTATGCTTGAATTTGGTGTCATATCATTTTCACTGCTTATCAAATCGCCAACCAAAGCATCGACCGATGACTCCATCGGTGTGCCGGGTATATTTTCAGTTTTTACCGTTGGCCCAAATATATCGCTAAAATTAAATCATCAGACAACGTTTGAATGAAAAATTGAAATGCATTGTGAGCACACAAGAATGGAACAATTCTCAGAAACTCTAAGACTGTTATGTTACGTATAACATCTAATTAAAGACCTAGATAAAAATATCATTGTGTATATAAATAGCACATACCAAATACATTTGACGTAATAAACCTTTACTACTTATAGTACGTCACTTTGAATCAAAAATAAAATTGAAAATCAAAACAATTTAATTTCATACAAAATGGTAAAATGAAAAGTATTTAAATTAAATAGATCAACAAAATAGAATAGATCATCCATAAAAGGATTATTTTTTTTTATAAAAAACTAATCAACTTCAATTTGTCGTGGAATTTTATTGAAGTATGCGGTAAAAATCAATATGAGTAAAAATTCAAGGTTTTTTTTTAAAAAAGTCAACATAATACAATTGGAAAATGCTTTGAGAGCACTAAATTTCATAAATGTCATATCGCATAATTGTTTTGTTTTGTTTTGACTAATATATTTTCATAAAATAGAATTTTCATGTGACAAAATCACATTATGCACCATACATGGATAAGTCGTTTTATCCAGTTCCACTTTTTAACGGGATTTCAGTTAAAATTCCACTGAGTCAATGAACAGTGTTATGTTCTAATACTGGACGATATATAAATGGTGAAAATTCCACATATACACATGCCGAGAAACGCATATAATACTCGAGACGGTAGAGTGGCACGGAAAATAAAAAAAGAGAAATTAAATAACAACAGTAATAACTTTGTTTGTGAAAACTATAAATAATTCACAAACCTAGGTCATCGAAGGCGCATTAAAAGCGTTACACATTATTCCACATGTAGGTGATTGTTTTTGAACGATATGCGTTTCAAAATAGATCTTGATATTATTGATCTAACGAATAAATGTTGGAAAATACATGCCACTAACGCGACACTAATTACAGGGGCATATTTTTTTTATCGGATATTCTTTTTGTCGCATTCGATTTACTTCAATACACCAAAAGCTACCATGTGGTCAAATTATTTGTATAACACAGCCAGTTCTTTTACGATTGTTTTGTGTTTTTTTTTCTATCAGTCTACGGTATTTGTGTTACTCCTGTGTTCATTCTGATTTATGTATGCTCGATATCTGTTGGCACTGAATGACGATACATAAAAATGCCGAACACGAATGTGAGGTACATGCAGCCAACACACATATCCAATTACACATTAATATATTTTGTGACATTTAAGCTCGAAGGAAGACGAACGAAACAGTAATAGAATGAACGAAAACGAGGATAAACGAAACTTTTGTTAACGCATTTTCCGCATGGTTCATTTGAATAAATTCGACTATTTTGACCGAATTTAAAATAAAATCGCTTTTCATCGTTAAGCACACTCATGTAATGTCGATTACAATTGACGCTCATCCAACTAACTAATTGTGTCACAATGCACTAAATTTCAAAGGACAACTGGGTTTCATTGATTTCGAATGTTCCATTTCGATGTATTAACGATGTGATTGCAATGGATTGCAACCAATGAGTGCAAAGCACGCATTTAAATGCAAAACCACATTTATTTTCATCATTTCTTACTTCATTGAATTGTTCTTATTAGATAAACCCAGCCAAAGAGTAATATTAGTTACTATTTATACACATTTCGATTGTGTAGCCACAACATTTTTTGTGAACTCTAATCGAAATGTGTACAAATTGATAGGCACTACGAAATTTTTACAGCATCAACATAGAGGTGTGTTTTCTACTGTCTGAAACCCACTAACCTTTTTTCGTTGTTGAGCTGGTTGTCGTCATCGTTGGTTTGTCGATGTTCAATTGATTTCAATGGGATCCGAAGAAAATTCGGACTACTCAATATATCGTTGGTATGCGTGACATTATCCGATGCACTATCAGATTTGACGTCATTGTTTCTCAATTGATCTTTTGTTGAACGTTTTACATTCGAATTTAACGATGTATCCATAATTGATCGTGTTTTACGCATATTTCGACTATTCGCACTGTTTGATCGTATGTTATCTGATTTGTGCATGAGATTCGAATTGATAAAATGAGCCTGTGTGAAACGATGATATTAAAATAGAAATCATATTAGTTCAATCGACGTTTTTATTTTGATATATTTTTTTTGTCATGCACATCAATCAACATATTTTTTTTTACTATTCAATTACACTATATTTACATGTTTGTACATACATTATTTAAACGACCATTTCGAATATGTTTTTAAAAAACTTCTCATGATTAACTCGACGAGGATTTCATTCATCAATTACTATATCTATTAAAATAACAACAACAACAACAACAACGATGAAAGTAACAACAATTCCGAAATTCAAAATACTCTCTCATTAACCGTTGTGCAGTAAACATTACTTGTACAATACACTCGAGCACTTTGATAAAATTAAGCTTATGAAGTGTGTCATGATGTATGTGTGTGCGTTTTTTTTTGTTTTTATTCTATCCGAGAGAAAAAAAGTTGATGAGCTTTGGTGATCACAAGTTTTTTTTTTTTTTTGGTGTTGAATTTTTTGACATAAAATAAAATGCGTTAAATGAATAAACGAATGGTCAACAAATATCGGTTGGATGAATCAAATGTTTGGATCGTTGTTGTCTATCGTTCCGTAATGAATGAAACTATATTTTATTGACAATTCAAGTGGTTTCGATATTATTCGAGAAATAACGGAAAAAGTGGACAAATGACGATTTGTTTTTAACACATTAATAGGAAAGACACACGTTCATCGTTTACCCGTTATCACTGACATACGTATCCATGGAAAATGGAATCGCATTCACCTCATATTATATGTAGTGGTGGACATGCTTTGACAATGCCATGCGTTATCAATACTTTTGTGAGTGTTACTTCGTCTTAAATGAAAATGCCTTATACATTAAATTTCATTCTTTTGAATTAATTAATATGATGATAATAAGCTCATCCTACGCATAATTCGAATGGCGCCCGCTCCACACATTCTCATGTATCTATGCCGATCCAAAATGAATATCGTAAATGCCATTTTTGGATTATACAAAGATTATCGTAAATCGAAAATGAAAACACATGTGTGTACGGTGTACGCACGTTATATGTATATCTGAAGGTTGAAGATCAAAGAAAGAATAAACACCCACAATACTAATTAATTTCATACCCTGACTTATTTCTCTCCTTTTTTTTCCAATTTTGAACTACTTATTTACTATCAGTTTGAACTTTTAAATATTACTTTGAAAAATCACATATGAAAATTGTATGTTTTCCAATTAATTGAAACCACATGGGGACGTTTCGTCCTTGATTCAATATGAACGTGAATATTAAATGGGAGCACATTTGTAGGGCCGAAATGTTAAAAATTTTATTAAAATGAATGGAAAAAATTTCCGTCTATAAATTATTTCAATTGTTTTTGTCGGTATACCTTGATTTTCAACTTGATCATCATATATATTTATGCTTTATTTAATATACATGAATTAAACGTCACCTCGTGTCGTCACCCATCAAAATCGATGTACTATTTGCATTTGGTCATTGTGCCAACAAAATTGTTTACCGAATAAATGCGTCATCGATGCGTGTTAGATTTATTTAAAAAAAAACGGTATTGATTCGACTTTTTTTTATATATATATTTAATTATAGTTGTTGGTTGATTTTAAAAATCTCAAAAAATATAGGTGTCGTGAGAATTTTCACCTGTCACCCAGTACCCGACATCCAGACATGCAACAAGTTGATTCAAACATACATTTTTTTAGATTTGTCTTAGAAACTTTGCTACCGATCTTATTATAGATGTTTAACGCATTTCATGTTCTTTATTTGACCAAATTTCTAAACTCGAGATATGAATTATTTATTTAGTCTAAAATTAGATTATAAATGTGCATTTGTATCGAATGCACATAGTTCAATTTGCATTGTATTGTACGATAGAATTGGTTTGTTTTCATCATTTTGTTCGATATTTTTCAGTTTGTCAATTTATGATAACAAAATAATAGTTTGACTAAAACAAAATTGCTATTTGCATTGTTTAACGACATTAAAATTGCGCATGTGCTACTATTATCCTTGAGAACAACAACAAAAGCCGCACAAACAAATAATAATGTGCAACGGCCAATAATGCAGATGTGTATAAGTGCATGGATCGGCTATGCCTGTTGGTTAGAATATCACCATTAGATAGACATAAAAAAACATGATGTTTTTCGTGTGATTCATAATATCACTCAATAAAAAATTGGTATGATTAGAATGTGAAACGATTGGCCTTGTTTTAACTGAATAAAAGAAAGAGCATATTAAACGCCCGCATTTTTTCTTCTTCTTTTATTTTCATTTTGATTCGTTTCTGTCAGCATATAATCTGCCTAAAGTAAAACAGGACGATTGATTTTCGATTAGTAAATGTACAACACAATTGAATGCGTCCGTGCATTTTATTTTGAAATGTGTGTGTGTGTGTGTGTATTACGAGACTGACACTTATCAATTCTTTTTTTTGTTTCTCTTATTTCATGTTCGAGTTATTCACCTATATAATTACAATACATATACGATTCTATCTGTTAATGTTTTCTATTGTTGTCATTAAACTTACGTTCAGTTGATGTTCCAAATGAGCCGAGTCCTGGCTAAAACTTCGCATCGCCTTGGCCGGGCTACTTTGAATTTTCCGTTTGCGTTCAACTTGCGCATACTTTTGCTCATTCTCAATGAAAGCGGGCAATATAACTCGCATTGAATGTATTCCATTGCTATCATTTGAATCACTATCGTGAAGATTATCAGTTTTAACACATTTTACCACCTGATTGGTGAACACAATTTCTGAATTTGTTGTCGTATTGCTATTCACAATTTTATTATCAACACTTTGATCTTTGAATCTTTTTGGATTGTTTTTATTCTCTTCATCCATATTGGATATGGGAGAAAATGTAATAAAAATAAACGATCCACTATTAAATTAACTACGAAAGCACAAAATAAACATGAAGAGCTTAAGAAGCGAATGGTCTTGATTTCTTTCGATCGGCTCGCTTATAACACATTTTTCTTGTGTGGTTTTATTTGATTCTCATCATTCTATTATATTTACTCACACATTTGGTAATTTCATTTTTTTTTTGTTCTTGTTTTAAACAAGAAAACTCTAGTTGAAGTTTGATTAGCCTATTTATCCTCTTCTAAATCGATAGCTGTTGTTGTTGTTGTTATTCATATATATGTACTTTTTGTTAATTAATTTCCGATTCAATTTTTGTGAATGTCGTTCGCTAAAGTACTGACAACCGAAAATCAAAAATCCAGGCAGGCACAGTACGCCGATATGCTTCACCAATTCGACTGGTATTGTTTGAATTTTCAAAATTCGACTCTTGATATGCATGTGGGAATGGTTTTATGTGGCCAGTTTGTGTATGTATGGAAAAAGCTAACGTTTTCAATTTAATAATTAATGCATTGATAAATAATTTAACAGCAAAGCTTGGGGGAGATTCGTTTATGGCGTGACTATGTGAATCGGATTCTTTGATGTTGTCATACAATCCACCGATGACCAGTACAACCTAATCAATTGAATTGTTGTTATGTTTTCCGTTTTTCTCTCTTTCTCTATGTTTTGGTTTTCATTTTCTACCGTTGTTATTGATTCGATTTGGCATGCGTTTTCAAAAATGTACGCGTCAATACTCGTATGTGTGAATTGATGTGATGCAATGTGATAAGAAAGGATATTATGTATATTCATTGTTCTATTGTATTTTATAAAATTTTAGATCTACTTTCAAACGTGCATTCACTTAAAATCGTTGGTTTATCCATTGTTTGTCGAGACCATAATAACATGTATACAACAGGGTAATAAACTAATTAAGTGCTCACACAAAACGAAAATTGTTATATACCAATAAATGCTAGTATCTACAGCCTTTCGTATTTGAAAGCGATCCAAACATCTACAACCAGTATTTTGAAATATTGCCATGTCTATGTATGCTCTTAGATATTTAAATCTTTATGAACAGTTTGAAACAATAATTATAGGATAAATTGATTGATAATGTATGTTACCACATTTTAATGGATTTATCTATCAGGCGATATTTTTCACGGTCATCATTTTTATGAAGGAGACGATATCTTTATGCAAATATACACCTATAAATGAGAAATTATTAAAATTTTATTGTACTCGAATCGAAGGTTTTTTGTGCATAATATGATCATAATCCAATTTTCTTCAATGTTCTTTTATTTTAAAAATTTGTTATTGACCAGAATATAAAATCCACATGTGCAAGAGTTAATATAAATCTTTCCCATAATTTGAACGTTGATTTTACTCCGTTTCGTGTACCAATTGTTTTAAGCAGACAATGTATTGAGATAACTTCAGCCACATATATCTGACATATTTGGCTGACAATAACTCAATATATTGGATTTAATTAAATTGCTGCAATCAACTTCAACAAAAATTATCAGTATAAAATTTCAATTAAGCAAATCAAAACAACAAATTTATTTCAAGACAAAAAAAAATGAATGAAAAAAAATCGATATTTAATTTGTTTTCCGTTAATTTTTTTTTGCATTCATTTGGAAACGAAATTAAAAAAAAAACAATTCAGCTGTCCTTGTAAATTTGGTACATAAATTTCGGTTCATTCAATTTCATAAATTTGAATGATTTCCGAAGTTAAAGGGAATGGGTAATATATAAATAGCACAAAGTTGTTAAAATCCACATAAAAATACTCGAATCAAGACAAAAAACAAATGAGTGCATTGAATTTTACATCGGAGAACCTGAAATGATATACGTAATATCCAAAATCATCACCATGCACAACGAAGACAATTTCGTCGAAGCTTGCGTTGTCTAAAACTATGTGTTTTATATTATAAGATGTGTAAAATGCAGTTGGTCGTATTATAAAGAAAAAGGCCACATTCAGTATAGATGTGTAGGATATAAGCGATCAGTTCAAGTTCGATTTGTGTATGTTATATGTTGTTGCAGGTGGTGCATTGTGCAAACAGCAACAAATATTGTGCCAACACCATATTTACTTTTCGTTGCTATAGTGAGCATTTCTTGTGTACAAGCTTTATAATATTGGTTCATTTCTCCATTGAATCGCTAGCCAAGATCGATATGCTCTTTGTATGGTTTTGTTTTGCATTTTTTTTTTGTTCGATTGATACACATGGCCGCGATGCCATAAAAATGTTTTGTTGAACAAATTTTTTGACAGTTTATTTTTACCAGTCAGTCGATGTAGTGTTTGTTCTGCGGCTTCTTACTATCGAGAGTGTGAATTATTGAAAAGAAAACAACAAGAGAAATCAGTGAAATCAAAATGAGTGGCTTCAATGTTGACACAAATGGGATAGCTAGTGGAATTGCGAACAATAAATCATTACCACAATCACCAGCTAGCATGGGTTCATCGGAAAGTGAAACGCTAAGCATTAGCGATGAACAAACTTCAAACTCAATCAGGCGAGTATGCACATATGAAACGATTTAGTTGATTAAAACATCCCCCCATCGAATCAAAAGAGTTTCAAAACGATTGGATGAAAAATATGATTGTATACTTGATTTGAATTTTTGTTTGGTATTGGTTGTTCCCTTCGATGACTGATGTAGAACTGACTCCATCCATAATAAAATAAATATTTTAAGGCAAACTATTGTTGTAATACATCTTTTGTACCTACTCCTAATTTCAAGGATGTACAGGTACACTTATTCAAAATGTTTGTACAGTAAATTTGAAAATTGTGGAAAAATTAATTCTTCAAATGATCGTCTGATATATAATCGAACGTTGAATGTAATGTTTGGAAGAAATATATTTTGCTAGACAAGTAGAAAATCGTTCAAAACAGAAATTGGGACTGAACTGAAATACGCAAAAAACGCCAAGTTTCACAAGCCATGTGAAGTAAGCCATGACAAAGAAAAGCAATCAAATAAAAACATGTATTTTTATTCTGATCTAGTATACAAAGATAAAAACAAATTTAAAGTTGTAGTAGTGATTCGTAAAAATGAAAGTTTTGTACTTTTAATCTTAAACAACGGAAAGATTTGATACATTTCCATGGAGGATTTTAATGATAACAACGGTATATACATGTATTTGTTGGTGTTTTTAATTAATTGAGAATTAAACGAAATTTGATAGGCGGAAATCGTCAGAAAAGTTATTCCTTTAGATCAATTTTACTTTTTTTTGGATATAGATTCAATTTCTGAGTCGCCAGACAGCAGTGAAAGTGGCAATGACGCGGTCAATGTTGATGACATTGAATTAATAGGTGATCCAGATCGCGAAACGGACGATATCGAATTAGTGTTCGTTGAATATGAGCTTGAACCCGGACAATTGATTTTTATTAATTCAAGTTCATCATTAAGCGACGACGTAGATGCAGACAGTTCGGTTCCCGCATTATTTATTGGTGAAGATTCCGATGATAATGCTTTTTTACAAATTCTTAACCTTGAGACACTGTAAGCACCTTACCATTTTAAGTGTCAAGAGCTTCATTTTAAGATTTCGTTTTTCATTCCATTGTATTGAAATATATATTTTTGTTTTGTGAAATAAAAGTGAACAAGAGACTGTTGATGCGGGAAGAATGATAATGCCATTTAATGTGATGTCCTTCATTCTTCTATCGGAATTGTATATGGACAATGACGGAGAAAATGAAATTCAAAATGAGAATGGGAATCGCGATGGAAATGATGAGAATCAAAATGAAAATGACCAAAACAATGTTTAGTTCAATCAGAAATGGGAACAGATGAATCGAAAGTCTGATTTCAAGTGTAAAAACATAAAATCAAAAGAACATTTCACAAAAATGCGGAAAAAATAAATAATGAAAAAAAGAAATATTGAAATTGTCTAATTTTGCCATTTGAAAATCAAAATCGATCCTCTTTATTATCTTTACTCTTTAGGATCGGATTCCCTTGTGGAAAATTACTGACTGACTACTAGTCAGATAACTAATTTGGGACGCTTTTGGCTAAAGCTGACTGAGATTGAAGTTGTTTTAAGTTGATTTGGCTGATTTTTCAGTCAATCCTAGTAGAGAAAAATACAAATTAATTCAACTTCAATCGCAGTTGACTATATAGACAAAAACTACCCAAATTCTGAAGATCTGTTTAAAATGACATACATACACGACTAAAGTTGACTGGGTAGACGACCTCAGTTAACAAAATTCAATTTCAGTCGATTTTAGCTAACTAGTTAGTCAGTCACTTTTCTTCCACACGGGATTTCGATCGAAACGTTGCAAATTATGCGATATTTTGGGACCTTTTTGCGAAACAATTTGCAAACGGTGCGTGAAAAAGTGTGCAATTTCCAAGTAATTCCGAATGTACGTAAGACAATTCGTAAGATTTGCGTCTTTTGTATTTATTAAATTGTGACAACTTATTTCGAATTGTTGTGACTGTTCATTGAATTAACCAATTATTCTAAAACTTCAATAAACCTTGCCCATTCGCAACTAGATCATATTTTACTCCATCTACAAAAAAAGCCGAATTTTTCATAAAAAAGGATTATATTTTCACCTGCAAATACATTTATAATTGACAGTAAGCAAAATGAATTGGTTTTTGTATTTATTTTTAGATTGCGACATTTGAATTCATCGCAAGAATTTCATGCATTTGTCATATGAAAATAAAGAAAAACATGCAACCAAACAAATGCGCATTCGTATTTAGGGCTGTCGCATTTTTGTTTCTCTCTGAGATTTTTTTGTCTTTGAGTGAAAATCCACAAAATGATGGCATTGGACAAAAAAAAATCTCAGAGAGAAACAAAATCCGACAGCCCTATTCGTATTACAAAAAAAAAAAAAAACAAAACAAAATGGGACAGTAAATTCGTTGAAAAGTTTTGTGGAATTCCATGGAAATTTATTGTGGCTGACAATGAAATTGCTTGATGAAATTTCAAGATCAATCGTAAATCTATTTTTGTGTTTTTTTTTGTTGTTGTTTGTATCGAAAATAGTTTTGGTTTACTTTCTGGAACAACAAAAAACGAATTCGTTTGACAGCGATTTATAATTTATTATTAATATTATTGTGTATGGTATGGAAAATTGTCAATTTTTGCTATCACTTTTGTTTTCTATCTGAAATGTTCTGGAGTCACGACCGAAATCGAATAAAAAATAAACTTATCGAATTCAAATAAATACACCAAACACATAGTAATATTATATACTAAAAATTGGATGTGGACCATGTTCAGTTTTCACATTTTGCCATCATTTTGTAAATGAAACTCTGAACAGCAGTCCATCGACCGCATTCGGTTGAATAGAAAAGTTTCAAAGACTTGTTCATGATTCATTCAAGTGTAATATTAAAAGTGAAATGCTAAAAAAGGAGTATATTTCCCCAAAGATCCATCTATCCAAATTTCATGATTAAATAAGTTAATACAATCCATATATTATTTGCTATAGAGTATGCAATTGAGTAACTAATTACGTCGTTTATACTTTTTTTTTCTCCATTTATCCAATTAACTCAAATTAACTTATCGTATTATGTACAAAAATATATTGTAATTAACATTATACTTGATAAATAGTTTTCTTTTCTATTCTAGTTCTTTATTGGTGATATATGGCTACGGTTTCTTGATTAAATATTGATCGAGATGAAAAATCGCAAAATTTCACTACTGTGTTTTTTAGTTCGATTTTCGCCAAATTCGAATCGTATCAATCGTCATTTTCTTTGGATTTAGTCTTTCAGTTCATCTAACTAAGGTCGCTTATTGCAATGTGGGCTTCTTTTTTTCATTATTTTCAACGGTGTCAGATTGTTAAGAATGTCAATTTTTCTTCTCGTTTCATTTTCGTTATTGTTGTTTGGTATTGTATATTGGAATAAGACAATATATAGGTGTATAGGCCTAGCGTCGATCTGTGATGATATCATCAGCAGCAATGTGAAAATTTGAATTTGAGTTTGCCAACGATTTGTGTGTTGAACTCATTGGTGTTAGTTCACGTCCTTCATCAATAATGCAATCACATTCATCGGCAGGTACTTGTCGATAACGACGCGATGGAAAGAATCCCATGACAGATAAAACAATCGCCTCCACTGCACACGTATAACCAAGCATCTGTGTTCAACAAAACATCAACAACAAAAATTGCAATGTACATCATGAAACAAAAAAAAAGTGCATTCTAACCACAACGACTTACCGCTGATAAAAATAAAGTTTCCTTTGTTCTTGGCGGAACCCACTTATATTCACGTGCAAAAAACACCATGTGGATGAGTAACGACGAGCCAATCAAAAATATTACGCTGATTATAAAATAAAGATATGCATTCTGGAATCCGAGGACAATGAAGACGTGCGCATAAAGAAAGGGAATTGAATGGCATTTGAATGAATATTTGAAAATAATGAACTAAAGAAACAAGATTTGAAGAAATAATTACCAATTTGGGCCAATGAAATGGAAACATTTGCGCTGTAAGCCGGAAGAGAAAAAAATGGAAACAAATTTAGAACTATCATAATCCAATTTGATTTGTTGCAATAAAATGTTGCACACACACACACACTTACCTATATGCGATATATCCAGAAAGAGCATAAGACTTGTCAGCTGTAAAATACCAAGTAAAATGCAAAGTTACAATGGATACATTTGTTTTCAATAGAAAATGAAAGTAAAAATAAATATGAAAGCAAGAGAATACGTACCAGCAAAGAAAAGATTGCACAAAAGACCATGAATCGAAGTCGAGCAATTAACGGTAGGAAGAACAATCCAACTTGAACAGAACCAGCTGAAAATTCGCATACAATACACGCTGCAGACGATATCTATAATTTCAACGAGCAAATCCATTTATTTTTGCGTTGGAATAATTAATGGGGCATAAGAAAGAGGAAGACACTCATAGAGGGATAGAGAGGGAGAAAAAAAAGCAAATAAACCACAACATACCACAAGCAGTATTCGAATGATTCCAGTTGGTGTTTTTAGTGGTCGAAGATCACAATGCAACGGAACTCCCCATGGAACGGATGGCATTTGGATGGCTTGTGCAAAGTAGGCGTGTGAATACCTGAAAATGAATTCCACATAATAATTTGTTACTATTCTTGTTTTCACTTCGCAATTTCCGGAATGATTTATTAGCTAAGTTAATGGGATTTTAAATTGATTTTTTTTTCTTTTCAATTGCGTTTAAAGGCATGCATAAATACACAAAGAACACAGAAAAAAAAATAAGAACAAATGATGTAAGCATAAGCTTAGACGAAGCCAAACCGAAAAGCAAAAGCAAACAATACAAATATTTTACAAAAATTCTTTTATTTCAAGTAGAATGAAAATGATGGATGAATAGTACCACGATGTATCGATCGGTGAATCTAATTGCAACGATAAATCGAGGTCGACACGGCTTCCGGCTATCTCAAAGTCCTGTTCCGAATCGGTTCGGCATGAGGGCACTTCCAAGTCTTTTATCTCTTCAAGTAAAAATTCGATTTCATCTGTTTCGGTGGTGTTGGCTGCTGGCGCCGCCGATCCGCTTCCGTTTTTTGCGTTCATTTGGCCATTTCCAATTGGCGACGCCGTTTCACGTTTCAATGCTAGATTTAGGCGTGCTGGCTTCGCAGGAACTATTGGCACATCTTGTTTATTATTCGATTCAATTGATATTTGACCGTTTATTTTTACGGATGGTTTTTTGTCGGATGTTATTCTAGTAGCACTTGATGCGCTATTTTCGTTTATATTCAGTTTATGTGATTGTTGCATATTAGTTGTTTGGATAAATGTTCCATACCCCACATTAAATTTGATAAATTCTTGGTCTTTGCTGCACTTTTTTTTATTTATTTAGTGTATATATTTTTTTTGGTGTTTCTTTTTAACTTTTGCTCAAATTCAAAACTAGAGAAAGAGACACATGAAATTGGAAAAAAAGGAAAAGAAAAAAGCCATCAAAATCACCATCAGTAAGCGTGGGGGTGTATGGTATATGTATTTTTTGGGTGTATGTGTGTGTTAGAGCCGAAAATAGAAATAAATTTAAAGTAAAAAATCATTGAGAGAAAAAAGAAAACAAAAACAAAAAAAGTAGAGAATGTGAGAGCCAAAGAACGCGTAGAGTGTTGGAAATCGGAACAAAATCAATAAGAACGAGTTTATAGAATAGAAAGGAAATTCATATAAATAAAAAAAATATATATATCATTCATCACGTTTACTTCTTTGAAAACATATATACGTATATGTTTTCACAAGCCAAGACACTTGTGCGATAGGCAATAACAGATCTTTTGAATTGTCGATATTTAATTTTAATTTATTCTGCAAGCTAATATGCATAATAGAGGGGTTTTTTGAAAATTGTCCAACATAGTACAACATATTTTTTAGGTACTTATTCATTGGATATTATAATAATAGTAGTTACATTTTGATAATATTAAAATCGAAATAGAATATGATTTCCTCTCAAATAATCTTTCAAAAATGCATGTGTTGCGAATGTGAAATGAAAAGTTGAAAAACAACTTAAGAAAAACACAAAGAGAATAAATGTAAAAATGAGCCATGAAAGTAACGAATTCAATTACATTTTTATCGCCTAAAATTAGCTTTATTCACCACTTTAAATTTATATTCAATTCACTTGTAAACCTATTTGCTGTTTTCTTCGTTTGTCTTACACGAAATTTACAAAAAAAAAAAGAAACAAATCTTTTGTTTTCTTTTCAAACAAAATGATATCCAAATTTGCTAAGAGAGTATAAAGAGCCCGAAGTTTTTTCCGGTAGGCACTACGTGTGTGTACAACGCTGCTGGTCACAATGTTGTTTTTTTTCCTCTCTCGCGACAATCATCAGATTCAATGTGGCAGCCATGTTTGTGATTGAAGTAAATCATTCTGTATAATACAATCATTACACTGGTGCGCACCATCATGTATAGAATGTATTCACCCTTATTTTCATTCAATTTGGCTTGTTGTCGATGGCCATGCACACATTGAATTGAGCACTGCAAGACACAAACACAAACACGGTAATTCACTCACGGTCATACGATATACAATAGCAAAATACCGTATGCGTATAAACTCACGGGAAAAAAATACCGTAAACATTGCACACATACTTACGTTTCATAAAAGTTAGGGGAAGAGCGCAGATGTTCACACAATCATGTGCTCTATGTCGTCGTCTTTTAATTTTGAAGCATTGCGTATATTTTGATGAAATTTTATGAATGGAAAATTCGACACTGACGCGCGAAAATTAAATATTTAAATTTTTGTTTTATTGCTGCCATACCATTGAAAGTTCAATTTATGATGCCATAGCTTATGTTAATAAATTTTTTAAATGATAATTTCAGCCGGTCGGTTGTGAAATCCAGCCGAAAATCATCAAAAACTGACTCGGAAAAAGAACGACCACCGTGGCGGACAGTTGTTATAGCACCACCACAAAAGGTCAATAAGAATGCTTTATTAAAAGCAAAAATCTTGGACGCCACACGACGAGCTCTGTTAGCGCAAAAAATCAATCATGTTGGCTCACAGACCGACGCATATACAACGTTGTTGCGTGAAAAGGCAATTGGAGTACAAAAAGATCTAATCAAAATGATTGACAAATGTGAAGATACAGACGGTACGATTACCATTCGAAAAGATCGACCAGGTGGAAGTAAGTATAAAATAAGAAAACTGCCCGTTTCCGACTAATTAATTAAAAAAACGCTACAATTTTCAGTGATAATCACACAGACTGTTGGTCAAATGACAGGTATAATTCATATGGGTAGTTCAGTTCGCTTAGTTAAAATTCACTATGTATTTATCAGAAAGGGTACCATCAAATACAATTGCAACACAAACACCGCTTCCAAGGACATATTTATCATTTGCATCGTTGGCAACCAAAACGAAATCACCATTAGACTACAAACGATCATCGCCATTCGAACGACAAATGTTGGAAAATGAATTGCTACTACAAACTCAGCAAAATGCATTGAAAACCGTCGATTCAAAATTAAATGAAAAATATCCGACCGAACGTGAAACTCAAAATGAAAACGAACTTTTCAAACAATCGGAACAACATTCGGGAAGTTCATCCTATGAACAAGTAACTCCACAAGATATTCAACAAGATGAAAATTCACAAAGTCTATCATCATCGGCTCCTGACACTTCAACGCAACCGAATAAAATTGATAAAGTTGCAATGAAAATGGTAATTGTGCATTTTGATTCTCTATCTCTCTTCTCTCCAATAATATTGATATTTGTGATTTTAACAGCAAGAAAATATGATGAACAATGCAACATTTGCATGTTGGGATGATTTTGATTTCTCGGACAATGAAAACGATTTGCCAGACTTACCAAGGAGAACAATATCTGAAGGAAGCATACCGAGGGATAATTTCAACGAAATTGTCATTGGACAACGGTATATTTCATTATTTAATTCTTTTCATTTTAATAAAAAATACTAATTTTATCATTTCAATTGGTAGATTGGCTTCAATGACTCTAACTCCATTGCAAAACCGGTCCAAGGCGTGTACAACAAAGAAGAAAAAATCTGTAACATGGAACGATCGACAATTGGCTGTGACAAAATTAATAAATGAAGCATCAGCTTTAATTGACATTTTCAATGAGGTGTCGATAATGCTCGGACCGGAAATGAATTTAAGTAAACATCCAACAATCGAAGGCGATCGAATGAATATACCGAAATCAAAATGGGATCCAATTTTGAGTGAATCATGTAACAATCTGGAAAAAACACTTACAAACTACCGACCAAGAGAACATTTGAGCAGTGCTCAGTTGTTGGCATTGTCAAAATAAATAACAACAACTTCTTTTATTTTTAATTCCCAAAGAGAACATAATTATAATTTGGTTTATTGTAAAAAGAAAGATCGTTTAGAACAATATGTGTATAAAATGGTGCAACAATGTACATTGTAGAATTGATTGTTTAATTAATCTTGGAAATAAAGACTTGCAGCGAACACAATATCACGCTTGATAGCATTAGATGCTTCTTCCATTTTTTGGTGCAATGCTGGATTGCCAATTATTCGGGCAGCATCTTTGACATCCGATAAAGTTTCATTCAATTGTTGAATACATCGAACAATGACACCCTCTTGAATATCGGTCAATTTCATGATCTCAGCAAATGGCTGAAAGTAAAATGCAAATGTCATCACGTCTTTTATCCATCAGTGATTGACCGAATGTAAATAATTACCTTATTTCGTGCCCATTCGTATACAACTTGAACCAGTCCAAAGTTCAGCCGTTCACCATCCAGCATTTGTGCCGATTCACGAATTTCTTTATCAACATTTTCCATGACATTATCTTCCACCTCACGTAATTCACGATCCACACATTTGATCGTTTCTACACACTGCAAATGAAAATGTACATCAATTAATCGAACATTTGTCCATATTTGCGTCGAAATAAAAAAAAAACTTGCGATTACTTACTGCTTTAAGATTGTCCGTGAGATTAAGTTCCATCGATGTTTTTCCTTGAAAAACTAAACTCGAAAGTAATGCTGATATTTCGGCTGGATCAAGATCGTTGAATGTATTACAAAGTACCAGTTCGGTAATCATTAATTCATTGGATCCCATTTCACAGGCAACACGTCCTTTAAGAGTCACCGCATGTTGATCATCAATATAATTGAGACGTTTTAATACTTCCAATTTATATTGATATTCCGGATACAGTGTTAAACTTTGATTGGACATTTTGAACCGTAGTTCAGCTTGTTTGGCTTCCAATTGTTTGCGATCAAAGACCGGTGCGAATTCTTGTTCAAAATTGGCAACTTTTGTGTGTGGCAATATTGCATCAACGTTTTTCCGATGATGTGAAATCAAATCCAAATCTTGAATCATCTTATATTCTTGCTTGAAATTTATGAACTGAACTTTGGCCTTGGATTTATGAAAGTTAATCAATTCATTGATTGCCTTTTCGGTGGATGGACCAATTGGTGTATCACGAAAACGTGGCTTTTGCCGATATTGCCAATTATTCAGTATGGCATCCGCATCGATTTTAATCGTTTGCGTTGTTACATCAATAATATCGCTCGGTGATATGGTCAACACCTTATGACCAGGGGCAGCGTTCAATTTATATTGACGTGGTTTTGTCAGTGCAATCATTCGATGCCACAATTCACCTCGATCTGTGTTTTTCTTCGAATTTTTTTCCATATCCGTGTGCCGTTTATCATCTAATAGTGACTGTAAAAATTTAAATGAAAATTCATTGAAAAAAAAAAAAATCGAAAACAAAATCAATTCACAAATTTGAATGGTGTTCGTATTGGGAAAACAAATGAAAATGCATTGTTTATTTTTTTGGCGCAATGATTCCTTCCAATTGAGCTTTAAGTTGAGCATTGGTTTTTTTAAGAAATGCGATTTCTTCGGCATGTTTTTTCTCTTCGGCCGCCCGCAATTCAGCGTTTCGTCTTTCATTTTGTTCGGCACGCAATTTCATATCTGATATAATATTTTCCATATTTTCTTTATCTTTTTCGAGTTGTGCCACATATTCAACCAATTTTTCCTTGCCCTCTTGACTTTGTAACGCTTTTCTCAAACCAAATGCAATCGAACTACAATAGAGTGTTTCGTAGGCGTCCATTGACATAACCATTTCATCACGAACACGAAGCAATAATAAGCCACGTTCCGTACAATTTATCGTTACTTGTCGAATTAATTCATCGAAACATTGTGTATACAATTCACGTCGAATGGGACAAATGCCGGTTTCACGTGCTTGACTTTGTTGCAACAATGAATCAAGTGTTTCTTGTAAATTAACGACATCTTGACGTGTGGCCGGCACACTTGAAACCGTTTGCATCCATAATTGACCATCTTCTTCCCATGTTCGTGGTGGAAGTATTGAATTTAAAATTTCTTCCGTTTCTCGACCATTTTCAGCTATCGTATTCGCTGAACTTGGTCTACCCAATCGATCTTTGGCCGATGAAATCGATGGTGTTTCAATATTCAAAGCTGCTGCTGCCGATGATGTCGATGGAGCCCCAATACTTTTCTCAGTGTATGAGCTCACCAAAACTGGAATATTATACTTGACTAAAATAAATTCACTTGGTTTGCTTGAATTATCGTTATCGTCCATTGTGTCAAATAATTTGATATTTGAGAAAAATTAAAATAGAAACGGAAAACAATAAACAATCAGCGCTGCCATGGATACCATTCACTATGCATTTTCATATTTTGTTTTAACAATAACACCAAAAAAAAAAACCGAAAACAAATAATGTTGAAAATTTCATACCACTTTGGTTACCACAATCGGTTCATCGTCGATGTCATCGTTGGTGGCATCGTTGTCCAAAATAAGCACATTATAAAGATCTTTTGTAGCACTGAGCGGCGCCAGAAATATAGCGTAACGATTGTAATATTTTTTGTGCGATATGTAAATCAATCGGCCTGGCTTCAAATTAAATACTTTGGCAGCTGCCAATCTTTGCATGAATCGTTGAAACGTGATGATATATTCATAGGCAAAATCGAAAAATTTACATAATGGTTCCATGTGCGGACCGAGTTCGGGTATTTTCGATATTTGTTGTTCGAATTCATGTAATTGGGCCTCTGTGTCTGGTTTTGTCGATTGCGTTTCAAATTCTTTGAAACTATGTGACATCATATCTTCGACCGATACACTTTCGACACGGAATAAATTCAAAATCATCGCATAAGTTAGACGAAATTTGGATTCCAAATTTTTTGGCTGACCGGTGATCATTGTTTTTAATAATAAATCATTTGGTACATCTAATTTGCACAGCAATATAACTCTACCGTGCTTATCCAAACCACGTCGACCTGCTCTGCCTGCCATTTGTGTGTATTCCGCCGGTAGAATTGGTCGCAATTCTTTACCATCATGTTTTTTATACGAATCGAAAACAACTGTACGTGCCGGCATATTAACGCCCATTGCAAATGTTTCCGTTGCAAATAATAGTTTAACATGACCACGTTGAAATAGTAATTCAACAACTTCTTTTAAAATTGGTAATATACCGCTGTGATGAACACCGATACCACGTGCCAATGAATCTTGTAACATCAACACTTGCGGAATAACACGATCTTCGGGTTTCAATTTTGATAGACATTTACTGAAAAATGTTCGTATGGCTCCAGCTTCGGAACCTGTTGTTAGGCTTAGTGATTCCAATGATTTAAGATATTGATCACATTTGGCACGTGATAAAGAGAACGCGATAATCGGCAGTTCATCATTTTGCTTTAGTAAATCAATTAATGTTAACCAAATTTGTGCCTCATGCTTTGGATTTAGAAAATTTGGACCGTGACCTCTTCCTCCACCAACGCCACCGCCACTTCCACCTTGACCACCGCGAGTTCCAACTTTATTATCGTTTCTTTGCTGTTGGTTCGATGTCGGACCTTTCTGATTTGGATGACCTCCACCTCGACCGGTTGCTTTGTTCTTTTGCTTTTGTTGTTGATTTTGTTTAGCTGTTTTCGCATCATTATAGCCTTTCGTTAGAAAACGACCATCATCGTCGACGATTAAAAATAGCTCTTTTTTGGTTTCCGTATTGTGACCGGTGTAAAGGTAATGTTTCAATGGTACGGGCCTCTTTGAAGTGCTGATTACATAAACCTTTTTTCGTTTGGTCATTCCCACCCAATTGGAAAATTTCAGTGCATTCGGCACTGTGGCGCTCAACATTATAATATTGACATGTTCTGGTAATAAAATTAACACCTCTTCCCATACATGGCCACGTTCAATGTCGGTAATATAATGAACTTCATCGAATATAACATATTCCAAATCTCTGGTCACTTCGCTGCCACAATACAGCATCGATCGTAAGATTTCGGTTGTCATAATTAAACATGCTGACGATGGATTAATTTGAATGTCACCGGTTATAATGCCGACATCATCGAATGTCTTCTTAAAATCACGATATTTTTGATTTGATAACGCTTTTATTGGTGACGTATATATGGTTCGTGTCATATGTTTTTGTGATAATGCAATTGCATATTCGGCAACCACCGTTTTTCCAGCCGATGTGTGTGCCGACACAAAAATGTGATTGTGATTTTCCAACTTAATGATGGCTTGCTTTTGAAATGTATCCAATTCAAATGGATATGTATGTGCAAGTTCTGGAACTTGTTTTTCAAAATCTTTAACCGGTTGCGTAATATCAACCCATTTGGCGTATTGCATGCTTTGTACTTTTGGTTTGCTTGTCCTTGAAATATCCAATACCGGTGCAGTGGCTGGTGTTTTTAGCATAACTTCATCCAATTCTTCGTTGTATTGAAATTGGTTCGGTGTTGATTTTCTCGATGTAGTTTCATTAGTCGACCACATACCTAAAACATTATGCTCATCTTCAACGATCGATAATAAATCAACACTTTCTGTTGTGTCGGTTGCATTTGTAGTTATGATGCCATCATCGGTTTCCGTGTTGAATTCAAGACCTTCAGTGAAACCGGGTGCAATGGTTAGAAAATCTTTTACGAAATTTGAATTATGAAGTTTCAATGATTCGATTTGTTTGGCCGGTTCATCGAAACCACCTGGCCAAAATGGAAAATTCGTCGCCGATCCACGTGTTGCTTGCTCAGGCCGAACCGGTGCACGACGCATTGACATTGAATTTTTTGCCGTACACTCTGCATCCTCCAAATCAACTTCAACAAATTCTAAAATACGTCCTGTGATCGGATCACGATCAGCAACCAATGTTGTACTCGCCGTTCCGATCGGTGCATAGTATAGATTCGTTGGATTCGATTCACGTGGCAAAATGAATGGCTTTGGATCGTGAATTGGTAATTTTTGATCAACAATATACTCTAGTAATGTCTCCTGTGGATTATCTAAAATTGCCGCAGTGTTATGCAGCCACATAGGCTATCGATAAAAAGAAAAAAGAAAATCAATTTAAAATCAAATCTATAGTGTATGTGAAAAATGTTTAGTGTTTGCCTTACATCGAATGACATTGTGAATGAATGATTGAATTTTTCAAAATTCTTCAAACCATATGATATTTCAAATGTTTTGAAACAAAAATCATGAAAATAAATCGGTATTTTATGTTTTTGTTAACCTATCGTACAGTTTATTGTAATCGACTTGTATATACTTGTGAATATTCGATTTGTACATATGTCAAAATGTGTACACACATATACTTTGCATCGGTTAACACGAATGAAACAGACTGATTGCCAAACACTGCTATAATTTCCACGTATGTCATTCAGATATAAATTGACAACAATATTATTCCATTGCAATATTTGTGAACGGTCGTAATTCTCAATCATTCTAATTAAATAAGTCAGTATTTTGTGAAAATTTTCAAATTCAAATAGAAGAAACACCAAAAAATTATTATATTTTCATTCGATTTGTCAATTGAAACGTGAACAAAATGGTTAGCATATTGAATACAATTGATACCGGCCATGAAGATATGATCCACTGTGCCGAAGTTGACTATTATGGTTTACGATTGGCAACATGTTCATCCGATAATTCGGTTAAAATTTTCGACATCAAAAATGGTGCACAATCATTGGCAGCCGATTTAAAAGGTCACGGCGGACCAGTTTGGCAATGTTGTTGGGTAAATTGACTTTTATATATTCTTTTCAATTGGATAAACTACTAAATACAGATGTATACATTTTAATCGTTTCATTATTAGGCACATCCACGCTTTGGTAATATTCTGGCAACATGTTCGTACGATCGAAAAGTTATCATTTGGCGTGAGCAAAACGATTGGATCAAATGGTACGAGTACCAAATCTCAATTTAAAGCAATTGCTGGACATAAATGTTGTTGTGGCTATTGCTTTGCAATTTTTTCATTATATGTTTCCGATTATTTTCGATTCTTTTCCGATTACTTATCGATTATTTTAATTTTTATTCTTTTCTTTTGTGATTTCCCCCTCAGGTACGAGTACAGTAATCACGAGTCATCGGTTAATTCGGTTGCATTTGCACCACCCGAATTCGGTTTGATTTTGGCATGTGGCAGTTCGGACGGTTCAATTTCAATTTTAACATGTAATACGGAATCGGGCCAATGGGACTATAAGAAAATATCAAATGCACACACAATTGGCTGTAATGCGGTCAATTTTTGTCCATCAACTGTGCCAGAGCCAGCATTTGATCAACGCGGTGTCGGTACAAAAGGTTCCTATGGTGTTAAGCGTCTGGTTTCCGGTGGCTGCGATAATTTGGTAAAAATTTGGAAAGAGGACGGTGATCGTTGGGTTGAAGAAAATCGCTTGGAAGCACACAGCGATTGGGTACGTGATGTTGCATGGGCACCAAGCGTTGGTTTGCCCAAAACACAGCTTGCAAGCTGCTCACAAGATCGACGTGTCATCATTTGGTCTAGTGATGACTTGGTCAATTGGAGTTCAACTGTTTTACATACATTCGACGATGTATTATGGAACGTCAGCTGGTCATTGACTGGTAATATTTTGGCCGTATCTGGTGGTGACAATAAAGTTTCATTGTGGCGTGAGAACAACGAAGGCCAATGGAGCATGATCAGCGAAGATGCAAGTGCACCAACGTCTACCAATGCCCTATCCGAACAACGCACTCTTTAATTTAAAAAAAAAAATACAAATATTAAACATGAATTATATCAGCCGATTTTTAAATTTTTTGTTCATTTTATTGAAGGCATGATTTGATGTGTCAACAAGTTTCCAATGAAAATAAATAAATAAATTAAAAATAACGCATTGAGTTTTTGTTACATTTTTTTAAACGAATACAAAACATACACACGTTTACATGCGTTTCATATCGAATTGCAGAGACTTCATGCACATTCACTCAGATAGCGGTCTCTGATAACATTACTTGCGCTTTTGGTTTATTTCTTTTCCTAAATTTATTTTCGTTTTTTTTTTTTCATATTTTTTTGTTTTAAAAAAATGAATAACAACAACCAACAACAACAACAAAACCAACCGAATTTTCCAAATATACCTGGTCCACCCGTTCTAATACGTGGTCTTAATATCGGTGTCCAACAAAATGTACCATTTGTTCCGCCAGTCGCAAGACTACGCCCGGCAGATTTGGCAGTTGGATCCAATTGTAAGTATTCAATTTAATTTATTTAATTTTATGCTATGGAAAACTAGATGGAAGTGCATCTCATCCAAAATATACGCATGCGCTATGCAAATAAAGTTCTTTATTTTCCCCTGTGTGTGTGTGTGTGTGTGAGTGTGTTTTTTTTTGTGTGTGTGTGTGTGTGCGTGACAATTCTGACAGAATTATTCAATATGGTGTTTGTTTTTAAATTTGTTGATAAATGTAATTTATTTATTGTATTTAAAAATGTTTTTTACTACAAAATGCAATAAAATTGTTGTGCTTTTATTCTTCTTTTTCAGATGGTCGACACCAATATCAAGAAGATGTGGAGAAAGGATCGTCGCCCGTTCCGATGAATACTTCTCCAGATGATTCGAAATCTGTGATTGCTGAATTGCAATGTAAGATGTCTGAAATGCAAAGTAAGATGTCTGAAATGCAATATAAGATCTCGGAACTGGAAAAAAAAAATGCTCAACTCGAAGCGGAATTGGCAGAAGAGAAAACAAAAAATGCTCAACTCGAAGCGGAATTGGCAGAAGAGAAAAAGAAAAATGCTCAACTCGAAGCGGAATTGGCAGAGAAAAAAAAAAGAATAAAAAATAAGATGTCAATTCGGTTTTATTAAATCCAATTAAACTCAGCATTTTACTTAAAAGCTAATGTGTTTATTTTTGTATTATTCTGTAATGTCATTGTTCAATATTCAACGCATTCGGTAATGGTTTTCTTCATTCACTTCTGATAGTTCGCCTTTGAAATTGATTTCAATTGAAAAGTCTAAATCTCGATTGTTCCGATCATTTGGTTTCAATTTAAATACACCATAGCATGTTTCATTCTTTTTCACTGTCAAATAATCGTCCAAATAAAAGACGGTTTGCTTCCAGTGTGTGTAGGGTGAATCTGGTGATGTGCTGTAAAATCAAATTGACGAAACAATTAATATTTATTGGAGTATTTCTGTGAAAATGTGTTCATGTTCGAAAATATTTACCTGAAACCCATTCGCTTGTGGCAGCGTGTGAATTCAACATTGAAAAATGTCACCAATGCTTGTACGAAATCATTTCGTTTCATGACCAATTCGAATGGTGTAGAGAAATCCAAATCGGCTTTATTTATCGTATACAAATCGACTTCTTTGATTAGATATGGGCTTGAAACCACTTGTTTTGGATCAACAACATCGACAAGTGGTTCAGTGATGGCAACCTTTCGTATCGATGACATATTAAAACCATAAACATCATCCCACCAATTAATCTTTTCATCTTTGTACTGTCTATCTTCAATGGCGGTAACATACAATGTGCATCGATCTGGAAACATCATGCCATCTGCTTTGAGCCACTTGTCACGCGCAAATAATACTGTATCCAACATTGATTCATAAAACAAGCAATAGCCCATCCATTCGGAAATAATAATATCAACTTTTTCCACTGGCAATTCGATTTCTTCAACTTTTCCCTTGACCAGTGTGATAACATCGCTAAACTGATTTGCTTCAATTATTTGTCTGGCATAATCAACGATGTTCGAACATTCGACGGCATACACCTTTGATGCACCGGCTTTTGCTGCAAACATGGACAGTATTCCCGTACCACAACCAATATCCAAGACAGTCTAATTAAGATGAAAATACGCATGAAGTGCATCGATTGGAAAGAAAATGGTATCATAAATTTACAAAGAATATACATACTTTTCCTTTGAAGAGATGCTTATTGTGATACATCGCATTGCGGTATGTTAATGTGCGCACCTCATCTTTCAGCATTTCTTCATGAATACCGAAATGTGCATAGGAATCAAAATAGTAATCTCTGGACGTCATTTCGTCAGGACTCATGCCATTCTCTTTCTTCAGAGTTGAGCCATTCGCTGCTGCCTCTGACTGTGCCTCCATATTAACATCATTTGACTGCTTAAAAAGTGAAAGTTAAAAAAATAAATTACAATTTGTTTGAGGTTGGCATTAGTGTGAATTTGATATAATTCAAGCGAAAATTAAAGAGAAATAAATTTTCTCTTAGATCATTTCCATTCAAAACATTGTCAAAAGCCAAAATATTTAAATAAAACCGAATCATATTCACATCTGTGCCGGTTTACATACAGGCATGCGACTCTTAATAACCTAACCACAAATATAACAAAACAAAATGTCAGCGCCAATAACACGTTTTTTTTAATCATTTTTCATGGCGCCTCATGCTTTTTACTTAACGAAAAATTAATTTAAAATATTCAAATGGTTCAATGTTTTGCAATTCATTTAAATGCCGCATCACATAAAAGTGCAATGAAGCTTGAGTGCAATTCATACAGACAACATACCATTTTGATCGCCCTTGTTTGTATCAAATATGTCTATATATATTTATATATATGTATAAACTCCGAACGGATTCTCGTCTCTTTTTTCGGCAATCGAAAATTTGCAAACCACACAAAATGAGCACACGACTTTCAGTTATGTCTACTATATATGATGCACAAGAAATTGAAATTAAACGTTTTAATATGATAAAATCGGATTAATTCATCAATAAAAAATTATCATTTAGTTTTTTTTTTTCTTTAAAAATGTGTACTGAGTTAAGTTTTGGCTTCAACGACACGCAATAGACGTGCTGTTGTGCTTTTGCGATTGAATGGATGTTGTGTATTGTATGTATCGAATAGTATTGGGATAGTTGCGTTCATACCAATATAGCATGCGACCATGCGAAAGTATGGGTGCGCGCGTATGTGTGAAATGTCAAATACCGACACAACACTAGTGCGATATTCTATTTTATCTGTGCTACCTAACCTCAATTTAATGACAAATCTGTAATTTCTGCTACAGACAATTGTGCTTCTTTTAGTGTGATTGGAATTTAGAAACAAAATAAAAAAAAGCGAGTCTCTAATTGTTTGATTATTGAATTGGACGTTGTTGAGTGAATTTCAAGCGATGCGTCTTACAAATGTGTTAAATGCACAGCATCTTGGCTGGCATTTTAAAATGAAATGGAGAACTTTAAAACGTCGTGCCATAGAAGATCAAAATGCTGCCAGTTATTTAAAGGCAATGGGACTGCCAGTCATTGATCCTGTTCAAGAGTTTATGTCTGAACCGGAAATTCCCAAACCACCGTTTGTATTTTATTGCTTTTTGACATTCGTTTTGTCCAACCATCATATTAAATATGTCGTTTATTTTCACAGATCTGAATTACTCAATCCACTTTCAATTGGTCAGCTTGATCGAAATGAAAATCATCCGTTTTGGAATTCCCGTGTTTGTCATATGTTTGGCGATAATAATGTTTTGATTTGTGGTGAAAAACAAGCACAAGTCTTAACGAAAACACTGTTAGTCAATGAACTGCCAGACACCATACAGAAATTGGCCAAAAATGTGGAAATATCAGAAGAAACGGAAATTCGAGTAAAAAATAGCATTTTACATGCACATTTATTTGATGCACACCAAGAAAAACTGGCGGTACGTAAAAATCCAGAAAAACCAATGTGGGTGTTTCCACGCGAATGGGGAATCACCGATTATCGCAAAAAGTAAGTGTCATGATTGTATTTTTGGCCAGGGATTGTTCCCCTCTGGTGAGGCGGAAATGAATGCCTCATAAATTGATACAAAAATATCGTAGCGTTCATCTCAGCAGATGTATTCACCTGAACTCTATTGAACATATAAACATTTCATTTCAGTCGTTACATTATCGATAAGTTGTTACAGCAATGCGAGAAGCTAACAGACTCTTCAATAACATCGCAACGAAAAATCTTGGAAAATGTCTCATTTGTTGTTCCATTTGAATCGGATGGCAATTTAATTCAATTTCACAAAACTGCTGAACATTTTCTAGTATCAAAACAAGCAATTAAACCAATTGAAAATATTTCAAATGCTGAATCTGAATTGCCCAACCTGCATCCATTGAAGAGTAATATTTCAATCGAACCGGAGAATATATATCAAGAGAAACATATTTATCGTAAGTTGAATGAAACAATAAATTTATTCAGACATTCGAATTTTTCGAATATCCAAATGCAATACTTAATTTGTATCAATATTATAGCGGTTCCAAAGGGTGGCAACTTTGAATATCCACATACTGCATTTGTTCATTACACACCACTCGATGTGAAAAACATTACATTGGAACCAGTTAAAGCTGAACAAATTGCCTCACGAAATATGCTCAAAGCATTTACCATTGCAGCTGCAAAGGCGCAATCACTCTACGGGGTAAGGATATTTCTATCAATCATGCGAAGAATCAATTCGATATCAGATAAATTTCGGAGATTAATCCAAAGTAACCCATCCACTTTGGAGTATGGGGCATACCACTCACTCTCTTCACATACAACATACAAATAATACACCTGATTTTTATCTGATTAATTCGTCTGATTGGGACTTTTCTTGAATGTCTAACAAAGAAAATAAAATAATTCTATATTCTTTCATTTCTTGATTTGGTGATCAATGACTGTCTATTACAGGCTAAGGTAGAAGATTTACCATCACCAATAACCGTTCAATGTGTTCAAGTTCACATCAATCAATTTTATTTCGGCGTTTATCAATTGAATACATTGAATTTGAATGCAGACAATGACAAAAAGAATTATTGGTTCAAAACATCGCCAAAACTTCTTTACACAAACTGTGAATACAACGAGAGTCGACCTGTGCTGAAGAATTACAATGACGATGTCCTTCGCCACACATTAGCTTTTTATCAAAATCAATAAATTGAAAAATAGAAGAGTTTGTGTGACGTAAACAAATCGAATTGTAGTTATATAGTAATGTAAAATATATTATGAAATTACATATTAAATTGTGAACAAAAAAAAAACCTTAACACACATTTTTTGGTCTTGCGGAAAATACAGAAAACTAAAATCAAGCGTTATTAAATGAAATCAAGCTATTTTCTGACTCTGGATGCGATAAAGAGAGAAATTACTATTAATACTCAAAATTAGATATCAAATCGAATTGATTTTGATTTTTTTTTTTTTAAGTTTGAATTAAATATTACAAACGAACTTTCAGTTCGAATTTGAAAATGTAGCGCAAAGACAATGCACATAACCTTAAAATGAAACAGTGTACGTTGTACTGTCAAACACATACACATGACAGAAACACAACTGAAAAGCGCGCTTAAACAACACATTGTATACAGAGTGAATTTTCGGAATTTTTTGAAGAATTCAAGATGTCATTGGATTTAAATTCAAGTGCTGAGCCGGTGAATTGTTCATTCATATCGGAAAAGGTGTCAAAGATTCGTTTCGTGCAAGAAAAGTATAAACAATCAGACACATTCGTTACTGGTGGTTGGGGTTCCGATCCGAATTCAATTGGTTTATGGAAACTCACAAAGGACGATCTATCGAATGATGAAAATGAAGTAGATTATACACCAAAATCGATATCGAAAATAAAAGTAGACGGTGATGTGACTGGTCTCGAATTTATCAATTCTGAATCGATTGTTTGTTCAACAGCTGCTGATAGTGGTAAGTAGTGTGCCAATCGTTCAACGTTATATGTCATTTTAATTGTATATTTTCGAATCAAAACAATAAAAATGCTTCATTGCTTTTCACAAAAATGCTTGCACAGTTCAATTGCTCTTAATCAACCTGAATCATGGTTTGACACACGAAAGCATTACGGTCAAACATAAAGTCGAACAATTGCATAAATACAAAACAAATACGCCGGCTGTGTGCAGTGGAATTTCCGTGTATGAAACAAATATTGCAACAGTTGGTGAAGATGGCAGGTAACAACTGGTGACTCTAGCATATTTCGTGTAAAATGAGTAGTATTGAATGAAAATTTTCGTTTTTATTTGCAGTCTGAATGTGTTATCAAGCCAAGGACGTGTAGTGAAATCATTTCCTCATGTGGACAGTTGTGCCATTTCATCTGTGGCTTTTGTTAATCACAATGAGGTCAGTATATATCATTAATCAGAAGACGTTTTTTTATATAGAAAGTTTCACGTTTAATATTTTACGGTAGATTTTCACCGGAAATCGAATCGGAATCATTAATATTTTCGACGTAAGAAACCAGGAGAACAAATCGTCGACCAAATTAATCATATCGACTGAAGATGACAAACGATCGAATTGTGTTACTTGCATTACCTACCATCCAAATCAAAATCATATTGTAAGTTAATGCGCATTTTATACTCAGTCCAGTGGCATGACAATCATTTAATTATTCGTATAGGTTTTATGTGGCAGTGAGGAGGGTACATTGACAATATGGGACTTACGGCAACCATCTTTTCCTGCTTCATACTACACCGTGCATGAAAAAACTTCTGTTAGCGACATAGCATTCCATCGCACCGATCCAACCAAACTATTCACATCATCCGAATCGGGCGAATTGTTTCAATGGAGTCACAAAGCCCAACAAATCACTGAACGTATCGATGGACAATTGACCGTTGTCGAAAATGAAAATATAAATCCATGGCTGTGCGGTCAACGAACCAAATCACGAATTAATGTAATTTCTAGTCAATTTCTCTTCTTTTTTTTTCATAAAAGTATTAAATTTTCCAAACATTTCACTAATTGCTGACGTTTCTACTACGTTTCCAGTTGGTTCGACACTTGGAAGGAATTGGAAAGGCCATAAACTGCTTCGATACTAGCGGCTCGAGATTGATTTGCGGATGCGACAATGAAGCCATTTATCTTATCAATAATGCTTAATATATTAAACATGTCATAATAAAAATGTGTCTACAGACACCCCATTTTTTTATTTTACAAAATGTAATTGATTGTATGGCATGCTCAGACGAAGTCAGTGCGTGGCCATATTTTAACTCTGCATAAAATCCACAATAAAATCATTTGCGACTATTTATTCTCTTCCGTCTTGTGAATTGAATAAAAACTTGACTTATTTGTTTTAAAATGAACATTTACTGAATTACTGATTTAAAATGAATTTTCTTTTTTTTTTTGATATTTCATTACGTACATAAACTGATTCCAAAGTAGGGTTCTATTGGGAGATATATTTTCTCACAATAACCATATAAATTTTGTAACAATTGAATTGGATGAGATTTTCATGAAAACTGGGTATGTAAGTAGGATAAGGCTTGATACTTTTGTAGTAGGTGTATCAAGTATACTTTTTTCATCTTCGCCTCAGTGAAACCTTAGGATTAGAGATACCATTCGATTAAAAAGGTGAAAAAAAACGCAAAATTCATTCGTTTTTATACACTATATTCTTTGATTTTTATGAATTCAGTAAAAATTCGGTTTACAAAATTTTTTTTTTTTTTATGTTTAATGTTGTAGTTGCTTAATCAATTATGATAATTATGACTCTATTGGAATATAGTATCGAATTGTCTCAAATGAAAATTGTATAAAGAATGTGTTTTACGGGTCAAATAATCATAAGACGTCTTTACGTCGTAAACTATTGGTTTTCATTCTTAATGAGACTCTAACCAGTGAGCTTGAAACTAGTAAAACAAACTCTCATCGAAGACAAACTTTTTTTTATATTTTGTAACGTAAGCCCTTGTAATAAACGCTTAACAGAATACTAGTTATAACATATATTTTTTATTTAAAAAAATGTTGTTTAATGCTTTAATTTGTAATCTTGGTCGATAGTTCAACTAAAAGAAAAATTGTATTTGTAAAGAATGTCAGTTTAAAAGAAACGATGAAAAAAATTTCCAACGGAAATAAACGTGGAAGTCTTGCAGACTTATTTAAGGTTGCGTAGTTCGACATCAAAGATGAGAGTTGAATTGCCGGGAATTTGTGGTGGTGCACCTTTATGGCCATATGCAACATTTGGTGGGCACGTGATTCGGCGTTTTGAACCAACTTTCATACCGACAACACCGATGTCCCATCCTTGAATCACTTCACCGCGACCTGTATATGTAAAATCGTTCGTTATTTGATGCAATTTCAATGAATTTTTTTTTTATTTTAATTTTTGATACGAACCCAAAGTGAACTTGAATCCTTCGCCGGATTTTGTGCTGTCAAACATTTTGTTGTTCGATTTTAGTCGTCCTTCGTAGTAAACGAAGACCTTTTTGCCAGCTTGGGCTTCTGGACCTTTACCAACGCGAAGATCTTCGACAATTACGCCGCCCTTGAGTGTTTTTGGTGTTGACTTCTTTTGTTGTTGGTTTTGCTGTTGTTGCTTTTGTTTTTGCTCCTGCTGCAATTATAAATCATGTTAATTAACTTTATTTTCTACGAAAAACGTTTTATTTCCAATGATTTTGGATGTAATTAAATTTCTCACTTGTTTATCTTGTTTTTGTGCCTTTTGTTGGTTCTTTTGTTTTTCAAGTTCTTTCTTCGGTACCTTGCCATTGGTCAAACCATTTTGTTTTCCAGCATTTTCCAATTTGGCCTTCTTGGATTGCGGAGCTTCGATTTCGTCTGAATCATCTTCATCGTCGTCGTCCTCATCGTCATCGTCATCGTCATCGTCATCGTCGTCGTCATCATCGCTATCTAAAATGTCAAATAAAGAATTAAAAAAAATCGACTTTTATAAGTCATTCATGAAATGAATTCAATTTTATTGCACATTTCTTACCTTCTTCATCTTCCCCTTCTTCATCTTCGAGAAGTTCTTTGGTAACTCCTTCAAAGTCTATATCGCTGTCATCTTCATCATCGTCTGAATAAGTTAAAACAAAGCATGCCATGCACTTAGTACACATTTTAAAATTAAATAATGCATTCGTTTACCTTCTTCTTCTTCAACATCTTTCACAACTTTGACTTGTTTCTTGTCAACCTTTTGTTTATTTTTTGGTGCTTCAACCTCTTCGTCACTATGAATAAAATTAATGTCATTGCAAATAAAATGGACAAATGTAAGCATTTAAAAAAAAAAAACGATAAATGTACCTTTCTTCTTCTTCTCCATAAGGTGGATAATCGCCAAAATCATCATCATCTTCTGGTAGCAAATAACCAGTGAGATGAACGGTGCCACTACCTTTGCTGTAAAAAGCAACAGTTTCGCCTTCAGTGAATGTAAGATCCAATTGAACATGTGATGTTTTTCGGCCTACATTGGCGATCAAATGGTCTGTGTCATCTGTGTTAAGCCAAACTTGAACAACAGCATCACTGTCATTTGGATTTACGGTACCTAAATCCAATACCGCTTGTGATACATGAAACGGCTTCGATACTTGCTGTGAATAGCGTTTGTTTGTCTTCAAAACCAAACCTATTGTTAACGAGATACAGAACAAAAGAACACGATAAAATTTCATCGGAATCGAAAATAACGGAACACAATCGAAGAACACATGCGACATTCGATTAAGGTTAAGTTGTGATCCATAGCGGTAAACACACTATTTCATGTACGAACACGATTCAATCTCGATTAACGACAAAATGTTATATTATTTTCTTTTTTGCACAAATTCAAATTCCGATGGTGTCCAATTTAAATGTCAAAAAATACCGCATAACAATCGAAAACTGTATCGAATTTATTGTGTAAACTAAAAATATTGCAAACGACCAAATGTAAAAAAAACACGTGTGTACGATCTCCAGAAATAGTTTTCTTTTTTACAAAAAAATATCCAATTTGAAACTTACCCCAGAACATTTTTTCGTCGGTATATTAATCAAAAGATATAAAATCAAACGTAAACTTGCAATTAATTTGCAGAGAAGAATAAAACTAAAAATTATTGAAATGAGCACTGTTGTCGCGATTTGGTTTTAAACGATAAAGAGCACACACAGTCAAGGCGACCACGTTCGTTTAGCGGCTTTCAAAATATGATTTCCAATGCTGTGTCTATACAAAAGGCGCGTGCTGTATAGCGTTTGTGTTGAACGAGCAACCGAAGATAAGAAGAAGAAGGAGTCAACGACACACGGCAGCAGCTACGACAAAAGCGACAGAACCGATATGTCACAAATTCATCGCATTAGAGTATGTTCTTATCCCGAACGCATTCCAATTTGATTTTAATTTATGGTTCATTTATGTGCAAACTATGAATTGGAACAAAAAAAAATAGATTTGATTTTTGAAATTTCATTTTTCAACATATGAGAAAAATTTGCCAATTTTTTTCCATTAATTTCTAGCAGTAAATCGACAAAGGAGCGAAAAATGGCCATAAAATATGGACAAAAAGAGATAGAGAAATACACGAAAGTAGAAAATTTATAAATATTTATTGAATTCAAGTGGAAAATTCCGTTTTTGTTATACACAAAATTCAATCATCAGCTTATCCACTTCAGATCACATGGAAACGCATAATAATATTCTCGAAGAATACAATGGAGAAGAGCAGCAACAACAAAATAACGAATAATAATAATAGTAATGATTGTGTTGTTTTACTGTTTCTTTGCGAGGATTTCGGTTGCATGCGCAATGCAAAGTTCGTATTTATTTTTCATTCTCTCTATCTTTTTCGTCTTCGGCGCGAGAGAGAAATGGATAGATACGTTCATCCAATTGTATGACAGAGTAAATGCTAATAAGAAAACGAGAGCAAAGTATGGCAACGCAGGATATTTGTCCTGAATTTGTCGCTCTCTCTCTCTCTCTCTCTTTTTTCGTTCAACACAATCCATTTGTGTTGGAAAAATGTTTTAAGCAGTTTGTAAAACAAAACTGACCTGTGTACATAGAATTTACCGTGAACAGTAAAGAACAAGAAAAAAAAATTACAAAAACACACATACACAAACATATACGAGAAAACAAAATAGCTCCTAAATGGAATTTTGTTTTTTAACCGTTTAAAAAAAGAAACATAGACAATTTTGCCAAGTAGAAACTAATTGCGAAAATAAAAACACACAGGACTACTGCATATTTTTCTCCAGTTTTTAAATTTTAGACGTAGTATTGTGTGCAATGCCGTTCCACGGTTCTTCTTTTTTTAAGTTAATATGTTGCGTATTCTTTTGAGAGAGCTTCATTCGTAGCTTATAATTGCATAAACATCGTGTGTGCATAGTGAAACCACATAAATTCATCATCAACAATTATTATAATATACATTGTATTTATTATTCGTAAGCTCTTCACTGTGTATACTGTGAACAAACAAACGCATGAGTGAACATCGAATACTACATCCAAATTGCTACATTTCTTAAACAATGTGTAACCGATTGTGGTAGACCATAGTTCTCATCAACAACAGAATAAAAAATACGTTGTATTTAATCGATAGAATTTTGCGCGTATTTCGTACATTGATGAAAACAAGTACTTTAATTATTTGATAAAAATCCCAACAAATTGTTTAAATAAACTTTTATATACCGACCATCAATGATATATTCAATTAAATATTTAGCATGTATTCGAACAAATGAGTGCAGAACATCAACAATGGATTGGATAAATAAAATCTACGTTTGGTTCAATTATCGCTGAATTTGCGTTAACGTGGAACATTTATCGAAAAACTGTGTATTGGTGATAATTTAGTGAAAAAGAGAAAAAAAAGAGCATAAACGTACCACAAAGCCGTAGGGAGAGACTAATTATTTGACGAGACACTATAAAAAAAAAGTTTTTGTTCACGTGTTCATTATTGGCAACATAAAACCTTAATTTTACCTAATGGACGCGTATGTGCATGATTAAAAGTAATTTTCGTGCGAAAATCAAATATATATATACAAAAATAGCCAAATCATGAAACATAAGTGACATGTAAAAGCAAGAAACTTTGATTTGGATATCGTTGCCACATACCATAACATTTCAGATCATATTTTTTGCCTAACTTATTTTTGATAAAACACATTAATGTTGATAAGACACAGAGTCATATGATTAAACAACATTCATTGTGGGAACAATTTTGAACTGAACTTTTACCATGATATTCATCGTTGGACTTAATAATCACAATAATCGTGAGTACTTTTTTTTTCAGGCTATTCGATTTTGAATATTTCCTATTGTACCGTCCCATTTCGTAAAAGAAATGTACCATTCATTTTGTGCTTTATGTTTGCTGTGCTTAAATTGTAAAATACATGCAACAGAAATAGGGAAAATATGACATCGTAGTGAAACGAAAGTAAGCCTACATTAAACCGTGATGGTCAAGAGGAAAAACGAATAATTGGAATACATGGTAGCCGCTCCGTTTGCTTTTTTTTTAGACCAAAGACTCACCATCATGTTTTGTTTTCTTTTGGTCGCATCGATTTTCCGATATACATATACATCTTTGTTCCTGTTCTTCAAAACATGAACGAAGAAAGACAGAAGCTCAGAGAAAGGGAAAGAAAAAACGAAAAAGAGAGAGACAAATACCGCAATCTAAGAAAAAAAAAAAAAATAAATAAATATTCTACATTATATGTGTATGTGTGTTGTTTTGAAAATTAAAAAAGCTCCGTCGTTTGAAAAGCGTTAAAATCTGCCACACGCTTCGATTTATGAATAATACTTGAAATATGAAATGTTACTTGTAAACGTGGTGACATCATTTCGTGGATAAATTTCCCCAACATTTGCTCCAAAAAATAAAAGTGTAATAAAAACAAAAACGCATACAATCAACGTTCTTATTTGGGTAGATCATTTTGAAAAGGTGTCATTTCAAATCGTCATTATTTTTAAAGTGAGGAACCTTTTGTTTTCACTCTTTTTCAATATGGATCAAATCACACTAAATTTGCACTTAATAGTTCACAATGCGTGCATCATAACTGTTGTTATTGTCATTTTAATTCTCTCTCTATCTCTCTTTCGCACTTTGGGTAGCTTGTTTGCTGTAAGTGTAATCAGATCAAGTAAGATAAAGTTCAACGTACGTCAATACGTGTTGGGCTTCATTCAAATGGAATGAGGCTTTGCATGCACACTGCACAATCTCTGCATTCAAACGTGCGCGCAAATGTGTTGACCTCCATACAACCTTTTTGATGCATTTTATGTATGAAACGATGTCATTGGAACAATTTTCCCCTCTTCACAAAACTCTCTGGCTGAAACAATTTTCACAATTTATCAATGAATGCAATCGAATCGTGTTATGCATGTGCATCGTGTTTGCGTGAATTTGCCAATTCCGCAAAGTATACAATTTATAAAACACAAATTCAACATCAACATAGAACAATTTATCTTAAGCTCTATTTTACTGATGTAATTTTTTATGATGATGATGATGATTTTAATCCATGGTGAAATTTGGTATAATATGCTAAATGACACTCACAAAAAGAAACATACTTTTTTCTGTTATTGCGTAAGGTTTTTATGCAAACAATTTAACTAAATCTGACGTTGAATGGCCTATGAAATCCATTTGGAATTCAAATGAAATGAGAAATCGGATCTCTATGATGCTACATCAAAGAGGAGCAGCATAATGAATGAGTCTTGCGAAAATAAGCAGAGCGAAATTATTAATTGCCATGGCAAATAATAATAAGTTATTTTCAAAACCATGACAATAAAGACAGCACGACACCAGTCGTGATATCAGAGAATCAAAGAAAAAAAATGTATGGGATAATGCCGTAAAAAAGCTCAATTCACATGAATTCATACTGAATAATAAATGTAAACTGTACAATTGTTTCTCCCCATCCTTTCCCTCTCTCACTATATATATCATTGGTTTTATGTTTCTCATTATCTTACATTAACGGCAAAAGCGATATAAATGACCAAAATACCCATCGTCATTTTTATAATCGCAAGCAATACATAAAATGATAATTTCCTGCATAGTGACCTAAGAGAGACCTAAGAGAGCAATGTACAAAACACCAGTTATACATCATAGTCATTCATTTTTCATGTAGTCAACACTGCTCAACGCTCGTCTTTTACATTGATTTATAAAGTGGATGGCGGTTGTTCGTTCTTGGTACTTTTAGCCGTGGCGGAGGATAACAAAAAAATAAAGTGCATTTCCGTTAAATACATTTTCGCTTAATAATGGCGTCGCAAAACGGGGGATGCTCTTCCCCCCATACGAGTTGAACACAAATATCGAATTGAGCATTTCGCCTCTGACGCAAGACCCATGTCGTTCATCGTCGTTGTCGTCGTCGTTGGTGTATTTGTGCCATAGATTTTCCTCGAAATGCACATTCCAGTGCATCGGTCGTACTCAACACAATTTCAAACACACACATAGTGCGTATATGTAACGGGAATGTGAGTGAGAGTGAGAGTGATAGTGTAAGAAACAGAAAGGGAGACAGCATGTATTTGTTTCATTGAGATATTATAAAACGATTGAATGGACATGGGCTCGCATTCATGTTTTCGATTTGCGCTGAGAGCTTTGAAAACATCGGCGAAAATAAAAACAATTCATTCTTAACCACCAACGAAGTGATTAAAACTAAGAAAACGTATACTCTTTGTATTTCTCTTCATTCTCCCAAATGCGATTATCTACTAGTTAAATTTTTACCATTTTTTTTTGGAAGAAAATAGGTTGGCAACGAGAATACCATTCGAATGGATTTCAATTGGTTTTTAAATAATTTGAATTATTTTTTCCTGTCATTTTTCAGTTGCTATGGAGAGTACAACTATCTTGGGAGCGATTTTCGGACTCGTTGCTTTGATATTGGTATTTTTACTATATGTGAATCGCAGATGGTGCTTTCATACAACACCCTCATTCGCATGTTGTGACGAAAATTCAATACCATCAAAATATGTTCATAAAATGGGTAAGTCAATAGTTCAAACAGTGATAGTGCGAGTTAATGATGTAAAAGAAAAGAAAAAAAAAAACAATTCGAAACCAAAGATCATTAAAAATTCCAATTTAAAGAGAAAATAAAATCTATAAATAAAACAATTGAAGCGGAATAGAATTCGTTAAAAATACTCGTTGAAAATGTCAAATTGAACATGTGACAACAACAAATTTCATTGAAAGTTGTTCATTTCTTGGCATGTTCTTTTTTTAAACGAAATGAATTTTCAATTAAAAATGTGACATTTTGTTTGTGTTCCTTAATAATTAATTGTATTACTTTTCAAGTTAATTATTCGAGATCATACAGTTCGATTCGGTTCTACTCTTTAATTATCCATTCTTATTTTACTTTAATTGCTGTTTTTGTGAACCGTGATAGTCTAATATTAAAAAAATCATTTGACACGTGGTGGATCGCAACTTGGTGGCGATATGTTTTTGTGGTTTTCGTTCGATTTTCATTCGATTTGGATTGAAAAAACAAACTACATTAGTATCAAACATTTTTTGGATTCCGTAGTGTTGAAAATAACCAACAATGAATTCCCAAGTCATTACTAACAAAAATTCTCTAATCAATTGATAACGACAGCCACTGTTTTTACACCATACTGTAAATCATTTCTAATTAATTCAAGGGTTGCGATCGAAATTAATTATTTTTTTTTGTGCTGTATTTTTATAAATAAGTAAAAAGTGGAATTTGATATGTTTTCAAGCGGCATTTCATAAATTTTGTTTTGCTCATTTTGAACATGGTAAACATGGTTGGTGAATAGTCGAATGTATTTCATTTTTGTCATACTGAAAGATCGCGTTTCTGTCCTCCCTGTATCGAACAACGAATTTAACGAGCGATTCTTGCCTTTGTATGTTGAGTGATTCATCAAGAGTGAAAAACAAAAACCATTGATTATTTCAACATGTTATCGATTATTTAAAACGAAGAACCACATTGAAAAAATAGATAAGAAAGCAACAATTATTTTCCTATAGACGTTCTACAATACATATAAAGTGTATACAAACCATTGATTGAAAACTCTTATGAAATCGATTTATATAAAACGGATATGAAGCAAATAGTGAACAAAAAAAGTAACCAATCAACACTCAACTGAAAAAAGAAAAGACAGAAAAAGAAGAAAACACTATACAACATATATCGAATGAGATATTTATTGTGTGCGCTCAACAAATTATTGTTGATGTGCTATTGCATTCATGACCAACTAATAATTTTAATGAAAAGCTATGTGTTTGCAAACGGATATATTTCAATAAACAATTGTCACGCATCGACACGAAATTAAAACATTTAAACGTTCCTTCAATCAGAAGTGAAACAACAACGACAACAACAACACAACATGAAATAGCACCTGATAATATAAACAAATTATTGATGAATAATAACAATAAACGAAGCATTTGTGCAATCTATTAATTTGTTGTAACGCATATCGCTTTTGATGATCCGGCTACATTATTAGGTCAAACAATGCACGCAAATAAATTAAATGAAGAAAATTCATTGGGTGCTCTCAATTTTTCTTCCTTCGTTCGATTTATTTTATCTATCTCTGTTTTTGGTTTGCACGAACGAATGTTTAACTCTTTTTTCCGTGTGTATTCCGCTAAACTAATCGAGATAAATACTAAGCAAATGAAAATAAACATTAATTTGTATCGGTATATTTAAAAGCACGCAAGCGTCCGCATGAAGGATACACCAGTTCGGATTCAGAAGAGGAGCTTTTACGTCGATTGCAAATGCAACAGTCGAGTAGCCTTCACAGTGGCCAATTGTCAGTGGCTAAATATGGTGCTGGACCACTTAATGAGAATTTAAGTAGTTTGAAACGTATCACCGTTGCAACACACAGAGAACGGTTTAATGATCCATTGGGTGTCGCTGAACGGGGCAAAGTTGGCATGCCACCATCAAGCAGTGAATGCAGTTCAAATAGTTCGGCTGATGCATCGGTCGAAAGTAATATGGGCATTTTGCATGGCGAACGAAAAGGTAAATTGTATTGAAAATTGGAAAAAATCATCTCGTTCGTTTCTTAAATCCAATATGAATATTATAGATCGTCGACTGATTATGTCAGATGCAGCCAAATCATTTGATTCAAATTCATCGTCAACGACCTTAAAGGAAACTAGAATAGATAATCGTATCGAATGTAGTAGTAGTTTAACATCCAAAAAATTCCACAAAAGGGCATTACAGCGACAAGATAGTATAGATCAGGCGCAAAACATTAGTAATAATAATCAAGATGTGAGTTTTACATTACATCACACAGTTGCCGATTTAAATCATCCATTTCTTCTTCTTCTTCTTTTTTTTCATATCCAAATTGTTTTTCTTTCGATAATTATAGTGCATTGTAGTTTTATCTCAAGAACCACTTTTTGATACAAGCGATTTGGCATCGGTTAAATCGGATATCGATATAAATCGCCCACAATCACCATCATCGACGATGGGCCGATACGGTAGCGTTGAAATATCACTTCTGTATGATGCACCAATGCGAAAAATGACCGTACATGTTTTACAAGCACGTGGCATCCCATGCCATAAAGGTCAACCAACACATACACAAGTAAGCACACCATTGATCCATTATTTGTACATTTATTTTGCTTCTTTTCTATCACAAAATGGTATTTGTGTTATGCCTAACAAAATTCGTTCAATCAAAAGAAGAAAAAAAAATAAAAAAAGTAACGCAACTTCTTTCTTTTCTTCGTTTTTTTTTGTGATTGATTGATTGATTAATTGGCTGGCACGTGTCTAGGTACGTCTTCTTATTCTGCCGAGTAAGAAACAAAAACATAAAACGAAAATACGCACAGGAGAAAATCCACAATTTATGGAAAGCTTTTTATTACACCGTGTCAATCCCGAAGAAGTAAATTCAATGGGTTTACGTATCAGAGTCTATGGCTGTGAACGAATGCGGCGTGAACGCCTGATTGGCGAATCGATAGTTAGTTTTGCAACGATTGATCTTGAATTAGAGACAAATCTATGGTTACCATTAGAGTCTAGAGCCAATTCAACGGTATGTGTGATTATATGGAATTTATTCAAATTTATTTATTTATTCGTTATTATTTTTCAAAATAAATAGTTGGGTGGCTCGACAAGCGAAACACGTACCGGTTTAGTTACTTGCGATTTGTTAAGTTTGGCTCGATCGGATAGTACATCTTCAACGACATCGATGCAACACGGCGGTGTTCCGGAGCTGTTGTTAGCACTCGCCTACAATGGTACAACTGGTCGTTTAACGGCTGAAATCGTAAAAGGTAGCCATTTTCGTAATATCACTCTGAATAAAGCACCCGACACGTATGTGAAATTAGTGTTGGTCAGTAGTATGGGTCAGGAAATGGCCAAAGCAAAAACATCCACAAGAAGAGGTCAACCGAATCCGTTGTTTAAAGAATCGTTTGCATTCCAAGTAAGTTTATGATTTTAAATTACAACTTATAAAGTCAACTAGGATTTTTTCTCGTTCACATTTAAATGGGTTTCTAATCATTTTAAAATTTCGAAAAAAAAACACAACAACAACAAATATAGGTAGCACTATTTCAATTGAATGACGTAACATTAATGGTGTCCATATACGCCAAACGAAATATGAAAAAGAATGAGATGGTTGGTTGGTTTAGCCTTGGATTGAATTCATCGGGACCGGAAGAGATGGCTCATTGGATTGATATGAGAAAAGCGACACGCGGTGAACTATTGGCACGATGGCATGTGCTTGTTGATTCCTGATTTCAATAGCTAGGACTCTCACCTCGGCGTCTAAGCATCAATCTTGGCGGCAATTCAGAGCACTCAAAACAAAAACGAAAATCAAAGGAGAAACGACACAGCACCATTGCCGTTGATTTAGAGCCGGGGGAGTTTGAGTTCAATTTTGTGTGAATTTACTATACAAACACACATACAAACACACACCCACACATGTGTGAGTTTCTCATTTTTTTAATTATCAAATGCAACATTTCTTTTAGCTAGGTAAATTTATTGACAATTTGATTCGAATCAATAATATAATAGATAATTTTGTGTGCATTCAACTGAACTATTGAATCACAATTTGTACAAATTGGTACACAAAAAATAGAGGATTGAATTCTCTAAATTTGTTTGGATTTTTACGTCTACGAATGAGGCGCAACCGTCACAATTTTTGTCGATGGATATTTTCGGTTTTCTTTGGTAAACGAGAATGAAAAAAAAAAACAACAACAACAAAATCTCGTATAAAAGCTTTTAATAATAAACAACAAAATATTAGAACATTCGATTTAATAAAAACAAAATGAAAATAAATAAGCCATACGATCAATTCAACAATATATAGATAATGCAAACAATTTGCTTTTTGTATTTTTCAAAACCATTTAATAAACAAAGAATTTGTAGCGCGAAACGGTTTACTAAATTCTTTAACTAACTCTTGACTGAGCTCATACAATTAGATCGAATACCGTAGCAATTGGTTCGTGAAAAAGGAAACATTATGCACGAAGTAAATGGAACATGTTGGACATTTATGACGATATGTTATTGTCGAATGAGAGCTTTTTTTCTCGAACTTAGAGCAGTTATGTATGCTATTGAATTGTTTTTCTTTTCTGAATATGCACCGTTACGAATGATTGTACAACAATAAGAAATTTAACATGTAAACCGATTGCCGCGAATGAAAAAAAAAACGAAAGAAAAATACACATAGGATTTCTATATTTCAAGTAGAACGCCCACGTAGTTCGAATTTCTAGTTATATTTGGTATAAGAAACAGTTTTGTTTCACAATTAAACATTAAACATGAACCCATTTCAAAATGAAATGTTTTGCATCCAACTGTATTTGGAATTGGATTAAAATGAAAGAATATTAAACAAAAAAAAAATAATTTTAACAAAACAGAATTAAGCATAAATTTCTTGATCAAAAACCGTCAAATCAACGGCGTCAAAGAGACATCATACTCATATGAAATGTTGAAATTATATTGTTGTTGTGAATTAATGATTCGGATTTATTTATCGATGGCCTTGATTTATCAAGTATGGTGAAAATACACAAGAAAATCGCACAAAACACATTTAATTTTTAATAATTAACTAAAATAAACTAACAACAAAAAAAAATGGAATGACCAAATTACAAATGAATTTTGAGGATACATTTTATTGAAGCATATCAATGAAACGCATAAAACTATATAACGAGATATATTTGAATATTAATCAGTAACATACAAAACACACTAAACTCAAACACATACACGCATTAACACATAAATGAGTGGATGACATAACGCCCTGCACTTAACAACGGACGATTAAAAAAAACACATAATCTTACTGGCAGTCCGTGTGGGGTTTTATGATCGTTATTCAGATAAATGGTGCTACTGTACACTGACCAATGCAAGCAACAAATCCGCGGCCATTTGGTCCGAAAATCAAAAATTGTCGACGTTGTTTCAGCTTGTGATGTGTGTATGTGATTTTTTGCCAAGCAACTTGAAATGAAATACTCTATTTTTCATTTTCAAAAGAAAGAATTTAATTATATATTATAAAGAATAAATAGAATATTTAAATATATTTGCCAGAAATGAAAATCAATCTACTTTTGATAGTTTTCTTTCTTGATTGTTTTTTTTTCTCTGTCGGATGAGAGAGCTGGCTCGATATGATGGCCAAAGTTCAAAGCACAATTTCGAAATTAATTTAAACAAAGATTGACTAATTAGCCTGTAAGAAACTGAAAATCATTCAAAAATGAGAATAACAAACAACACATTAAAAAAAAAAAAAACAATTAATAAGTATTACATTATTAGATGTTAAATTTTTGTCTGTGTGTAATCGAAACTTTTGCTTTATTGAAGAGTAAAGTTACGTATATTTTTCAAAATTTATTCCATTTTACTTTTGATGGTATCAATTTTATCAAATTTATTTGATCTCCCTTTAATAATAATAATACAATGAAAAAAAGTCATTTTGTATGGCCTAGAAAGTGATGTTAATGATATATTGTCATATATTTCAGTTCTAATTGCTGTTAATTTTCAATTAATTAAATTAAATAATAAGATTACACTCAATTTTACATTTGTTTGAGCTTTCGACTTCTACCTCTTAACTGATTAAATTCTGTTCTTTAATTCAACGACAATTTTTTTAACATCGTTACTTCAAACCTCATTTCATTGTTGCTGAAATCATATTACTATAAAATTTCTTAAAAATTATTCAACAAGGCTTTCTTACGACAAATACTTGTTGATGCAGCTGTTTTTTCTTTGTTTTGAAATCTACACAGAAAGGTGGACTCGACAAATGTATCGATTCTGAAAAAAAAAAATAGACCCAAAAATAAACAACAAACTCAAATTAAATTAGCTACTCGAAATAACAAAATAAGAGTACGAACCCCAACATTTACTTGCCAATGATGAATTAAATTTAAAATTAACAAAAAAAACACTTCGACAAAATATTAGCCTTCTTCAATTCCAAATGTGTCTTTTTATTATGACTCATTATTTCATTGAATAAAAAAAAACAAACACACTGTATCCATTTGAAAAAAAAAAAAAAATACTCTAAATTAATACTTATGTGTTTTTTTCCTAGAATGATTAGTTAATATTTAAGTCAACAAATATTTTGAAAAAAAAAAAAAAAAAAGAAAAAATTTTAACGATCGTATGAAATGTTTTGCTTAAAGTATATATGGACACAAATTGTGAAAATGTTCAAAATTTCGAATGCCATATATACATTTTTGAATATTCGGAATGTGAAAATATTTATATTCGTTGAGATCGTGATTTTTTCCCCATTCGATATAAAAATAGATACAAATATACATATACATTTAATTTATTCATTTACATGTCCTTCTAATTGGTAGATTTGAAGATCTATAGATCCTAACCACCAAATCACTAAATTGTTTGTCCTTAAAACGATAATCTCATAGCATAGTTATTTCTTTGCATCAGACAATATATTTAGATTTCGTCATCTGGATATTTCAGCTCATCTGGATAACGTTTGGCGATGATACGAAATGAAAACAATAGAAGTGATTGTTGTATTGTATAGGTATAAAAATACTACCATAACTATAACAATCACTTCTATTGTTTTCATTTCGTATCATCGCCTAACGTTATCCAGATGACCTGAAATATCCAGATGACGAAATCTAAATATATTGTCTGCTTTGCATGAAAAAATTAAAAAAATAAAATGAAAATCAATTACAAAATGAATGATCATTATATTTGAATAATGATGCCATAATTGATGCGATACAAAAAAAATGATAAAAGAACCAGACATTATTTTGAAATCAGCTCAGGAAGCTGATGTCAGGCGCTGAAATGGAGTGAAAACAATGGAAGTGATTGTTATTACTGCTACAATCACTATAACAATCATTTCTTTTGTTTTGCTCCATTTCAGCGCCTGACATCAGCTTCCTGAGCTGAATCAGCTGCCTGAAAATATCTCGATATAATGTTTGGAAAGAACAAAATATAATAGTGTTTAGTCATGTTTCATGCTCACACACATACACATTTATTGAAACAAACAAACAACAACAAAGAAAAAGCTCTTTTCGAAACAAGTTGTTTCATCAGAAAAATTGTCTATCTTTTTTTGGCACTGAAACATGCAAGCATACATTTTTTAGCGATAGAAATATAACGTCGGATTTCATATCGAAATTGGATATTATTCATTAATGGGATCGTGAAAAAAAAAACAAACAAACAAACATTATTTTGAATTCGTAATATGTACGTTGTCCACGAAAAAAAATAACAGAATTTTTTTTTGAATGTTTTTATTCAATTTTATTATAATTACAAATCGTTAGATTTAAATGAAAAAGAAAAATACATTTTTTTGCGAAATAAACATTATTATGAAAATCAAACTAAAAATGAAAAAAAAATAACAAACAAAAAAAAATCATTTTATTTTCATTATAAAATTAAATTTCCCACGATGAACCGATGGTTTTTAATAAGCACGTTAATTTTGACACGGATTTGATTTGGTAAATAATTTTGTTTGATTAACCAGAAAAAATACAATGATTGCTCCGATGAATGAGCTCGATTGTATTACAGCACCGGCCCATTTGAGTGTCTTGTGACCATGACACCGAAACAGCTGCAGAATTGTTAATTTGATTAATGCGCCAAAGGCTGTAAAAGATGTCCATACGGTAATCTATATTAAATAATGGTAAATAATGGTAAATTTATATAGATTTAAAATTGTTTAAATGAATCATGATATGCAACATACAATTAAATAGCTTCCAAATGCCAATGTATGAAATGGTGGTGTGGGACCTTGCAAGGCTGTTATAAAAATATAAACGATGCATACGGTCGTTAACGTTGACAAAACGATAACATCTCGTACACTCGGACGTGAAATATATAAGCTGAACAAACATGCCACTGGGTTGGCAATCGATAACAATGTAGATGCTAGATGATATGCTGAAAAGCCATATGGATCACACGAATATGCCATGATTCCCGGGAAGAAGCCATACGTTAAAAATGATATTACACTGAGTGTAATCATCAAATAATAGAAATTCACTGATGTTAATGAAAATGTATTCGTTGGAATTGCTTGATAATCATTTGCTTTACCATTGACTGTATTCGTTTCGATTTCTTTTTGATTTGTCTCAATCGATGCGTATTCACTTTTACATGTTTCCATTGTGTTCAATAGAAAAAATGCAAATGAACTGAACAATAACAGAGCAAATATAAGAAGAAAATAAATTTTTGAGTCAAAATGTGATTCGGTATAGTGTACGGCAGTGATATTCGTTATTGTATTTGTCACACATTTTGGCGTGCCAATACCTTGAATTAATGATAAAACACTGGTTAACAAACCATTTAAACCCTGTCCAAACATATATGTGACCAAATATATGCCACGAAAACGTCCCATGAATGGCATAAACAAGACCGAACTTAGGCATCCAACAATTGCAAACATAAATGTGCATACTAGCAATGGTATACTTCGATAAATGCCACCAACATATATTGTCGTATCGTAGAAAAATGCCATAAATAATGCGGCAAAACAACCGATACTCAGCGTCAGATAAATTAGATTGGCGTCGTCAAACCGTACCGGTGACCATTTTTCGTAGATTATATATAACAACGATACAATATTTCCACTTTGTGTTAAAATTGCAATATACGCTGGGAGATTCTCTCCTTCTGGTGCCGTTTGGGTAATTTGCGGCAATTGTAAAAATGTTCCGGTTACTCCAGCCCATGCAGCAATACCAAAACTCATTGCCAAAAAGTCAACGAAGTAATTTCGTCGATGATTTGAATCCATATTTGATACACAAACTAAAAACTATTGGAATTAGTGTTTATTTTTATGAGCGTTAAAACTTATCGAATGCCAATACTAAATGTGAATGACAGAATGACATTACACAAGCATCATTTCAGCTCAGTATTACTGGATGAACGATGTAAGTGATGATACTAAGATAAGATAAGGATTTTTTCGTTGAACAATTGAATAGAAGACAAAAAAAAAATGAAATTATCATATGATGAATTTTTCTTCGTGTGATGAGAAGCCAAGAATCTAAATATAAACACTAAAGTGATAAAACATGACAACAACAACAACAAAACGAATACAACAAATTTAAATATCAACCGTTTTTTTTTGTTTCAGAGTTATCGCAACGATACTCAAACTCCTTTTATTTATGACTTGCTTGCATCAATAAATTGTGTTTTTTTTATTGAATTAATTTGCATACAACTTGCAATAACTGATTTAATGAAAGATCATCAAATGTTCGCCTATTGAATTTGTTTAAACATAAATGTTTGTTTACAGAGCTCATTTTAGATAGTAGTTTGATTGAATTTATAGAATTGTATCATTTCCATTGAGTTTGAGTGAGAAAGATTTTCGATTGTTTTTGGGTGGTAAAACTCGTCGGGGTGGATCCCATCGCAAACAAGTTGCATCAACGGTTAATCGAGGCTGTCGAAATTGTGGCAATAGTAAATGTTCGTTGACAGTTTTTTGTGACATACACACCACATGCTGTCCCTTCCAGTATTTCACCATTTTCATACTTTGTAATGTTGTAATTATATCCTCCTGAGTGATGCCGCTAATTTCACTAAGTTCACGAATCGATGGCGATGCAGTTCGACTGTCTTTCATAATATCCAACAATGTGTATGCCCAATAGCTGCGATAGCTCAATCGTCCCAAATCTGACAATGGTTTTTCTGGACTGCCTAATACACCTTCTCGCTTGGATAGCTCATAACTGAATCCGATTAGAAATTTACCGTATCCTTTTCGTTGATAGGGCGGTAAAATTAAAATGCAAGCAACATTATTTCCGTCGGGCGATTCTTTTTCTTTGGAAAAATATCCAACAATGTGATAACCGTTGCGATCAATTTCACATAAAACATAAAAATAGAATGGTTCCACGTCAAAATATAGTGTTTTATGGTCCAAAAATAGTTTTGCCATTAGACAAAGTGTTTGACAATAAATTGTTTGATCGCGTCCATCGATTTCAAATACTGATATTACACCTTTACGGTAGATTTCGTTTCCCGGCGGTGACCTTACTGAACATTCCCTCTGAAATATCAGTCAAAAGAAAAATGTTATTAACTATTGAATGTGAAAAATGTTTCAGTCACAGTTTTAATGAACTTACACAGTGGCGCCGGTATGTGCTTTCGTATTTCATGTATTTTAGACAATATTCACACACATATAATGTTTTAACTTTTCCATATTCATCGGGATACGGTGAAAAGTACCATGTATCAATTTCATATTTTCCTATGCGTAATGTGTCGATGAATTTAACTTTGGTGATGCTTTCATGCTCTTTTTCCAGTGCAGCTGTTGTTGGATCCATTTCGGAGTATGGCTTTTGAACGTGATTGATTTCATCGTGACGCCTTTTTTGGTTTCGTGTTATTTTTCGTTCCGAACTGTCAACAATATTCGATGAATCGTTTAAAATTGATGAATTATTCAATGATTTCAATACATTCGGTTTTATCGGATCGGCAGCTAATGTTGATGCATTATTTAAACCTACAATAGATAAAGGTTCATTTAATTACAGTTATTTAAATGTGTTTTATTTACACAATGCAAAGAAAAAATGAAAATCACAATCACTTTTACTATCACCAGATGTATTGTCATCGTCATCGATTGTATTTGCCGATAGAATTTGATCAGCTGTAACCCATTGATCTAGTCGTCGATTTAAGCCTGAATAGTGTACATAGTATTCCTTGGATTTATCTTCAATTTCGCGTATTTGAATGATTGTCGCTTCGTGTAGTGTGCCATCCGGACGACGTACTGTATACGTTTGGCCGATTTGGATATCACCTTCTGTGGCGCCAGCAATATTTTGAACGTTTGTATTCTCTGTAGCGGTCATTTTTTAATGTTATTTCTACACAAATATAGAAAACCAACAATAAACTTCCATACGTAAATAGAAAAAAATCAATTGTTTTTTTTTTATACAATTATTCACAGAAAATGTTTATGAAATTGAATAATTTTCAGCTGAAACTCAGCGAAAACAATGTGTTTATCAAGAGACCGAACACCGAATTGTTTTTGACGAATGACGCTTTTTTTTGTGAATCGCATTTGTGCAGAACCGTCGCGTTTGCTCAGTATATGGCTGTCGTTTGTGATGTATGTTCAGCTTTCAACATTTACCACATTGAAAGCAGCGCCATTTGGATGTTTGACACACTCGAACATACCCCAAACAAATCACAATTATTCTCAACAATTGTGCATTTAGATTAAAAAAACACGTTTCTATGCTTCAGTTTTATCTTATAATTTTTTTATTGAATTAAAATTATAAGATAAATTAAGATCTTATAATTTTTTTATTGAATTAAAATTATAAGATAAAACTAAAGCGTAAATACGTGTTTAAATTGCCATGACTAACGACGAGCCAAACCAGAGTTACCGTTTCAAAATTATATGTATAAACATTTGAAGATATATGATTTTGTGAAATGAACATGCACAATTTTATTTTTGAATGCGTTTGATAGACAAAAAATAAATTTGATTTGATTTTTGTCCGTATTCGGACTGACGAAAAAAATCATTTTTTCCACTATTGAAAGATAAATTTGCATCGAAACTTCAGTAGACGAATAAAATTTCCGTTATTTTTAAGAATTCCACAAAATAAAGGTTCTGTTAATCGCGGATTTTACTGTTTACTGATTTTCTTCAGCTCTATAGCCAAATGATGCTCGAAGTAATCTACTAGACTTAAGTCTCGGCTAGTATTGCAGAATGAACAAATCAAGGCCATTATTGATCTCCGGGCAATAAATATAAATTGCTTTATTTTCGAAATAAACACTCAAAGTGGTTTCATTAAAAATCAGTTTTTCTATTCCATTTTATTATAATACATATATCTGTTTCATATCACATTTAGTGTACGTAAGATCCAAAAAAAATGTATTACATACAACATGATGCTATTAACAAGGGCTGGCATACTCAAAAACATTAAAATAATTAACTAAAGCAAAACTAATAGCCGCACCAATGGCTGCACTAATTTGATTAACCGATCCAACCAAAACTAACGATCGTCCGCCTTGATATCGAAATATGGAAACTATGGAAATTTTCATGTAACTTATGATACAGGTAAAAACAGTCCACGCAATAACCTGAAATGGAAACATAATAATCAGTTAATATTTGCTCCGAATGCGTATGTTGTAATGTATATGTACTTACTATTAACATTTCACCTAATGTCGAACCTTTCAATGGTGGATTCGGACTTTGTACTGCAATGTAAATGATGTAAATAGCTAAATAGAGTCCGATAATGCTGAGGAAACGAATGACACGTATCGATGTGTGTGGTAAAAACATTGCAATAAAACCGCCACATGGATTTGCAATGGCAGCCAGTGTCGTTGCAAAATGATAGATAACATAGCCATACGGTACACATGAATAGGTGGCCAAACCGGGCAATATACCATTACCTAATCCACTCAAACCGAATAAAGCCGCCATTAAAAAGATATAATTAAAATTTGAGAGATTCAGCACATCGCTGGGTATACTTTGGTTTTGATTGTCATTGTTATCTTTGTCATCATCATAATGGTATTCGTTGCCAGCACCAATTTTTCCCACTGCATACTCTTTCTTACAAGTCTTTAAATTATTTAATAAAACAAATGCAATTGCGCTCAGCATCAGAATGCCAAACACCAATTCAAAATACAGTCGAATGCCGAACAATGGAAGCGGATATTCTGCAGTTATTTCACCGGTTGAATTATTTTTTACGCAATTTGGTGCACCACCAACGCCTTGAATTAATGCCAACACACTCGATAAGAATCCATTCAGACCCATACCAAACATATACGAGACAAGATAACACTCTCGGAAACGTCCCATGTACGGCATAAATAGCACTGAACTCAAGCATCCAACCAATGCAAACATCAATGTAAACACCAACAGCGGCACACTGTGCGGTTCACCATTTATATTGAATGTATATTGATAGAAAAATGCCATACAAATTGCTGCTATGCACCCGATGAATAGAGTGATATAAATTAAAAAACCGTCGTCGATCTTTTTCGGTGAATACTTCTGATACAGAACATAAGCGAATGAACCAATGTTGGCCAATTGTACAGCAACCACAATGTACGATGCCAGTGCCCATTTTTCTGGTACCGTTGTTATAAGCAATGGTAATTGCAAATATGTTGATGTCACACCAATCCATGAGCTAACTCCAAATAGAATGGCCAAAAAATCAACGAACAAATTTCGTTTGCCCATCGGTTGTATTACAGTTTCAGCAACGTCTTGTCCCATTTTTGTAATGGATAAACGATATTTCTCCGTGTGATTGAGCAGAGTTACTCTGTGTGAACGAATGGAATAAAAAATGAAAACTGTTAAATTTCGTATAATACTTGTCAATTTAAGGATCTAGAGAATTTTTCAGTGCGCTTATTGCTATGGTCGAGATAACAACATTTTTAAAAATTAAATTTCAAGTGAATGAAGATTTAGATCGTGATTTGATGTGTGTATAAGTAATACTGATTGTATGTCACATTTTTTTGAGACTGAAATTAATTTATCAATGTGGTTGTCTTATCAGACAAGTTGGTTTCATAATCGATGTGCATATCTGTGTGGTTGCTTTTTTTTATAGCCAAAACATACAGTTCAAACATTTATTAAAAATCGGTTGCGCCAAAAGTTATTAGTATAATTCTTGGCGTAATTATAGTTTCGTTTACCTGTTATTTTCGTTCATATCCATTTTCGATGTCCGTAATTAATCAAAACAAGTATAGTTACACAGATGTTGCAGATGTTTTACAGTTGAGATTCGTGTGTTATTGTCATGTTGTGCATTTGTTCACCTGATTGTTATCTAATGTGCAGACTCTAAACAAAAAGTGAAAACAACACGAATTTGAAACACGGTTTAATCCAAATAATCGGTTGAAGAGTATAATTATTGATTTGGTTTGTTTAAATTGGATTAGTGATCGAGGTGGAAGAGAGAATTTTAGGAACATTATTTGCTAGGGGCTTTTATCTTCAAATAAATGTGCATAACTGCATATATTTGGTGTATATTTCGTGTATATTTCGTCTATGGCATGTTTTTTCATTCTCTTTTGTGCGGATCTTCTTCGATTCTGTGTAGCTATACTGTGAGTGTGTGTACACTGCAGTTTAAAATACACCTTATTCACTGGTATAGGCGAGAAATTTTAATCGTATAAATGATGAATAGGACGTGAATATTGTGTATAAATTTGTATGAACGAATGATGAAAGCCCCTAGATTATTTGTTGGTCAAGTGCAACCTGAGATGGAAAGCCATATATAATTATGATTGGAGTTGGGTGTGTTCGGTTCTTATTTGTTCATGTTATTAAATCTATTTAAATAGAGACACATATATGTATGAAAAAAATGCAAAACATAAAACGAATAAAATGTTATATATTTGATCTTTGATTTCACAGAAAATTCAATAAAATCACGATGACAACAAAAATACCATTTCACGTCAAGATAAGTGGTAGAATATAATTTTGTGCACTTTCATGATGATTGACTTTATGGACAAAATAATAATTACAACTGAATGACATTACGTACACCATTAATTTTTTATACACACAAGCCGCAATTTACTTTACACATTATTTTAATAACTTCAATAAACTGCAAAGTGTTAAAACAGATGGTCGAGTTGACGAAAAATAATACGATAAAAAAACGGGGAATGCAATTTGCGCTAAAACTGAAATCAAATCACTTTGATACAAATCAATTGCACTCGATCCAATTGCATTGATACGGTAAATTCGCATACATCTATTTTTTGTCACGTTAAAAAATCCAACAAATTCACTTACCATTCCAATATGAAATCAGATTTTAAGTCTAGTGTGATAACAGTGAATTGATTTATTCAATTCAATTATTTATTGTCATTTTTTAATTGATCAATTTCATTTTTGCTGTGTTGCGTACTTTTTGTATTTCGATTTCATAGAAATTGGTCGGGTTTCTCGAATCGTCAAAGTAGACGATTTAATTCACATTTGAAAATCAGCTGTCAAAATATATTATGGCTATCACTAACGTGGACAAACTTACTACTATTGTAGATGGCGATACACCGTCAATTTATCACACTCACACACACACAATCGTTCACAAACAAAAATATTAACACAAATACAAAATTATCAAACAATTTGACTGAAGTATTTTGATTGAAATTCGTAATATTTTAACGTGACCAATCACAATGTGACATTCAATTATTATGCGTACCACTGTATTGTAATTATTATCAAATGCGCCACACAATGTTTACGTATACTTGTTTCTTTCTTTACCATTAATTAGCAATCGTACTCTCTATATTCGAAAAGTAAGTAGATTTCAAAAAAAAAAGAAACCCAAAAATAAGTGCATTGCATATCTAATAAGAAAAGATAATAATTTCAAATGCATAATTTGATTTTCGGGCAAAGTATATTTTGGGGTTAAATTTTGACGGTGACCGAAGCCCGATTGACAAATGCACACACACACATTCATACACAATCAATGTACACACAGAAATCGCGACAAATGCAATCGAAACGATACGTCATTAACATAAATTTTGAAACAACGAAATGAGACGAAAAAGAAAATGATTTAAGAGCGCTTGTCATACAAATTTTACTATAAATAACAAAAAAAAAGAGTAAAACCGAGCAAAATAAAAAAGAACTTTGTGTGAATTGTGGGTTTTTTCTACTTTATCGTATAGTATATATGCTTGGTATTCGGCGATCGTAGTTCGTGTGGTATTCAATAAAATTTGTTTTGTCACTCGATTCAAGAAAAAGCGAAGGAATAGAGAAAAAAGAGCCGTTCTCAGTGTGATTTTTTATTGCTTGAAAATATAAAATAATAATGTTTGTACGGAACCACCACCGACTCACAATTATCGGGTTGAAAAATTAAATAAACAAAATAATAATGTGACATCTGTTGTTGTTGCTGCTGCTGCAATACAATTGAGACACGTATGATATTTAAAAGTACACCCAGCCACATACTACCGATTAATCATACGACGAGTACAGTTCGTTTTTGTTTTTGCAATACAAAATTCAGTTTGTTTGTTAATTTCATTTTATTTTGCCATCAAGTCGTCAGGGTCGGAGAGAGCAGCACAAATTAAAGAAACTCAAAAACCGATTCGAACAGACGAGAAAATAAAGAACTGAAAAAAAAAAGAAATTAAATCACACACAGTAAACATTGAGGTGTGCTATATTGTAATTCTAAGACAGTTTAATGTAAACCGGAACGTTTAGTCGGAAATCGCAGAACGAAAGTCATACGAAAAGAAAAGAAAAGAAAAAAATCAAATCAAATTCAAGATGAAAAGGTCAAAGATAATATTTCTGGTGGTTGCGTATACGCTTTGCATAGCATGGGCTGAACTGCAAGGACCGCCGAGTGATAGTGAAGACCTAAAAAATAGTTTTAAGGATAGAAAATCGAATTTGATGCACGATGAAAATAGCAATAGTGATAATAAAAATAAAAACGATGAAAACGACGATGAAACAAGTACATTAGTCGATGCAGGCGATGATGAAAGTTCGATTGCATCATTGTTGGCGGAAGAATTTTCATATCAGGGATCGGCCATAAAAATAATAAAAGCACCCGATTTTACGCAAGAAAAGGAAGCGCAAAAAATGACTGAAATGTTGTCGACCCTGGTCAATAGTCATGCAAAATTGATTAAAAAACTTGAAGATGAAATCCAAGAAATGGACGGTTCAATTGCATCACTCGGCGAACAACCAGAATTGGTGCAAACACAAGAAGAAATTGAATTGGAAATTCTGTACGAATCAGCGATGAAAATTCTCAATCGAACCCGTTCCGATAAACAAGAAGGCTTTGCATTACTGAAAAAAGCGGCTGATAAGGGACACCAAAGGGCACAGGCGAAAATTGCATGGGCACAACTTATGGGAAATCACGTTGAAATGGATTTTGGTGCAGCCAGAGAAACATTTTTGAAGCTGGCTGACACTGGTTTACCCGATGCCCATATGGTAAAATATGGAAAAAAAAGTTTCTTTTTTCAAATTTAATTTCATTTAAATTGCAGATAATATGATGTTTAATTATATGATTTGTTTTTCCTTTTTGATTGTAGGGCTTGGGTTTTATGTACGCTGCTGGAATCGGCTTTAATGTCAGTCAATCGAAAGCCTTACTACACTACACAGTAGCCGCTTTGGGCGATAACACATGGGCTCAGATGGCCTTGGGTTATCGATATTGGTCGGGAATTTCATTGGCCAATAGTTGTGAAAAGGCATTGGAATTCTATCGTAAGGTGGCAACAAAAGTTGCATCTCAAATAACATTCTCTGGTGGTGCTGCAGTACATCGTGTTCGTTTGTTGGACGAAGTCGAAACATCTGGCTCCAGTTCCGCCATATTCGATAATGATTTGCTTGAATATTATCAACTGTTGGCTGGAAAGGGTGATGTACAAGCTCAAGTTGGATTGGGACAGTTGCATTATCAAGGTGGACGTGGAATTGCTCTCGATCATCAAAAAGCATTGTCATATTTTACACAGGCGGCCAATGCAGGAAATGCAGTGGCAATGGCATTTTTGGGAAAAATTTATTTGGAAGGAAGTGAAAATATCAAGGCTGACAATGAAACGGCATTCAAATATTTTAAAAAAGCAGCCGATCTGGGTAATCCAGTTGGTCAAAGTGGTTTGGGCATTATGTATTTGCAAGGAAAAGGCGTACCAAAGGATACGGCAAAAGCATTGAGCTATTTCACGAAAGCCGCAGATCAAGGATGGGTCGATGGGCAACTCCAACTTGGTAACATGTATTTCAGTAAGTGAATTTGATGGGCGTTAATTTAGTTTTTTTACAATACCAATAGATATGATGTAATAATTGATTTTACTCTTCATGCACACACAGGTGGAATTGGCGTTAAACGAGATTTTATGCAGGCAAATAAGTACTTTAATTTGGCATCACAATCCGGACACGTATTGGCTTACTACAATTTGGGTCAAATGCATGCAGTCGGCTTAGGAATGATGAGATCATGTCCAACAGCGGTCGAAGTATGTTGATATCGATGATAATGTGAAATGTATTACCAGAAATCTAACGGCATTTTATTCTTAATTTGTTAGCTTTTTAAAAGTGTGGCCGAACGTGGAAAATGGAGTGAAATTTTAATGTTTGCCCATCAAGATTATAAATCATACCGTTTCAATCAAGCATTTATGAAATACGCTTTGGCATCCGAACTTGGATATGAGGTAGCACAAAGTAATGCGGCCTTCATGTTAGATCGAAATGAGGTGACATTGTTTAAATCAAGGCATGAAGATTTGGTGCGAGCCCTTCAATACTGGAGCCGATCAGCATCTCAAGGTTATTCAACCGCACAAGTTAAAATGGGTGATTATCACTACTATGGGCTTGGAACTGAAGTTGATTATGATACAGCTGCTTCGCACTATCGGTAACATTTTGAATCATTCATTTTGATCTTGTGACATTTTCATTGATTGATTTTCTCCATTGTTTCATTTCTTTTAGCATGGCATCCGAGCAGCAACATAATGCACAGGCTATGTTCAATTTGGCTTATATGCACGAACAAGGATTGGGTATGATGAAAGAATCACTTATTATTAAATGGTTGATCATTTTAATTATTTCAATGCTTTTCTTTTGTGGTTCATCCTGCTCCCCAGGTATGAAGAAAGACTGGCATTTGGCAAAACGATTCTATGATTTAGCTTCAGAAACAAGTGTTGATGCCAAAGTGCCGGTTGCACTTGCCATTCTCAAACTATCGTTCATGTTTAAAGTTGAATCGATGAAAGATGTAAGCAAATTAATCCATTATGTAAAATCAATTGTCGATCGATATCTCTTGAAATATTAATGGATTTTTCTTTTGTTTTGGGCCATTTTTCCAGAGTCCGTTAAACTTTTTATTCGAATTGGACAAAAATATCGCATCAAATTGGGATCTTTATCTGATCACCATTTTCACTATACTTTTGGGGACGATTTTCTATTTTCGACGACCGCCACAACATGTTGAACGTGAACATCCGAGAAGTTTAGAGACACCAACATCAACCGTATCGCAACCGGCATCGTCAACGACGACAGAATCACAAACAGCTACAGCTACAGTCCCAAATTCAGAAGCAACAGTGAACAGTGACCAATAATTTTATTAAATAAAATGGAAATAAAAGAAAAAGTTTTAGTATTTATGTATATTTAAAACGAACAGTGTGTTTTATTTCCAAACACTTTATTTGACTTTTATTCTCAATGTACGGTAAGAAATGTCTGCTCTCTGAAAACCAGTGTTTCATAAATGGATAGATATATCTGCTGTACAATACACACAAACATATCTGGCTAAGCACTCAGCTCAGCAGATATATCTATCCATTTATGAAACACTGCTGAAAACAATACAATATTTTATTGAAATGAAAAAAAAAAACTAATATATTTTTATGTATAATATAACATTTTTCTTTATTCTCTTGATTAAATTTATTGAATGGGTCAATTGCCTACTGGTTTATTTACTAGTTTGTGAATCATTTGAACCTTTTTCAGAGGCTTTGCTTTTTTCACTGGCTTGAAGCATTCTTTGTCCTTCCTCATCGGGCAATAAGAGTTCACTCTCTAGTTCCCACCAATTCTGAATACATGGAATTCGTTTTTTTGGATCCAATGTAACGTGGTGCAATTTACATCGTACTGTTGCCTTATCTTTCATATTGATCGTAATGGTTACGTAAAAGTCCTTACCTTCTTTGGTCAGATCGGGACCATGGATTGGTGTTTTTGGTAATTCAATTTGTGAATCGTTCATTACATAAAGTCCAGCCTTGCGCATTGATACTCGAATATGACGCGGTTCGATGACCCATGGTTTGAATTTATTCATGCAAATGGCAACCACTTTTCGACCGAATACATCGATAGTTCGTTGAATGTATGGTGATTGGCGTTCTTCTTTAAGTCGTGCCTCTGTATCGTATTTCATTCGATTTTCGGGTGTATCGTACACAGCTAAACCAGCCAATAGCGATCTGTATGCCTTTTTTGGTCGCATCTTTACTAAATCACCTCTGAAGCCCACCCCATCAACATAGTCCGTGAGAATGATGCTAATATCCGGTTTTTTAATGACATCCCCATCTTCAATGAAATCATAAACAAAATTTCTTGCTTTCAAGCCCTTGGGTTCCGCACCTTTTGTTGTTAACCTTGGTTCCCATCTTCTTTTCAACACAAATGTGTTCTGGACATAAAACGAAATAAAGAAAAGAAAAACAAATTCACATCGATTTGAGGTTATGTAAATTTAAAAATTGGGATTTTTATTTATGAATTAAATATTTTGACACTAACACGAGTTTGTTGAGCTAAACAGATTTCTGTCTTAATCAGGGGCTGCAAAATTGAAGCTCGTCCTGTTTGTAAAATACTTTTTAACATTGTTTTATTGCTGATTCGATGGCAGAGTTGATCATCGAAAATCACCTATTCTCTGTCTTCTCTGTATGATTTCAGGCAGCTTTCAAAACTGTCAAAATCGAACATTAAATCAATGTCAGTTCATGCGTTCAAGTATGTGTACACAAACACATAGGTTCGTTTGTCTGTATGTCTCTGTGTAAAAAAAAAAAAAAAAAAAAAACAGAAACATTTGCTTTACTATTTTTATTTCATTGTGAATTTCTATCACATGTGTATACAAGCATACTCATTGAAATGAAGTGAAGTTTCGTTCGCATGTGTCATTAAAGTTTTGTATTTTGGACACTTAACTGCGATTGAGATCTGCTTTACGTAAATAATAAAAACATTTTTTTCAAAATGAATTTAAATGGAATGGGCAAAGTTAAAGTATGAAATGATGAAATTAATTTTTCTCCAAATGCAAACATACATTTTCATTCAAATTCATTGAATTAGTATAACAACAGTTTCGTAGCAAGAGTTTTTTTAAATGATAATCGTTTCGATCATTAGGTCAATGTGTTTGAGTCGTCTTCATTTCTTGCTTTAAACGGTGACCAGAGTCAACTGATAAAGACAAGAAGCTTCCCACCCAACAATAGTGGCTGTGGAACAGACATAGAGAGAGAGGAAGAGAGTGGGGATATAGGCTCAATACAGATATCATCGACTTACCTGAATAAATTACAACAGCGGCAAAGAAATTTACACTGAAGAATCATGATTTCGGTACAGTGTCGAACACTTTCTATTTTTTTTTCATTCATATGAAGTCTCTTTACTCGTTAAGATCATAGCCGCATGAGTTTACCTATCATTTTTGTGTGATTTAACAAAAAAAAAATTAAGTTTCACATCAGTCAAGTGAATAAAACGTCTTTAGTTACATATTTATTATTTTACATTATCTTTTATTAAATTATTTCTTTTAAAACCAATAAAAGATGTTTGCCCGTGTATCGTTTTATCCAACGTTATTCTATAACGTTTTTATGGAAAAAGTTTCAACACGACGATGGTACGATCGCATTGATGAGCACACAATACTGGGAGCATTACCATTTCGTTCGATGGCTCAACAGGTAGAAAAAACAAATTTGCGTCTGATGTAATCAATTTCCATTGGAATTTTTTTCCCTAGGGGGTAGACACGTGGAATAGGATTAGACTTTTAGTGTAAAAATTCGAGAAATTAAAGTGGAATAGACAATACAACTTGTTTTGAGATAGTAATTTGTTCTTTTTTGATATATTTTTTAGTTTAAAAGTCGATTACAAATTTACAAAACAATAGATAGACTTTCTCAAAATTTTATTGATGAAAAAAATAATTTGAATTATCAATAACAAAATGTCATACTCCAGTGTCGATAAATAAGTTTTCAACAAAGTGAATAGCGGCGAAATGTGACATCATATTTGACAATGAAATGACGGATTGGTGGATTAGTAGGATTACTGTTTATATATTGGAATCATGGTTTAATCGTTTGTGTCTCACCCCTAGTTTTTTCCAATATTGATATTCGTATATTGATTGTTGTTCAATTTTACCGTTTTTTAGTTGATTGAAAAGGAAGATGTTAAAGCTGTTGTGTCAATGAATGAAGACTATGAGCTGCAATTGTTTTCAAATAATGCTGAGGTAAGCAAAATATTCGACACATAGAATACGTAACACATAGTTCAGTACTTGTTGAATCTGTAGATCTATTGGCCATTTCAAGTGTTAATAATGTCAATTTATGAATATATTTCCATACAGAAATGGAAAGCGTTAAATGTGGATTTTTTGCAACTGGCAACAACTGATATATTTGAATCACCGTGTCAAAAGAAATTAAAATTGGGTGTTCAATTCATGAATCGGTATTTACCAGCCAATGAAAAAATCGTCACTTTACCAAATGAAAATATTGCAAAGCCGGGCACTGTATATGTGCATTGCAAAGCTGGACGTACACGGAGTGCCACATTGGTTGGCTGTTATTTGATGATGGTATTTTGTCTTTCTTTAGAATGTTTGAAATTAAAACTGTTTCGCATATTCAATAAATCGAATCTAATGTGTAAATTGTCGTTCATTTCAGAAAAATAATTGGAATCCCGAACAGGCGGTGAGTCATATGAGGTCTTGTCGACCTCACATATTGCTACACAACAAACAATGGGAAGCGATGCGTATCTTCTTCAATGAAAATGTAAAAAGTAATGTAAATTATTCGACTGATAAATCACCACCGTTGACGACGTAAACGATTAGTTAACGACATTCAATTCTATTCATCTCCAGAGCAAGAAAAAAAAAGAAAAATGATGTATGATTAAGTGCTTGCATTGTTTACTCTATTTTTATTTATTCAAATAAAATGTTCTGTTTGCTTTGTTAACCAGGAAAATTGCGTATATTAAAATTTTTGAATAATTTATGAACGACCCGATCTTTTCATTCTTGACTTTTATTTAAATTAAAATTATCTTCGCACATACAATTTACAATTGTTTACAATGTTTATTGGCCTTTGATGGCCCAGAATTTTCGAACCGTTTGTGCAATACCAATGTCCGTTTGGATGAAGTACAAAAGACCACCGAGTAAAAGTGCTGAAAAAGCGACAACAGCTAGCGGTGCCACCTTTGGAATCAAAGGTCCGAAAATAACTGGTCGAATGTAATCGACGACACATGCTTCGATGCCCCAATGTGCATGCATCACTACAGAGATGGCAAGCAATGTATCCAATGTTTTTGATGGAAACGCTAGAGCGGCTGGTATAATGCCCAACAATGCTAAGCTCACAAAACGTTCAGCTGTCCATAGTCCAGAATGACTGCCGCCAGCTGCCGATTGTCTCGTGGCGGTCAATGAAATTTGACGAATGCCAGCCGTTTTCTATCGATAAAATCAAAACGAAAAGTATGCATATCAATTGAAATGACTTCAATTCCAATTGAATTACTCACCACAACTGGTGCAATGTTTAACTTGGGAAATACGAATTTTGATACATTTTGATGTTCCAAAAGTTTGAATGAATTTTTGCTGGCGCTGGTACTGTATCGGAATACATTTGATAAGGTGGCTGCAGCTGTAAAGAGAAATGCATCTTTATTTTGCATCTACAGATGGACGATGGTTTCAAATATGTTATGTAATTTAGTTTAGGATATGTCACATTCACACATATTGTATATCAAAAGATAAATACATTCAATGCATATTTAAATTGTCTAGAGAATATAATGCAAACATATTCATATTCCATTTGGTAATTTACCTTTGAATTTATTTTGCGAACGTAACAACACCGACATTGCCATCTTTAACAATAAATTGCGTTTTATGTTATTCGAATTGAAAACAAAATACTATTTTTTTTTGCACCTTTTCGTTGAAGCAGCGAAATGTCATTAAGGCTGCGGATTCGATATCAACATGAAGTTTCTGTGCTTTCGATCAAATATCAAGCGTGTATGTGAACGCTGTCTAAATTTTGTATGCATTTGCCCGAAATGTCTAACCTACAAAATGATACGCATCACCAAACAAAAGTCATTCGTCATTGTGTTAGCATTTCAATCCGATTCGTGTTGAAATCAGAAAACACTTTAAATTAATTAAAATCGTTTCGATAGAGACAAAGAATTATTTTCTCTTTTTTTGGTGGGTCATTCAATCGAATTTCATAAAATAAAATGGCTGGAACACTGGAAGATAAATCGATTTGGGAAGAGGAGGAAACATTGGGCGAAGAAGTTTTACGTATGCCAACTGATGAGATTGTCAGCCGTACACGATTAATGGACAATGAAATTAAAATCATGAAAAGTGAATTGATGCGAATCACACACGAATTGCAAACACAAAACGAAAAAATCAAGGATAATGCGGAAAAAATAAAAGTGAATAAGACATTGCCGTATTTAGTATCGAATGTCATTGAATTATTGGATGTCGGTAAGTGTCAATTGTAGATTCAATCAATCAATATACCAAGCACATAATTCAATGATATATAGTAAACAGGGATTTTCAAATTGAAAATGGAATGTTGTTGAAATTAATTTTTGTGCAATCCATAGTATTTTCGTATGCTTTAATCAATAATTATAAAGTTTTCATTCAATGTTTTCATCAATTTTCTCATTTGTAGAACAAGAAGAAGAAGACGATGGTGCTGTTCTTGTGCTGGACAATCAGCGAAAAGGAAAATGTGCAGTCATCAAAACATCGACAAGACAAACGTATTTCTTGCCGGTCATTGGTCTCGTTGACCCTGAAAAATTGAAACCAGGCGATTTGGTTGGCGTAAACAAAGATTCGTATTTAATTTTGGAAACATTGCCAGCTGAATATGATGCTCGCGTTAAAGCAATGGAAGTCGATGAACGTCCAACCGAACAATATTCGGACATTGGTGGTTTGGATAAGCAAATTCAAGAATTAATCGAAGCAGTTGTATTGCCAATGACACACAAAGATCGATTTAAAAATCTTGGCATTCATCCACCAAAAGGTGTACTATTGTATGGTCCACCCGGTACAGGTAAAACATTGTTGGCCCGTGCATGTGCTGCACAAACAAAATCAACATTTTTAAAATTGGCTGGACCGCAATTGGTGCAAATGTTCATTGGTGATGGTGCAAAATTGGTTCGCGATGCATTTGCATTGGCTAAAGAAAAGGCACCGGCCATCATTTTCATCGATGAATTGGATGCCATCGGTACGAAACGTTTCGATTCGGAAAAAGCTGGCGATCGTGAAGTACAACGTACCATGTTGGAATTACTTAATCAATTGGATGGTTTTAGTTCAACTGCTGATATTAAAGTTATTGCAGCCACAAATCGTGTCGATATTTTGGATCCAGCTTTATTGCGTAGTGGACGTTTAGATCGTAAAATCGAATTTCCACATCCAAATGAAGAGGCACGGGCACGTATCATGCAAATTCATTCACGTAAAATGAATGTCAGTCCCGAAGTTAACTTTGACGAATTGTCACGGTCAACCGATGACTTTAATGGTGCACAATGTAAAGCCGTTTGCGTTGAAGCTGGTATGATTGCATTACGTCGTTCAGCCACATGTGTGACACACGAAGACTTTATGGACGCTATAATGGAAGTGCAAGCGAAGAAGAAAGCCAATCTCAACTATTATGCATAAATATTTGAGAATGAAATCATCACGCTTCTTTCTCTTCTTCTATTTGTTTTCTTTCTTTCTTTTTCTACAATTACTAGCCGTACCATACTATATATCATTTGGTTTACACACATATGCATAGATAACACGCATAGATAACAAATAAACAAACATAATATTTTTCAAATAAATTCCGAGTTTAATAAAAAAATACAAAAAAAAATGGAGTTAAAATAATTCTTGTTTAGTGCTTTTATTAAAGAATGAAAATGATTGGTACTTTTTTTGGGTTTTTTGTTTAGAGATTTGGAAAATTGTGACATTGTTTATGATTGTGTTTTGATTTATTGCTTTTTTTTGTTGTTTATCAATGCAGCTTCATGTTTGAAGAGAAAATATTTCCATCGTCTTATCGCAAATTAAAAAAGTTCTTAACAACATCTTTCAAACTTGTAAATTGTAAAAAAAAATTATAATCTTCACAAACGGCATAACGCAACACACAATACGTCAAATAGAGTTAACGTATTTGCATTTTTTTCGCTCATTTCGCTGCAAATGAAGATGATAATATGAATAAGGACGTGAATTGGCTATCGATTCATAATAAAGCTTCATTGAAAACGTTGAGAAAATTCAACTAGATTTTTTTACGAATATTATAGATATTTGGTCGTGTATGTTAGCATTGGTTTGCAGTACGCAAGTATCGAATAGTCTTAACGTACGTTAGATGCATTCAACGCAATGTCGCTGTAATACGTCAAAATCATTTTTACAGTAAACAGCTGATTGTATATATAAACAAATGAGTGAAATGTCCTTGTGTTGGAGCGAATACGCATGCATTTAACGAATACGTGCACATGAGTTTTAGCGTATAATATAATTCGCGAGAATAGTTTTTTTTGTGGTGCTGCTGCTTTTAATTTGATTTTTCTTTGAGTGCTTTCAACGCTGAATAATATTTTATGTACAACATTGTGTATGTAATGGTCGTACAACAAAGCCATTCATACATTCACACAACCAAGGGTACATACGATATCGTCAATGCATATTACTTTGTGATTCAACATACAAAAAAAGAGTACGAAGAAAAGCCATAGCAGTGAAGAGAAAAAAGTGGTATTTATTCAAAATCCGAATTAATACAAATTAAATTCGAAAATCTGGTCAATTACTAAGCAAAACAAATCAACAAAAACATCATCATAAGTAGCAGCAGCAGCAGCAACAGCAACAGCAATAACAAATCAAGACAAGATTATTGTGATTTGTTTATCAGTCAGATTCAGAGTAATATAAACACAAAATATGATTAGAAACTTTGCAAAGTCTCTGTAACCTGGCAAGTGAATAAATGTTAAGTTTGTCAAGAAATACAATAGCAAAAATACCAACGACATAACGAAAGAGATAGATGACATAAAAAAGAGAAAGATTCGTGGACATTTTGTTAGTAGAGAGTGTATTGAAAATTCCTGTCGTTTCATTCATTTTGTTGTAAACTCTCTTTTTTCCCTACTTTGCTTGTGCTATGTGCCACACACTATTGATGCACTCGACGAAGGTTTTCTATTGAGTTGTAATGTCAAATTTGGTTCAGAGTGCTTTTTTCCCCATTCATTCACTCGCTGATTCAGTTTCAAATGGTATGGAATCAAAATTTATGGATTTAGTTTGTGAGCAGTGAAGGAAATGATTTTTTGTTTGTACGTTGATTGCCGTTGTTGAATTAATATTTCTTTTTGTGTGTGAATTGAATAGTCAAGTGGTGGTCGTCTGGTGCTTTTCCGAATCTTAAACTTATTGCATGCGATATATTTTTAATGCAGATGATTTTCAATAATATCCTTGAGCACATAGTGCAATTCGTCTTCTTCGTGTGATATTCGATTCGATAGTGCCGGTCAAACAAATCAGAGTCAACTTTTTTTTTGTCCAAAATTGTTCGTTCGTTTAAATAGTATTTGTCAAAATGTGCAGCATGCGTATCGAAGGTGCTAATCCCATAATCCATCTAATGCAACGCCAGACTGGCAATAATATCTTTCATTTTCGTCGAAATTTATTCCGTGAACGTTTGGTCAACGCACGTAATTTATATCGCCGCAATTTGAGCGCACACTATGGTTGTGTGAATGCAATTGAATTTTCAAGCGCTGGAGATCTTCTTGTATCAGGTATGATTTCCTTTCTAACAAGCATTTGACATAAAATCGATGGGGACGATAATTAGTTGTCGTAAATGATTATTCACACATGTGCGATGTGGAATGACACGCCATTTAATCAATGATAATTCATAGATGATGAAAATCAAGAAAAATAATAAATAAATGTTATCATTTAATTTTATTTTTTGTGTATGTGTGCGTGTGCGTGTCTCCAAAGGTGGGGATGATCGTCGTGTACTCTTGTGGAAATTGGAGGAAGCGATGGCTGATGTGGGTGCACCAATGTCTATGAAAAATCAACATTACAGCAATATTTTTTGTTTGGGCTTTAACAATGATAGCACAAAAATATTCTCGGGTGGAAACGACGATGCTGTTATTGTACACGATACCAACACGTAATTATTTGATTTCAAAATAATTCGCCATTGCTGTTGCATTCATTTAAAGATTCATTTCCATTTTTTTTTTGTTCTTTTCATTTGGCATCGATTATTACAGGTGTGAGCCATATGACGTATTTTTACATACAAAACCAGTTTATGGACTTTCAGTTGATGTTACAAATGATCAAATTTTTGCAACAGCCGGCGAAGATGGTCTTGTTTTGATTTTTGATTTACGCATTGGATCACAGGTGTTGACAATGCCAAAAAGCCGTGGTTCATTTCATTCGGTTTCATTTCATCCATTGAATGGTAATTCCAAGGGGCAAATCACTTAAAAATTGCCTTTCTATTATTTATTAATTGTTATTGATTCTTTTTCGATTATTTGTCGATTATTTTAAATTAATTCTTTTCTTTTGTGATTCTTCCCTTAGGTAACTCAATAGTCACTGCGAATGTAAAAGATGGAGCTGCCATGTGGGATTTGCGAGAAAGCAAAAAGTATATACTACCCATTAGTCTTTTTTTGTTTGCTTTTAATTTTTTGTCCGTTTTTTTTTTTCTTCATATTTTCCATTTTCAGGCCAATTATTCGCTATGACAGTGGAAAAGAGCCGCTTCAGAGTTGCATGAGCGTACGTTTCAATACATATGGAACACAATTATTGGCGCTACGACGTCGACTACCACCAATTCTTTATAACACCAATTCGGAAGATCCGATTTGCCAATTTTACCATGCTGATTATTACAATTCATGCACTATGAAAAGTTGCACGTTTGCAGGTGAAAACGATGAATATGTGATATCTGGTTCGGATGATTTTAATTTATATGTATGGCGTGTTGCTGACGCAAATTGTAAGCCATATTTTAATTAGAAATGTTGGTTGTTTACTATTTTTTAAACTTATCAAATTTTGATGTACATTATAGCGGATAAAAAGAATCAATGGATTGATAAGCACCATATGGTACTATACGGACATCGATCGATTGTCAATCAGGTTCGATATAATCCACAAAAATGTTTACTTGCGTCGTCTGGTGTGGAGAAAATTGTGAAAATATGGCGGCCATTCGAAGTGGCTGGTTGGACCGGCAGTTTGGTTGAAGATGTCCCATCGAATAGTAGAGAGATTTTTTCACATGAAGAATACGTTTCTTTGTTAAATTCAAGTCAAAGTATGACACATGATTATAGCCATCAAAGTACAGCCGAAGATCCACGAATGATGGCATGTAAGTATTGTTCGATTTTCATTTAAATTTTGAATCGAGAGATGAGCGCAGTCAATATGATTGTATTGTGACGTCACATATCTTACAGAAAAACGCCATCTGTGTAAAACAGGCTTACTACAATGTAAAAGTATAGTGAGGGTAATGAGATGAAGAAGAAGGGGAAACAGATATACGTTTGATTTACATTGTAGTCAGCGTGTTTTACGTAGATGGTGTTATAAGTATCTGTCAAAATTACGCTTGCCCTTCGTTTTGAATAAGTTTCTCTCTTGATCATTTTGGCTACTGTGTCTTTAGTTTTTGATACGCTGGTGCAACGTGAAATCGAAGGTTGGAATAGCAGCAATAATTCGGATTCGGAAAAGAGCAGTGTTCATAGTTCAGATGATACTTCACGTCGAACATCCACATTGCAATCGGAAACGTTGCAATCAGAAAGTGATGAAACATTTCAAGTATATGGCCGAGGTATGACCAGTGACCCAATCCCCAAATTGTCTTTTAAGTATAACATCAATTATCACATTTTATCCAATTGAAATTGTAGAATCAGCCAATCGAAATCGTACAATGATTAAATCAAGATCGAGATATTTGAATAGGATAGCTTATTTAATTGCAACAAAACGTAATACACTCAAACGCTTAGCTCTTAAAGGTGCAAGTCGTACAACTAGACGTGTACGATCTGTTAAAAGTAATCATCGAAAATTGCATCGATCATCGTTACGGCAACCGCGCAAAAATATTGGAAAGCGCGTCAATCGAATGGTAAGCATACCGAATTGTCTTGATTCCGAATTAAATAAACGTTTTTTCCTTATCCATGTATTCAAACAATTTACATAGAATTCACGGACCAAGTCAAGAGACTGTAATGGTAATAATAGTGAGCGTCGTCAACAATCACACATTAATATACCATCATATCGGGCCACGCGTCGTGTTATTAAACCGCAATTTCACAAAACTTTTTACGCCAATTGTGGTAAAATTCATTTAATCAAGTTTTGCACATAATTTAAGTGAAAAACATAAAATGTTTCTTTTGAAATTTCCTTAGAATCGGGCGATTCATCATCTTCCGATGACGAAAATCCATCCGATAATAACAATAGTTCAACGGCTGTTTCGAAAATGATTGGCAATCAAGAGACGAGCAATGTAACGGCACAACGATCGAATCAAAATGAGCATAACGATTCGTCTGCAAGCTTTCCTATACCAAGCACAAGTACTGGAATAACTGGCAACGGTAAATCATCATTTCCATCCAGACGTTTTTGTTTTGTCTCGATAAAATTGATCGAACAATTTTTTTTTGTATTTCGATGCAGGTACAAATTGGCGTGTATATGAGATAGTTGATTCAGATGATGAACCAACACCCGACAGTAGTCCCATATCACAAACGGTACAAGCGCCGGTAACAAAGATGAATGGTGTGCATACAGAAAATACAGCGCCCGCATATTCATCGGGTGTGGATGATGATCAACCAAATGAACGAAATTCGCGACGAAAACGTAATCATTCACTAACCACCGCCAATTTTCACTTTACCAACTATTCAAGCCATTCAAGTTCACGATTGTCAAATAGTAGCAGCGATGATGATGACACTTCAAGCGATAACAGTTCATTACCATTTTTTGGAAATCATCTAAGCAAACGACCAAAACAAAGTGATAATAATGAAGCATCAGATGTACCAATAGTACACATTGATCGTACACCGAATCGTTCGCGAGATCCAAAAGACTGTGAACTTACAACGCCAGAAAGTGGCATTGGCTCAACACCTGGCAGCAGCTCAACATCTAGATGATCTTCAACGTAACGACAATCAACTTTACAACAACTTGCGCTTCATTCGATATTTCCATTTATTTTACATACATATATTATATTTTACTCATTATTATTATGTTTCGTTTATTTTTGTCATTTATTTTCAGCAAATCTAAATCATAATGGCACTTCAAATGGTAAATTTGTGGAAATTCTAAAGAAAATTGACGAATTCATAATAAGTAAAAGAAAACGAATAACTGTAGATGCATACTTTAATTAAGACACACGATAAATGATTATCTCAAAATATTGAAAGCATTTGCGAAAAAAAAGGGGGAAAAGGAAGAGAAAACGAACGATACAGATATGTTGCAATGGATAGAAAACTTTTCTTTAACGAATTAATGCAAAGCTAGTACAATAAATTGAAAGTAAATCGATAAATAGAAATAATTACATACATAATATCATTCGTGTGTATGTGAGTATAGATTTACCAAGCACATAACATTATTTCTTGATGATATCATAAAGTGAATTTTTATTTGTTTGTTTTGAATATAAATTATGATTTTTTTTAAGCAAGAGATGACAATTATACAATTTTAGCAATATGAATAATTAGAATCTTACTTACTTCAATAATAAACATTTCAAGTGTGTAACACTTTTGCGTATAAAAAAGCGTCTATTTTATTGATGACATGCGCCGTTTTCCACTGAACAGATCTTCAAAGTCGATAAACAAGTCTTCTTGATATTATTCATGATATTTTTCGGTTTTTATTTTGTTTATTATTTTTGTTTATCAAATGCAATAACAATGGAATCATCACTTTTACTCATTGGGATTATAATGTGGATGTGAAATGCCGTCAAAAAGTATTTTCGATTTTGTTTGATGGTATCATCAAATTATTCAACATCAGTTGGCAGCCAGTGCTCCGAATCAATGCTCGTATAAATGTGACCTTCGGTTGTCATATTCTCCATGATATTTCTATGCAAAATTAAAAATTCAAATCACGTCATCATCAAAAATTGTTCACTCTGAAGGATACAAAGTTGTCAATGATTTAAACTTACTCTAATTCATTCATTGGAATATGATTGAATTTTTTGTGCAATTCCTGCTTGCTGATTCCAGTTAGATCGTCTTTATACTCTTTGACCGCTTTGTAAAGCATCAGCTGTTTTCCAGTTAGGCCAAGGCTGTTGTCGCTTGCTCCACCACCGAAATTGTTATTGAAACTGTTCGTTTGTGGTTGATAGCCGGCATTGTATCCACCACCACTACCACCTACTCCGGCCATCTTGGCAAAATCTTCGGCCATATAACGGGCATTCAATACTTCAAGCAAATGAGTGGTTAATTCATTGATCGATGACAATGCATCAATATTGAAAACCATCAATACTTTTGCACCACCTTGATTTCGAACCGATCCAAATATGCGAACGTATGTGTTCAACAATATTGATGGTGCCTTACTATCCGCTTCAGAATCACCATCCAACCAATAATGTGCATCAATTTGACCCGTATGATCTTCGATTGTGTACGTTATTTTTGTGCTTGAATGTTCAATATTTCGCACAATACCAACAATTGTTACCATACCAAATGACATGCCGTACATCTGAAAACTGTCGGCCGCTTTTTTAATCTGTTGAATGACCAACGGAACAACGCCCTGAAATTAAAAAATATTCACATTACATTTCTCGAATAATAACGGGATTTATACTCCGTTCGATCCACAATTGGGCTTATTTATTTTTGAACGAACGAAACGAATAGGTACAACTGAAATAGTTCACAGTATCCTATGAACATTATTTCAATCATTCTATCACAGTAGTTGAGCTATTGAGTTTGATTTATAATTATTTAAATAACTATATCGATTTAAAAATGAACAAATGCCAATGAATATTTAATTATGTTCATTTTCTAGTTGAAATCACAAAGAAACTCTTTTCAGAAACATTTACATTGAGTGAATAAATCAAATTGTGTGTCAAATCAACAATGTATGTTGTTGTTGTTTTAAATGCTATTAAACTATAAAAAATGAGAATCTAGAGAATTTTCTTCGATTTAAAATGAATCTTTATAATTTTTCGAATAAATTAATCAAATTGATGCAAACAAATCGTAAATACCTCGGCCTTTTGATCATTTTGAACACCACTACCTCCGACCTGAGTTGCGTCAAAACCGCCGGCACCAACTGTAAAACGCAATTTTTTTGGTATTTTAAATGTAATGAAAAACGCGCGTAATTTCAATTCACTTACAGCTTTCATCCATGTTTATTTATTGAAGATTGTGGACGCAACTTTACAAATAATCACAACTGATTTCGATTATGGAAAATTGAAAAAATCCAACGATTTCACAATGATGCTCAATTGTTTTGTACAGCGTCCGTATAACAAATACAAAACTGAAATAATGTGAATGTCACATTTACGCGCCGAAATAGCACGTATTGCCTAAAGTGAACTGTCACACATACACATGCACACATGGAATCACAGTGAATGGATGGTAACACTATTGTTGCGTTTACACCGCTTGGCGTATGTATCGAATTTTAGCGGTATTTTGACGATAACATTGAATGAATCATTTTTTATGCAATTGAATCGGTAAAAAAAGCCATTAAATAAATTATCAACGCTAAATAGAAATATGTAAAATTCTCATATTAAACATTGAATTCGATTTGGATGATTGCAAATGTTGAAAATTGCCATTGAAATTGGATTTGTTTAACGGTTGTGCATGACAATTCAGTCGAATTGTGAGCGTTTTCATGTGAGTATTGTTAGTTTGATTTTTCAACACAGGTGGCTACGCGACCAAATGCTCAATGGCATCTCGTGAAGCACACAAACTTTGTGTAACTACAACATTTTTTAGTTTGATTCGTTTTGTGAATCAAGTTAGAAAATAAATTGAAAATTTCGTATAAATTCGGTTAAAATTATTTTCGAAAAATTATGCAAAATGTTCGTGAAGATTTAGTGTCGCATTTAATTAATAAATTTGTTTGTTAACACCGTTTATTTCGTGTTTAAAACCGATTTTCAAATTGGCATGCGAAAAATTTTTCCCTCCAAATTGTGAACATAGTGAAAAAGTGAGAACATACAACGAAATAATAAAAGAGAAGTGAAGCGAGTGTGTTTTTGAAGTTAGAAGTGCTTGTCGTGCTGAACGTATGCTGCTCACAAATCACATTACAAGTCAAACGCGACACAATTTTTACGAGGGCTAGCAGAAACAAAATCATAAAAAAAAGATTTCAAATTGAAAATAGAAAAATTGTGTTGTGATATTCACGACAAAACAAAACACCGAAAACATGCCACTGTTGAAGAGGAAACCATTTGAAAAAGATCCAAACACGCATCAAGCGTTAAAGGACAACCAGGAGGTGTTTTACTGTGAATTATCGAAGGAAATTTTTGTCGATTATGAGTAAGTGCATTCGATTTTTTCGTATAATTTGTATACGCTGTAAGTGCATTAAAATGGTTGTGTGGTGAATTCACTATGATTCGTTGTTTCGTTGCCTTGCCTGCTGCTTCTGCTATTGCTGTTGCTGCTGTTGTTTTTTTCTGTTTCTATTGGTGTTGCTATTGTGTTGCCCGTGCTCCGTGTTTGATCCGAGACATGCAATTTAGAGATTCGCATTGGATAAATTACGTTCAATAGTGAAATATGAAAGTTTAACAAAGCAAAGCGCACGGTGTGTGAACTGCCGCCGCAGATTGTGCTGCTGTTTATTGCATGCTAATGGTGATGGTGGTGGTGGTGCTATGCTCGTGTAGCCTTTGTTTGTAAAAGAAGACGCTTGCTATACATCGAACGATACAATATGAGTGGCGTGCATTTCAATTCGATTCAATTTTGTTGAATCGTTCAGCTTGACTTCGGATGTGCACACGATTTGTGACAATGTGCTCGTTTATTCTTTTGCTCGAAATATTGTTTAGACACAAAAATTTCATTCAATATGAATATAATCTGTAGCTTTTTCACATGTAAAACAGCTGATAACCTATTTTGTTGTGCATCAACAACACATTGTATCCAAAATGAAAAATTTAAATTAAAATTTTTCATATTCATGATGTGAATCTTTGGGCAACTTTCAAAATGTAAACAAAAACAACCGGCAACTTTTTTTTTCAATTTTTTTTTTAAATTTCATTTTTGTTTTTGTTCTTCAACAAATTCCTTAAAATAATGAAATCACAATGAAAATGTTTTATTTATCTTTCGTTTCGTCAATTGCAGGGAATACTTCGAACGAACGATGTTATTTAATTCGACAATATGGACATGTGCGGTGAGTGGCAGACCAAATTTGACATATGCTGAAGCATTGGAAAGTGAGAAAAAGCACAAAAAAATGATCGAAGCATTTCCGCATGTGCTCAAAGGCCCCGTTGTCTATATAGCCAATCTCACAAAACGTTCAGCAATTAGTGATTTGGTTGACGATGTATTCAACTATGTAAACACACGGTTTTTCAAAAATGAATTAGTTGTAGCAAAAGATCCAAATTCCGATCAATTCATTGAATGTGAAGTGGTTGGTTTTGTAACATCGCTGGCGAACACAGAAAGCAGCAGTCCAAATGGTAAAATTCCAATAGAAGATGTTAAATATCGTGTAAAACGAACCGAAGCAAATGGTAAATCGCCAATGCTGTGGACAGTGAATACCGATCAAATTCGTCGCCGTAAAAAGGACAACAGTTTACCATTCTCCAAGGATAAATTGAAATTGTTCTTGAAACAGTGCATCGAATACAATGACATTCGTATGCTGACAATCAAACAGGATGCATACAAACGGTATGTGACCGATGCAAATATCACATCGTTGTCCAGTTTTTATGTCGGCAAACAGCCGATATTTGATCTGTCGAAAGTGTTGGCCGACAAAAAGGAGAAGGATAAGAAAAAGAAACAAGAACAGAAAAAAGAGAAGCCCGACAAAGAGAAAAAGAAGAAGAATCTTGAGAATGGTGTCACAAAAAACGGAACGACACCGAACAAAAATGGCAAAGTGAAAAAAACCGGTAAACAATCATCATTGGATGATTTTGTTACCAAAGACGGCGCAAAAATAGCCGAACTAAAGAGACTAAAAAAATTGGAAGACGAAGAAGCCAAACGACGAAAAGAAGAAGAAAACCGCAAACGCAAAGAGTTGGAGGCAGAACGTTTAAAAATATTGGCCGAAGAACGTAAAAAACGTTTGGCCGATTTGATGCAATTGGTTCAGGTAACCGTGCGCAATCTCAATGCTGTCAAAGATGACCTCGAACTACAAGATCAGAAACCATTGCCGCCAACAAAACCGGTCAAAACCGTATTTGCCGATAAATATTTTTCGGATGCTGTTATGGTGATCGAATTCATCTCATCGTATACGACAATTTTGGAAGACAAGGACAAATTTCGAAATGGAATTGATTTTAGTCTTATGGAACGAGCACTACTGATGCGTGAAATTGCCGGACCATTGAGTGACATTTTGCAAGTATTGCTTGGTTCAATATTTTCATTGCAAATTGAAGAAGCCAACGAAATCGACATTGAATTCGAAAGCGGTCCCGTTACATTCAAAGACAACATTCCCAGCGAACAAAAAGATCTAATTAAACGAGCCACAGCGGCTGCCACATGGCCGCAAAAGTATTTGAGCTCAAACATGAGCGAATTACCAATTGATGCAACTACATTAACCGAACTTTTACGATTGCATTTTCTCACATCTGGCGCTAAATTGACGGAAGTTGGCACCAAATATCGTTTTCAGGAGCGTGGTGGTTTCCAAAATACCGACGATCCGGGCGTTATGTTTTGCATTGAAAATCCCCATATTCTAAAAGCATTATCCAAGTATACCGTATATGAACTGCCAACCGACGATATTTTGTCCATTCTTCGTGTTTTAATCAATCAAATTTTGAGCTATTCATCGGTTCGTGATTTGGTGGAAGAACGTTTGGAAAATTCAAACAAAGCAAAAATGGCACTGAAAAATTTACTATCGGCTGAACGAAAGCGGGAAACAACATTGGCCGCCGAAATAAAAGCAACATTGGAAGAAGTTAGAAAAACGATGGAAGGTTTTGAAGGTACCGATGAAGAGAAAGCCGCACACAAAGAAGCATTGGACAAAAAAGCCGATCTCAAAATTAAAAATTTGGAATTTTTAGCCGAACGAGAGAAGAAAAAGTTCATTGAACAATTGGATAAGTTGAAAAGTGAAATTTTCGACTATCAATTGTGCTTGGGATCTGATCGTGCGTATCGTACATACTGGTTGTTTGAATCATTACCCGGTTTATTCATTGAACATGATCCATTTGGTGGACAATGTATTGAAAATCCCGTTACAAATATTCATGGTTTGGCCAATTGTCCGCCGGAAAAGCGATATTTGTTCATCAAAAATATGCTACAGGAACAACAAAATAACAATTCAAATGATAAAGATAAAGAAAATAAAATGAGTAATACATTGGACGCCAAACCAAAGCCAAACGATGCTCCAAAACTGCTCGAATCTGATGCTGAGTCGGCAGCTGTGGCTGCAGCCGAGGCACAGGCACCGCCAGAAATCACATACTCACAACGTGATCTGTTCATGTGTACAGGTGACTACGAAACATGCAAAGTTCATAATATAAACGATAAATCACGTGTCACATGGACATTTTTGCACACCGAAGAAGAACTGAATGCATTGATCGATTCATTAAATCCACGTGGCTATCGTGAAAAATTACTAAAGGAACAACTTGAATCTCAACGAGAACTGATTCTATTCCATACGAAAAAGTGTCCAGTTGATAAGCTACAAGTTGAGGCCGATACAATCGAACAAAGAATCGAGCAAATTACCAATGATAAATCTAGAGTGTACTCAAACGCAATGTTTAATCATCCGAAAGGAACGCCCATTGGTGATGTAATGCTGGCCGAAATTCGATCGAACATTCTGGAATTGGAGTTCAAAGTTACAACCGGACAGCTTGGCGTGTTGGCTGTAAAAGATCGCTTGCAATGGCGTAGCGCTATAGAGGCCCAGAGTTATGACATGCAGACGAGTCATTTGCAATGGGGACCATATGGTCAATTCCAAGAAGGTAAAACCAAACAAAAATCACGCACATCTTTATCGATGACTTAATACGTTGTTTTTTTTTTAAATTCCTTTTCAGACTCAAAGGGCAAACAGAAAGCTATTCAACAAAATGGAAAAGTGCCGATCAAAAAGGAGGAAAATGATGGTGAAGAGGAAGAAAATGAAGACGAAGATGATGAAAATACGTCATTGTCAAATATGAATTATGAAGATCCTGGAGCATTTGTCAATGATGATCAAAGCGATGATTCATCGGAACACGAAGAAAAATTCAAACAAATTCATGGACTTTCCTGTGCTCTCTTACAAATTGCACAATCGATCGATGTCAAGTATTTTAAACCGCCATATGGTAATTTAAAATCGGGCGGTAAACACGGAACAAAAGAGGAGAATGCCGAAAAGGCACAACGCAGCTTGGAAAGATGGCAGGTTTCATTAATGCATTGTCAAAATGCTTCACAGCTATTTTTACACTACAATGTTTTGTATGATGCCATCAAATGGACACGATCGGCTCAAAATGCAAAATGTTCGTGTCGCAGTTCCAAAGATCCAGACAAATTGCTATTATGTGACGGTTGCAATATCGGACGTCATATCTACTGCTTAAAACCAAAACTAACGGTTTGTCACCTTCTTTGTATTTCAATTTTTAATCAAACATTGTTGAATCTTTTCATTTCAAACGATTGTTTTCATTTCGCAATGCATTACAGAAAGTGCCTGAAGGAGATTGGTTCTGCAGCAGATGCAAACCGAATCAAGAGCCGCCAACACAGAAAAAGAAACGTCAAGCATTCACCTATTCAGAAGAAGAGGATGATAATGATGCCGAAGAAGAGGACGAGGAGGACGAAGAAGATGGAGAAGAAGACGCAGAAGAAGATGAAGAAGCTGAAGATAGTGACGAATCAACATTGGACAGCACATTTGAAGATTCACCGTAAGCATTGGATTTTTTTTCTCGTTCTTTCATTTAATATACACACAGATTTTAATTTGGCAAATATTTTTTCAATTTATTTTTTGGCTTAAAGTTCTGACAGTAACTATACAGATAAGAAAGTTTGTGCAAGATGTAATAAAACCAATCGCAATCTGTTCAAATGTTCGAAATGTGATCGACACTTTGATACTAAATGTTTGAATTTAAAATCGAAACCGGACAAAAAATGGGCTTGCAGTTATTGTACAGAAGGCAGAAATAAACGACGTAGAAATCAAAGTAAGTAGAGATGACCATTCGGAATCCAAAAGTCAATTTTACAAAAATTTACTCGAGCCTTTGTTATACATATGTTTGCAATATATTTCACAATATTTTATACGATTGCATTATAGCAATGGTGTGCGCATATGTTTAAGCAATTCAAATTCGCTCGTTTATAATGTTTTTTTTTTAATTTTTCGTTTTGGTTGTGTAGTTGAGGATTATGACAGTGATGAAGAAACAGCAGCAAAAACACCAAAATTGAATGGTACCGAAGAACGACGATCATCGCGACGAAAAACCGAATCATCACCGCTCAACAGTCATCGTTTGAGCAGCACAAGACGTAGTCGTGCAAACGAAGATCTTTTACTCGACAACGTGTCCATTCACAAGTTGCTCGATGAAGTATGTAAACACGAGAATTCATGGCCATTTTTGCGGCCGGTCAGCAGGCATGAAGTGCCCGATTACCATAAAGTCATCAAAAATCCCATGGATTTGGCCAAAATCAAATCAAAACTAAACACCGGACAATATTCAACAAACGCAGAAGTCATGAAAGACATTCAATTGATCTTTTACAATTGTGACCTGTACAACCAAAATGAATCGGAAATTTATGTGTAAGTATTTGGAAGCGTGACACAGTCACACCATCATAATGAATGAATTTAATTTAAAAATAACAATTACAGAGCCGGTGCAACGCTGGAGACGTACATTGTGTCACGTTGTAAAGAGCTCGGTTTGCTGTTCGTTCCAAGTGAGATGGCCAATAGTTTAAGCGATGATTCGTCCTCAAAACGAAAGCGTCAAAAACTGTAAATGCTGAGCAACATCTTGATACATACCAACCCATAGAAAATGCACCAATTCGTAACAAAAAAAAAAAACAAACAAACAAACAAATAATCGAATGGACACACAAACACATTCAGAGTAGCTACGCGATAAACTGTCTCTTATTAATTTATTCGTTTTATTTCTTATATTGATTTTGTAGGCAATAGCTGTAATGTTTATTATTTAGTACAAAATCGTTCGTAGGTAGCATATATATATATTTTTCTTTTCACGGAGAATTGAATCATTATTAATTTACGTGTTCTACGAGAGTTTCGAATCAAATTCTGTAGATGTGTCATTTTAAACCAACTTAGAATTATTTCGATCGATACAAAGAAAAAAAAGTCTATCCTTTATCGACAAAACAAATGGCCATTGATTTTAATTGAACAACTTTTTTTTTGTGCCGCCATTTGTTTTGTATGTTTTTCATTTCAGCCCGGGCTTTCCAATAACAAAACAAACTAAAAATTCATGCAAAACTAACGCTGATTCACGATTCAGGGCTGGTTCACTCAATTTTGATCACATTAGTTTTATCAGCCACGGCAAAACACAACCAAAAACAGTAACAAAAAAAAAATATGAACAAGATTCCTAGACAAAATGGAACAAATTATATCATAGTCATTTTTAGTGTACATTTCGCTCTCCCGCCCGTCTGCAATCAGTTCTTCAACAATATCACACATCCACAATGCACACACTCACCACTGTAGATATTTAATTTATAAGTTATATTGAAATGATGTATTATGTTCATTAAATCTGATTTCTCATTTAAGATGGAAAAAAATGTAACGAAAAAAAAACACACACACACAAAAACAATTATTACATTTAATTAAGACCATGGTTCGATTTTATATTATAAAACGTAGTACATAAGTTAATTGATGAGTGAATTATAAGAAAACGAATTTGAGAAGTTAAATAGCCATTGCGCGAGATAGAGAAAGAAAAAACAAATTCATGATAAATTCGGGTAAATCATCAGAATGTTTAAACGATCTTTGATCATTATGATTATTCATTTCTCTTGTTTTCATTCTCGAATAAAAAAAATGTTTAAAAAATCTGTTCGAATCAATAGCAAAATGTCCACATTGTTGGAATTTTTAGCCTGCGCAAACAATCGTACGTACATATTTTTTCAGAAATTATGATGATAAAAGGATAAAATAAAAAAAACCAAAACGAAAGTTATGGAAAATGGAAAATAGATAATTTTAAATGAAAACACAAAACGCTGTTGTTTTATTTCACGTTTGAAAATTTATTTCATCTTTTTAATTATTTTCTATACAACATCATCTGGATTTTGGATGGAACAACATTACATACAATCAAAAATTAACAATTTAAAACTCGATTGATGCTGTAATATGTTCACATTTGCTGATTTATGATATTTCCTCGGATTGTTGTTATTCTAAAGTATTCATTGATACGGTTGGTTGGTATTTACTTGGAAACGTAGGAAAATCGGCAAACATCTATGGTGTTTAATGATGTCCGCGTTCGTGTTCGAGAGCTTCTAGTCTTTCCTTTTCTTTCCACAATGCAACGTTGCCTGGTGAGTTGACTGCAATGGCAAATATACACAAAAATGATCGTTTAATCACTTGATAAACATTTTAACCTTGAAAACATATTAAATTTTCTATCTTTTTTCCCGTTTTATCAACTGATAGTTTTGTCAAATGCAATTCAAATTCTAACCTTATTATGTCAGTGAAATGATGCATATGTATGAATATAAGTTACTTACCAGCTTTGTGGATTTTGTAGAAGAATGGAGTACAAAGGACGATCGAAATAGCCCAGTACTTGTACAACCAACTGTTGGGATGGGTAAAATATAACTTATATGGGAATTGTGCGATTTTAGCACTGAAAGTGTATGGATATTTCATTGGTCTTCCGACTGGTTTTGCTGCTTCTTCTGCCATTCTGCTGGATTTATTTACCACAATTTTCAATAACCTATTAAATCGAAAATAAATAAAACTATTCGATAAAATCACTGCGTTTCCAAAAACGAAAGCTTGTATCAATGTAAAATAAGAAAAATTGAACAGAAATTTCGATCGTCTTTACCTTAGAAAAATCAAAAAGTTATGCAATTTTTTTTCTAGCTGTCGTTCTCGGTGAACCCAGTGTGACAAGATCTCAATTGATATGAAGTTAGCTGTTGGGGTTACACGATGCTTTGCGGTTTAAAAGTATTACCATATAATACATTCAATTTAAGAAATATGCATGCAATGATACCCTGTTCTTTTTCATCAAATGGCAATTACAAAATATTTCAATAAAAAATTGTAAATAGTTTCAATGTTTTTGAAATGTTCCGCATTTTTAATTTTATTTCATAAATACTTGTTGCAAGAAAAAAGAGTTAAAAATAAGCATCCAAGCAACGGAATTTTTCGGAATGACAATCGATTTTTCTCGACATTCTAACTAACTTTGTGTTGAACGAATGAATAATGTTTTTTATCATGTTCAGCGCGCATGTTAGCCATTTTATGTATTCATGTTTTGCTTGCATTTTTTTGCGTACGCATTCATAAATTCCATGTTGTAGACAAAAAAAAATTCGGTTTGTTTAAACTGTCTGTCAATGAATACGGAGAGCACATGTTAATTGAGTTTGAAAGATATCAATAAGTAAAGACAAAAACTAATACAGTTCCATTTTTTACCGATTTTACACTAATACACCGATGCCCAGAGGTAAAAATTAAGAGAAGAAGAGAATAGAAACGAGACGAGAGAAGAAAAAAAGCAACAAATTTATAGGTTCGAATTGCCGTACAAACATATCTCTCAACACACATCTGAGTGAGTGAAAAATTGTCTATCTTTATCTATCACCGAACAAAACAACAAAAATCACCGAAAGTGTAATAGAGTCAACTGCTTCATCAATCTGACGAATCTGAGTATCATAATGGATGAGACAAAACGAAATAGTATGAAATTAGATGTTGAGGCGGTACGTTTGTCTGAAAACGATCACGATCGCCCAACCGAAGTTTATAAGCAAGTATCTGAATTCGATTCCAACGATAAATCAACTGGTAAGTGTATAGAAAATTGAAAAGTGCTTTTTTTGGTATTGTATCACTGCAATTAAGTGACAATTGTCCCGCAGTTTTTGTTTTAAAATTATCTATTGTTCAAATTTCAATTTAAATTTTACATCATTTTTTGATTTAAGTGAAAATATATGCATATATTTCAAATTTAATAAATAATATTGTTAATTGAATGCCACGACTTCACATCGTTCCACTCTGTCATATAACAATTCGGTCGTTCAGAAAAGCATGATGAAATCGTACAGTCGATTTCAAAAACAAATGCAAACCTTTTGTTGGGACAATTTTTCAAGGGTTAGGCGTTGCCCGAATCATTTGTTGTGTATCACGTTTATTCTATTTGTTGGATTGAACATTGGCCCATTTCGAAATTGCAGTGATTATTTTGTGAACAAATTCCATGTTTGCAAAACTATCGAATGTTTGCAAAAGATTTTATAACAAAAAATGTCTCTTGTCCGTATTTTAACGAAAGCAGTTATCGGTGAAACCGACATGAAATTCCACCGAAATATTTTCAGTCGAAAATGGAACTTATGAATAATGATAATTTCATTGTCGTCATCACACAGATATGCCAAAAATGTCCCAAGAAATGTGATATGCACGCGTATTGAAAATACATAGAGATTACAGGATAATGACACGTAAAAATTGAAACCAAGTTTCAAACACATTTCAACCATTCTATAAGAAATCAAATAGAAAATGAGCCTCTACCCTATAGTGATAGCTCGATCGGAGTCTGTTGTATTATTTTCATGGAATACACACATCTTTGTTTGCTTATCGTTCAATTACTTTGGCAATCACGCTACAAATCGTATATATACTAACTAAGTATTATATTTGATTGAAGATTTCAAAGCGTTGTCTGTCAACCATTGAAAATACATACAGATGACATTCAATTTATTTAAGCGGTATTCTCTTTCATTCATAAACATTCAATTGAATTAAATTCAACGAGATCAGGATACTATATACATCAATACAGATATATAGCAATATATATAACCACTGCAGTGTAAGTGACAAACAAAAGACTATCTCACTGTATTTTTCGTCGACGTCGTTCAACGTCATATTAAAATAAAAAAATTGTCGACCAATTTTCATCTGGCAAACACAGACAAACATTTTTTTTTTTCTCAAGAACAAAAGGTCTGTTACCAATCAGTTAGTTAATTCAAAAAAATCGGAATAATTTATAAGTAAAATTGTTGTTAGTCGTGTGCATTTAGTTGGGATAGTATTTACTTACATGAAAGAAAGAAAAAAAAAATTATTTTTCCACCTTTTTGTTACCTTTTTGTTACTTTTTTCAACAGATCAACCAGCAACAATCATGACGCGTGAAAAGAACGATACTATTGAAGATGGAGCCGACGAAAAGATGCTGGGCGTCGATGATAAAGAGCAATTGGCACGCAAAGATGAGGTGAAGTTTATTCCCAGCGATCGTTCGAATGGTGATGCCAAAATTGATATCGGCAATATTGAAAAGGTACGCTAATTGCATGTCATGTCATACGGGACGCTAATTAATCTCATTTCAATGGTTCTTCTGAAAAGTCTCAATTGTATTGAACCAATTGCTAATTAATTGTATTTGGTTTGTATTTGAAAGAATGAAAAAAGGTTCCGTTTTAAAACTGTAGATCGGTTATTTACACACGATGTCGTGAATATATTTTGCATTTATTTAAATTCAGTCAAGACTGAAGATTTAGTTTTTGCTTTGAATTCCGAGTGAACGGTTCGACTTTTGATTATAGAGCATTACACATATTTCGTAGCTCAGTTTTTCTATCCGAATCAAAATGGTAGTTGTTTGAAAGTGTTTTTTTTTTGAATAACTTTTTAATGAAAATTTATTTATATTTTTGGATTTTTTTTTTAGTCGACTTTCAGCGGAATGACAAAGGATGAGTTGATGAAATATGCCAACGATCCATTCTGGCAACGTTTGCGCTGGACATTCTTCGTTCTTTTTTGGTTATTGTGGGCAGCAATGTTGGCCGCTGCCATTTTTATCATATTAAAAGCACCAAAATGCTCGGTCGATAAACCACTGGAATGGTAACGTTGTTGTCTTTTTTAACTCTCACCATTTTCGACATGAAATTTTATTGAAATATTTAATTTTCGTATGCAGGTATAAAGAAGGTCCACTTGTTGTAATGCCAAAAGAGCATTCATATACAAAAGCCGATTCACAATTAATTGAAAAACTTCAATCGATCGATGCAAAGGGTGTAATCTATAATTTGCCTGCTGATAAAACGTATTCGGTCGGTACGGATTTGGTGGATAAATATATTATTGGAATTGTCGATGGTTTCAAAAATACCAGCATAAAAGTTATACTCGATTTAACGCCAAACTATGTGACAACTGAAAATGCATTGTACAAATTGGCATTGAGCAATGAAACATATCGTAGTGCATTTATATGGGTCGAACGTGAGTGGCAACCAAACAATTGGTTGTCAAAAGTTGAACCACAAAAAAGTGCTTGGAAATTGGTTGGAAGCAAACATTATGTGCTCAATCAATTCGGTGAAAATAATATTGATTTGCAATTGAATGATCCAATTGCAAAAGCGAATTTCACCGGTGTATTACGTCATTTAGTGAAATTGGGTGTAAAAGGATTCCGTTTGGCAAATGCGAAACACTATATTATCGATCGAAGTATTCCGAACGATGGAACAATAGCAACTAATTCGAAAGCTGTTCACTCTGATTATGAATTCTGGACGCATAATGCCACCACATATCAACCAGGCATCGGAAAATTGTTACATGAATTCTGGCAAGTTGTTAAGAATGAAACGAATGGCGAAGGTTTCTTATCAGTTACCGATTATATTGAACATCCGGAAAAGTTTTCCACTGACGGTAATATGACGATTGGCTTTGATTTACCAATTGTCGTTAATTTAACGTCAACATTGTCCGATGATAGCACAAAACCAATGGCGGCCAAATTAAAAGAGCGCTTATCAACACTAAATAATACACAAATGCTTACGAAAAACAGAGATGTCGGTCTTCAATGGCCGTACGAGAATCCAGAGCAAAATAATTTGAAAATCGGTACATCCGAATACAATATATTCTTATTCTTGTTGCCGGGCGTACCGGTTGGAACACTCAACGATTTCATTGGCACCACTACTAATGCCACCGTTGAAATAAAAAAATTAGAAGACATTCGAAAAACTCAGTCCTATCAACATGGCACCTTTGAGGTTTATACCGCTCTTAACGAAACAGTCATTGCATATTCGAGGTAAATATTTACGATCTCATTTATATTCACAAATAATACCGATTCATTATTATACTAATCTACTAATTCTATTAACACTCATCATTTCATTTAATTTACTCCCACGTTTCCTGCCTCTTTTACACATATTTGCACTTAAAAAATAATAATAATTCATCTAATTTATTTATCATGCTGCGCATGTGAACATTCAGGCGGTAAGATATCAATTAACCAACTAACACACATAACCAACAGAATGACACAAATAATTTCCGGTTTCTAAAGAAAGAATTATTTTAATGGAATTTTCATTTTTTTTCATAATTTTAGATTGAAGTCGGGAACTCCGGGTTATTTTGTCGTTTATAATCCAACGGCTGACAAAGTAACAGTTGACTTTTCGTTTGTGAAAAGTTTGCCGGAACAATTGACCGTCGAATTGTTCAGCAAACCATACGAAAATACTGTCGACAAGGTTCCAACAAATGCAATCCCATTGCAAGAGAGCTCTGCTGTTATTTTCAAATATGCACCAAAATCAGCTGAGTAAATCGAAAGCATTTATTGATCCAGCATTGAAAATATGGACCAACACACTTTCAATACAAACGACAAATTCTATAAAATTTAACTCAAAATGAAAATAAAAACATTTATATGCAACATACAATGAGAATTGTATGCTATATGAAAAATCTATCAAATTGCTGTTTTAAAAAAATGTGTTTGCTGTCTGTCTCAATATTGAAATGCATTAACATAACGTAATAAATATGAAAAAAAAACTGTTTGATTGAGTTAATAAAGAATAAATGTAAATTCTGTTCATTGCATCAATCTGTTGTCTTATCATTTCAACATTCTTTTTATTTTTTAGAATCGATAACGTTTTTGAGTTTCATGTTTAATGTCAATTGACAATGACTATTCATAACCTCAATAATATTGAGCGTACGCAGTACAAAGAATGGTCTTCACACAATGTTTGACTTTCCAACTATAAATCGATAAGATAAAGGAGATATTGAGTGCACTTGAAGACATACATGATGATGGATTGTATTATTGCTGGCAAAATAGCGCAGCGATTCGTTGGACAATTGATGTTGCTGTCAACCAAACGATGTGATTACTTAAAAAGCCAAACACTTCGTTTTACCACCACTTTCGGTCGATGTGATGAAGAAAGAGACAACAACAACAAACTCACTGCGCACGAAGGTCACAACAATACAACACAGCACCAATTTTATCAGGCATCTTGTGAGAGACTTGTTTTTTCGAAAGCAACAACAACAAGAGTAACATCAACACATAGACCTGTTTACTCGCATACCATTCAGTGGGAAAATCATTCAGTAAATCAACAGCTAGCACTTACACGTCACAATCGTTTCTATTGCACAGTAAAAACTATTCGCAAGAAAATGGTAAGATTTTATTACGAAAATATTTGCTTTTATAATAACTCAAAAAAAAATTGGAGATTTTTTTCCGGTTTCCATGGAAATTGTGTGTTTTTTAAGAAAAAGAATTGCGTATGTGTTTTGGTGTTATTAATGACTGTTTCTGACAACTGTTGAATATATGTGTATCTTTTGTTCGATTTCATTTTTATTCGATTTTTTTTTGTTGCCAGGGAAAATTAACGGATGCCGAACGTAAAGAATTATTGGAGCCATTACTTGCTAAAGGATGGACTTTGGTGAATGGTCGTGATGCTATTTATAAGGAATTTTTGTTCAAAGATTTCAACCAGGTACATACACGCAGAAACCCATGTGTTTTTTTTAGTTACTGTTTCATCATGATAAATGTTTTACAGGCCTTCGGCTTCATGAGCCGTGTTGCTCTGTATTCGGATAAGGTTGATCATCATCCTGAATGGTTTAATGTGTACAATAAGGTGCAAATTACATACTCATCGCATGATGTGAGCGGACTGAGCAAACGAGACATCAACGCAGCCAATTTTGTTGAAAGCGTTCTTTAAATCAACACGGACAATAAACAGCAAAAATAATCTCGAATAATTCTCGAATTTTTATGATAATAATATTTTCTGTAAAATTTTATTGAATATGTTTGGAAATGGTTAAAAAAAAAGTAAATGTTATACGTCAAAATCGATGTGTGTTTTAATGTAAACAACAAAAGACAATACACATCGATCAATTTATGAAAATCTTAAAACAATAAATACAGTCAGTTCAGTTTTAGTTTCAGTTTTATTTCTCTAAAGTAATAATTTACTTAAAATTTGGTAACCCGAATTTTCGGAAGCATCTGGTGTTGTGTCGTCAACACCAAAGCCAATCCCTTTGAAAAATGTAATTGCCGCTTCGTTATTGGTTAAAACAGTAAGTATTAACTTTTCCATTTGGTAATGACGTGCCATTTTCTCCAATGCATTCATGATGAATCGTCCAAGACCTTTTCGTTGATAGTCTTTTTCCACTTGCATTTCATAGCTACACAAATTCAAATGATTGACATTTTAAATAGAGATTCAAAGAAAAAATATCTGTTAAATGCTTACCAATAAAGTACACTGTTTCCATAATCCATATCAAATCGGAACATGGCATATGCGATTGGATTCTTTTGTTTATCGGTAGCAACCAAGTAACGTGCCCAATTTTTATTTAAATCGCTTTGTTTGACCTTCGGTTGCCATCCAATCGGACCGGTCTTATAGAATGATGAAACATTCCGTTCGGCCAATTTGAATGCCCATTTCACTGTTTTGGCGTCCATATCATTTTTCCATTTGCAATAAATGTTCGTTTCAAAATCACCATTTGTATACTTTGAAAAGTCGCTTGCAAACGGTTCCAATGGATTTTTAATTTTTGCTGCTTTTTCAATGTTCTTATGTTGATTGGTCACCGATGGAATGCCCGTCATTTTGTTCTATTTAATGTAAAAATTGTAGAAAAACCAACGAAAAATACGAGAAAATGTTTAAAGGAAAATAAACTGATACAACACAACGCCTGCTGCCGTCAATAATGAATCGATTGTTGTATGTGCAAGAATGTTTGGCGCGTAATTGTAAACATCATGTCATTTCTGTCAAACGACGATCAACTGGCGTACTCTATTGATGGAGGCGCGCACATTCACATTGTACGAACTTTGAGCTTTTCACATATCATTCATATATATATGTTTTTTTTTTTTTTGAAATTCGATCTTTCAACAGATGACGACAACGAAACAAAATTGGAAAGTAAATGAAAACAAAAGTAAAGAACTGTAATTAATGATGACGACTGAGGTCGGAGAGTAAACAAAATTGGAATGTTAGAATGTGCGTACGAAATTCGATCGAATTGTATAATAACAGAGCAAAAGAATGAGAGTTATTGTTTTTTTACAGAAAATTGAAAAGAAGAACAAGAAGTAAATTGCCTCGATATCCTTGGCCTTTTCGTGTGCATTGAATTGGACGTGTGATACGATGTTGAAGATGCGAATAATATAAAATGCAGTTACATCAAGACAATGAACTCAATGGGCGTGCGTGCGTGCGAACGCACATTCGATCGATGGCACACTCACTCGCGGAAAGCCAGACGACAACTTCTTCGTCAGTTTATGCTTTTTGTTTTCTCATTGTTTCTGCTTATTATTCTTTCGAAATGGCCCCAAATTGTGTTTATAATATTATAGTCTTTAACGGCGGCAAGCGCATAGACGAATTTTAATTGAGAAATTATTTTTTTTTTATTATTTCGTTCTTCATTGATTTCTGCTTCGTTGCATGATCACATTGTAATTGCGCACCGTTAAGGGCATATTCATTGAAATTATATCAAAATAAAACTTTTTTACTTTCGTTTTTTTCGTTCCTTATCGGTTTTTTTTTCTCGTGAACAAAACAATAAATCAACATGATGACAACGACGTTGACGATAGTGGAATTGAAAAAAAGACATTTTAACAAATTGATGCGATTTCAAAGTGACGGACCGCATTTATTGATGCTATTGAATTGTTTAATGAATACTATATTTTGTTTTTTAATGACTTGAATCGCTTCGTGGAATGAATTGAATTTAATTGCACTTTTTTTTATCGCATATGGAATATGAATGGAAATTCAAGTGCATTTGCATCGATATTTATAGGATTTCAATTACAATCCGAGTAAATTTATGAAGACTTGTATAGAAGTGAAACGTATTTGAAATTGATACAACCGTTTTTTAAAATGGAAATTTGATCGACCTGGGGTTTTTGATTTGAATCAGAACACAAAACACGAATATCAGTTTAATTATGCAATGATCTTGTGAAGATGCGGCACGCTCTGATTAAAACGAACATTGATCTAAAACATAGACAACGCAAACACACTTAAAACCGTAAAATTGAAATCGAATACATAACATTTAGACAAATTTACTGAATTAATTTGTCGCATCATATATCAATTGAAAGATCGACATTTCATGGAGAGCATTTGTTTACACATCAAATTAAATCAGGCGAAGCCAATTTTTTTTTTGTTGCTTCTTTCAATTGCAAATACATTAAAATGCATCTTTATCATTGATTGCGCGTGTTTGTCCTTGCGATTAGCACAACAGCAATTCAAGTGAATCACTTCGATTGCATACACCATTTCCCATTGTATTCCGTCAGTTTGTGTCTTGTTTGAAACATGAATTACAAGTTTTAGCTAATCATCTAGTCTAATTAGCCGATCAGAAAACTGAAAGCAAGAACAACATACTCACTCATGTTGCTAAGCCTATCCACATACATACACATGTTTCTTAATTGTGTTGTGTCCGGTGTACGGAATAAGTGTGACAATATTCCAAACAATATAATTAACGCCATATTTTTCAATATGAAAACTAGATAAATCGCACGTCAACAAAACGTATTAGTTACATTGCATTGTCGCGCCGCTTTTGTTGTTTCGGGGTAACGATTCAACAATATAATTTTTCATGATTATGGAATGTGGTATCATTGCGTTTGTTACGCTTGTTTCTATATTAAGTAAGATCGCTTGTTGTTGTTGCTTTTTATTGCATTAAAAAACACAACTTATCGGATTGGATTTGAAATTTGAATAATTCAGAAGGTTTGGATTACAATCTAATGCCAATACCATATTCTAAATATTTGAATGAGGAAAATCGAGTATATCGATGTGACAGAGATGGAAAAAACTTGATGCCAGATTAGATGAATGATTTGTTGATTTTTTCTTCTTCTTAGATTTCTGCTCTCTTCAGATTTGTGTGGCGTTGAGTGAATTAAAATGTTTAATTGATTTCAGCAAAAAAAAAAATCCTGATTGAAATATTTTACGAAATTCTTTTCTCTTTTGGCTCCTCCATTCGGCATTGCTCTGTTAAATCGATTATTATGAGTTGGTATTCATTATTGTCCATGGCACAATCGTAACGTAACATATCGCGTAAGTCAAGAATTACGCACAATTGACCGCCGAAAAATGAAGCAGAGAAGAAAAAAACAGTCGCCGTCTTGTTTGTAATACCGATTTCGCCTCACGAATTATTTATGTGCGATGATTTGTGAGTGGTGATGGTCACCACAGTCGATCAGCTTTAAATAACAATAATTATACATATTTGTTGCTTCGTCACCCATATTGTGATGGGTGCGAGCGCGAGCACCCATACAAGCGCATCATTTTACAATCAGAATACGAAGTAACTTAACAGAAAAAAGGTCTTTTACAAAAGTCCATCTACGTAATTTATCTGCGGCTCGTGTATGTATGCAGATTGCATTAAGTAGTTACTCTTCACACTTAATCTTCTATACGCCCTGTATGTATATCGTGTGTTATCCAGATCTAGTTTCGTCTTGTGAAAAACAATTGGGTAGGCCGCCGTCGTCGCCGTCAGCGACTCATTGCTTTGCAAAAGAGAATGGCTAACATCTATATAAAGGTCTCCACAAGTAAGGATGATCTGATTAAGTGTTTGCAGCTTAAACATATTATATCAATCTTCGACGTGCTCTTCATTCGTTGTCATAAAAAAGAATAAAGTGTGTTATTTTTCGATTTCGTTTCGATTTTCCATTTCAGCTAGTTCAAAATTCGAAAAAATTACCATTCTAATCATTTCGATTATAATCCAATTAACTATTCTAATTAATATTTTAAAAAATATATATAGAATTAGTTCAATTTTGTGCTTTCGTTCTATTTTCTTTTTAGATTTTTTTTAATCGAATAACTTTTTTTTGGATTAGATGAAAGTGTTACTTGTGATCTCGGCCATAGTGTCGATTGTTAGTGCTGGTGTTGGACCAATCGTGATCATACCATCAACGTCCACACTCCTACGATCACCACAGCGTGATTCGGCCATTGTTCAATCGGAACGATTAGGTGGAAATTTTGCATATGCCATTGCTGAAGGACAATCATTTCAAACAGTATCACCTCTTATAGCTAGTGTAATATACATAAATCATATTGTTGGTGGTTACACGGCTTGTACTTTCGTCTAAATTTTTGGTTTTTTTTTTGTATTATTTAGAATCTTCGTGCTATTGATAATTTGGGTGTTTCATATGCCATCAATCCGTTCCCAATATTGACGGCCCCAACAACAATCTTGCTTCAATCACAGCCAACATCAGAAGAAGAACAACGTAAGTGTTGTTCATACATATTTATTTTTTGTTTCGTTGAATTAATTATTTGATTCAATGTAAAAATGGATTTGAAAACCTTTTTGAAAATTGTAGGCGAACAGCAAAAAGCAAAGGATTTATTGCAAAAGCAAAGAGATGAATTACAAGAGGCATTGGATCGTCAACGTGAAGAGGATGAACGACAATTGCAAGAGGCCGTTGATCAACAAAATCTATTAAATCAACAAGCATTGGAGCAGCAAAAACAATTAATTGAATTACAACAACAATGGCAACAGGAACAACAAAATATAATCGCCAGTGCGGGCGGTGTCAGTGTGCCTGGAATTTCGATTGTTCCAGCTTCACCAAGCAACAATAATGGCGATAATCCACCAAACAATAATAGTAGTGACAACGAGGACAACAATGAAAATAATAGCAATAACAATGGTGATGATAATGAAGCTGTAGTCGTGGAAAGCGATGCAATCGCAAAAGATCAACAACAGCAGCAACCTGAATCCGATCAAGCAAAAAATCAATAATGATAAATAAAAAAAAAACATCGGCAGGAAACTAATCCAAGCACAGCAACATAATTAAATATACCAATGAAGCGACATATATCTTTAGCATAATTCAATTTCAAATGGGCATATAATCTCTCGGTTCGGATTCTATGTGATTTTGAAAAGAAAGCGGCTTCCTTCCCCGAATGACGCAATATTTATCTGTTTGTTTGCCTTTTATTTCTTTTCCAATGCAATAAACTACAAAAAAAAACACACACACAATATTTTTAAAAATCTGAAATCTAAACCATTTGAAGCACACAAAATAAAATGTGTTTTGTACGAAATTTATTGAATTAATTAGTATGCTACTCACTGTATTCATGTGATTGTTTCCTTATTTTAATTTTTTTTTTGTTTCGTTTTCTGTATTGCCTTTATGCGTCACATTATTATTTAGTATGTTTGATTATCGGTCCGAGCTATGTTTATTCTTGTATCCGTTGAGTGGAATAAATATGTACCTTTTTGACGCAATAACTTCAAATGATTCAAATAATGTATGCTACTGCCGTGTTTTTTGTTTTTATTTTCTCTCATTCTTCTCAAAATACATTATAACATTTTCATTTTTGGGATCTGTTTATTTCTTTTAAAAATTTGACAGTACAAAACAATAACTCATGATTTTCTTTTGAAAAATAATAATAATAATAATATTTCTAACATGTCAAGCATTTCAAATAACGACAAACTTCAATAGTTTAAACGTATTCTAATCTGAATGTTTGGCTTTTCTTTGTTTTGAAAAAATGAAGGAATGTGTTTAATAACTCTAGCTTCCAGATATATGTGAACAAAAATAATAATATAATTTTTACTATCGTCTTATAAACAAAATCTAAGCCTAAATGTTCGTTAAATTTTCTGTGATGTTCAATTTCGTAGTGGCTCGTAAAATAAATAAATATTTAGTTATTTCGTTGGAATGAGCCTTGAACGAAAGACTTAAATGGGAAGAATGCTTAATGCACAACATAAATACATTATATCGTAAATTCTTATGATTCGATCCATTTTATTTATTCAAATCATTTAATTTTTTGCAATATTCTGTGAGCCACTCACAAAACTACCTTGCGATCCATTCGATGAAGAAAATGATGATTGACCTTGCGATCCATTCGATGAAGAAAATGATGATTGACCTTGTGACCTGGATGATGGCGACGAACTTCGAAAGCCTACACCACCACCATTACTAGCGTTGCTAGTGACGGCGTTTTTGTTGTTTCTGTTTTCACTATCGCCAGCCGAATTCGAGCCCGAACCAGATGCTGCATTGGATGATGTTGATGTTGATGAAGATGATGATGTGGAACGAATGCCTACACCTGAACTTTGGGCATTTCCAGAAGTGCTTGGGGCCGATCCTCTTAATCGAGCATCATTCACAACACCTCTATTCGCTGAACGATTTCCATTAACGCCACCGTATGCTGCATTATTACTAGCGGCCGTTCTAAAACCATTATTATTTAAATCATCAATACCGCTGCCATCATAACCACCATTGACATCGTTTACTTTTCCATTTCCAATTCCATTGTTAACGCCATTATTGATACCACCATTATCGCCATAATTGGCAGCCGGATTAAATCCACCACCTTGACTCACACCATTTTCGCGATCGAAGTAAATGGGATTTAGCGCATCAGCGACCGTGCCATATGCTGATTGAGGTGGTGCTGGACCATTTAAACCTTCATCAAACACAAACAAAATTTGAAGTGAAACAATTTTTTTCCAACTGAATTAACTGTATTAAATATTGATGAAATAAAATTACCTGCTACACCTGGAGCGATTGGTGTGGCGACTGGAACTCCGGAATTGGCGAATCCGGGAACAAGTCCAGCGGTATTTCCTACTCCACCAACATTTCCATTACCACCGACATTTCCAACTCCACCGGCACCTGGTGCTCCACCAAAATTGCTTCCAATCGGTGCTTTTTCGCCACCAATACTGCCGTCAATAGCTGTCGGAGTTATACCAGCATATGGTCCATAGGCTGTCTGAGGCAAAACGCCAAAATGTGGTAAATATGCTGACTGCGGGTAACCAGAGAATTGATCGTAGATCAATGGATATGAATTGTACGCAAATGGTGCAAGATTCACTGGATTTTTGCCCGGTGAAAGTTGAATTAAACTCGGCGGAAAACCAAACTCATTCAATGGAATCGGTGATTTTTCAGTGTTTGTATTTTGAATAACAGCCGTTTCATCTTTTCCAGCACTTGCACTTCGCTGTACACTTTCATCGGTTGCCGCATTCACATTGATCGTTCCATCGGCATTGGCACCATATTTTGGTACATATGCAGCCGATTCAAATGGATTGAAACCGAATGGATCATAATAACCACCGTATGGAGTATATCCATAGGGTCCATAAAAGAATGGATCTTGAAGTGCTGGTTGTATTACGGGATAGGCACGGCTTGGTGTTAGATTTTGATCGGTCGTTATCAATGCATTGTAAACTTTTGGTGTTCGCAACAATGCGGCTGCATCGCATTCAAAAAATGCGATCATACATATAATAACCTGAAATGAAATGGAAAGAAAAAAAAAACAAACAAACAAGTTATCTAAACAATTGTCTTTAACCTGGAATGCTGCACAACCATATGCGAAACACAGGCGAAAATAGTGAAATGTCATTTTTCATTTTGTTTTTATTTTTTCGTCGGTTTCAACGACAACTTTGGTTTTGGTTCATAAAAAAACCAATCGGATGCTAAAATAATAATTGAAGACAAACATTGTAATGAGCAACAAAAGATAACGATGAAATTTATGAGGAGTGCACACAGAGATAGTTGGTTGCCGCGAAAGTCGAAAAAAAAATACGATTTCTACTTTTCTATTCCCATTGACACGACACGAAATTGAAATTGAGCATTAAGTCAATAAAAACATTCAGCAAAAATGGTGTTTGTGTGTTTTTTTATTGTAAATTCAATTGAAAGATTTATGTGTAGACGTATTTGTATGTGGGTAGAGATTTACACCTTGTTTGCTTTTGTTGAGTGGCATTCTCATATTTTCTCTCATCGTGTGGTTTATTGGCGTGACAATCAGCATAAGTATGTACATGCGCTCGCGCGCGTTTGTACAATTTATAATATATCTTTAGCTCTCTTGTGCTGATCTTCGATATTCCAGATGAATGATAAAAATTAGGTCTCGCGCGCGCTCGCAATGGTAATACAAGAACAAAAAAATAAGAAGAAGTAGTTTAAACCAGATCGTGTTAAGTTTGATTTAGTTTCAGATTCACGTCGAATGTGTCAGAACATTGTAGGTGTCGGAAAAAAGTCGATGATAAAGAAAAACAAAACTAAAAGAATATATTCAATTCAATTGTTTTAATTACATGAACTTAGACAACTAGTTACCTATCTACCATATGCGTGCGCGCACAAAGGGCAGAAATTAAGAAGAAAAAAAGAGTATATATTTTCACAGTTATTCGCGTGTAATTTGCTCCATCTGCGGCAATTCAAAATGCTTTTGCAATATGAAACAAACAAACGAAAATTGTTTCACTGCTCTACATTTCATTTGCTCCTCTTTTTTTTAAATTGTTGCTTATTTTTATTTGAATAACATTTTTTTTTTTGGCAATATTACCATCACGATTAATTTCATGCGGCAAACACAAAAACACACAATAATGCATGACTTGATGTAGATCATGACTCTTGCTAAACTTTTATTTTCGATTTGTTATCCATTCTGATGCTGCATGAATCTTTGTGCAAAGTTGTCTGACATATTTGCCGAATATATTCAAAATAACGTTTCGTTACTCCGTCTCTTTCTCAATATTGGCAATACTTGAATGCGTTTCATTTTCGTATGATTTTCTTCGAATTAATTACAACAAAACCGACGAACAATTGTACAGCTTGCATTGTTTATTGGCTCCGGCATATCACCGACGATGACGACGACGAGGCCTTCAAAATCATAAAATTTTACGTTGAAATTTCGCTTGCAATATTTATTGCGCGTTTTCTTTCAAATGTACATTGAATTGGTGCGGGCGCGCGCATGCACTCACTCTCACTATCTCATTCTGTCTTCCAATCTTTTTTGCTGTCACTCTATGCGCGCTAGCCTCTTGTTCGTATGCATCAATGGCAAGCTATTAATGTTATGAAGTCGCTAATGTGCTACAACCAAGTCATATTTATGATTATTTTTATTTTATTTTTTCGTTGTAATGCGCCGACGTTTGTTTTTTGTTTTGTTTGGTTTACAAAAACGAAAATTCGAAATTCATGTATACAATCATGTGAATTAAGCGATGTGGTAAATTTTGTGGCAAGTCCATAGAATTATTTGACTGATTATAGTTGGTAAAAATAAAGCAACCAAAAACACATCGAGAAAACATGAAAAAAAATGTGCTTTGTTTCTTTGTTCTAATATTCTGCAGCAGCACAAGCAAATGGTAAATGGTTGGCTGTCTCTGTTTTTCTTGTGTGTTTCAAATTAAAATTGGCGCACTTTTATGCTACCAACTACTATAATTCAGTGATATAATCTGGCTCATTTGAGTCATACAGTTTCAATAAGTTGTTACGAATCAACTATATAATAACAACTCGGTTGACTCAAGATACGAGCACGTAAATAAAAAAAAAACACAAAACAAAACAAAGCGCATAGCAAAAAGATATATACAAATTACATTCGATTGGTACACATTTCGCTTCTAATAAGATTGCATATATGCAGAATACGCGCGCGCACTTCAATCGTGCTTTAATGTCTGTATGGGCTTTTTTCACAACCGTTTTCGGTTGTTCGCTGTCGATATTTTTGTTGTTGTTGTTTTAGTTAATTCAACTCTGGATGATTTGCAGCCGGAGATAAAGTAATTTTAATAAATACCTATGTTTTTATACAAGTTATTCATTATTTCTGTTTCGCCTCTTTCTTAACACATTTTTTTTTTTTGCATTTGTCGAAATTATTGCCATGCTCTGAGGCTAAGAGTTAATCAAATAAATGTTAACATTTCATCAGTGATTCAGAGAAGCAGAAAAAAACCATACAGAAATACACCATGTACAAATTTTAATGTGCTCAATTCAAGTTTGTTTACAGATAATGATCGGATTTTAATAGAGTTAAATTAATTTGTAATTATCTCAAGTGATTTACTTGAATGTTTAAATGATTGATTCGGGTAACAAATTTAGGTAAAAATTATATTAAAGTCTGATTTTGGTCAAATTATATTTGGGGTTAGTCAGACAGACAGATAGGACAAAACGAGATCATCACATCGTTCGTGTATTTGTTCGTTTCGTGGATGAATTTTTTTTATTGAATTTAAATATAGTTTCTTGACCAAGGAAAATTCAATAAAAACTATAACAGAAATTTAAAGAGTGAAAGAGAAAGATATAAATCGAAATATATACTTCACCATACCTGTAAATTTGTTTTAACGTCCATCTTCGGAAAATGTCGATGTTGTTTTTTTTTGCCTTGCCAATCAACCAACAATTATGACTTTGAAATTATGCTTTTTTACACTGTAATCAAAAATGGAAGAAAATGAGAAGTACTATTATTTAACACAATTCAAATTTGTAAATAACGTGAAATATCCGGATGATATTTTCATCAATTTTTTCTTTACATTTAACTGTAAATAGATGACTGACTAATTGCACGAACTTATCTCACTTTCTTCGTGTATACATACGGAAAACAACGTTTAAATTTAAGAAATAGAAATAAAATAAATATGGGAAAATCTAAGTAACAGTCTTTACATTGAAATTCTCCTTTTTTTATTGTTGTTGTTTTAAAGAACACGAAATAACAAAACACTCACAAATGCAAAATATTCAATGATTTTTGATGTGCGCACACAGAGAAAGATAGAAAGAGAATGAATGTGTATATATTATTCACTTGATAACGATGCTTAGAGAGTACAGAGTGTTGCAAATGCGCGCGAACTCGTTACTGTCTGAACATTGTCAAATATTGAATGCAAATGAAATGCTGGAACACAACGTTTTACCTTTATATATTCCACCTTTCTTCGCCGGTTGTAAAGAAGAGAAGAGAGAAGAAAAAAGCACATGCGTTCACGTCGAAACGTCAGCGCTTTATTTATTCTGTAAGAGACGCAAGTCGATTCACTCTTTCTCGATGTAAGTACAGTGAAGTGCTGTAAGCGAGTGTTCTTTTGGGCAAAACGAACACCTCACACATAAATCGTACAATCGCTTGGCATGAGTGATTGACTGTTTGGTGTGCATGTATTGGTTGCGCTTTTCATGTTGCACTAATGCAATTCTATTTTCGGGGTCTATCGACCACAATACACTTTTGAAACAACTGTACAGTGATTCATTGGGATATTTTGTGATGCGATGGGCGCGCGTGTGCGTTTTATTCTACGTAAATCATCATTAATTAAATAATTACAATCGATCTGCATACGAGAAATTAAATATTAGATAGCACAATATGTTCCGTTTGAAAACGATTACGCATTAACCTCTGGCCCACGGCAATGCAAAACTTTTGTTTTTTCTCAATCGCAAATATGAAAATTATCCCATTTATAAAGGCGTTTCTTTTGACACAAGTTCAAAAACGATCGCTGTTAAATACTACAAATCAAAATCGACGCCATCGTCGTCGTCGTCGACGAAATCATCAATTCCGAAATTAATAAAAGCATACATTAGAGTGAAATATTCCAACGAGAAATCTATTAAATGTCTATCTGTCTCGAAAAATTATACACTTTGATCGATTTTGCTGATTTATTTGTCATGATTCTGTGAGGCGAGAATTACGTAAAATAACCAATTGTGTTTGATTCATTGCAATTGTTTGCCTAGTTCTCAAACCATCGTATAAATGGACAATTATTATTCATTTGCTATTGCAAAAGAAGAAAGAATGTAAAAAAATACAATACTCGACTGTATACTTAATAGTTGTCCATCACGAATTCTTGTGTAATTCTATCAAATTATAAATGTGCATTTTTTTATTCCAACGAAATTATTCCGGAGTAGCCGTTAGCAAAAGAACAAGTCACTGTAAGAAATGTTTTGCTTTTTTTTCGTTGACGAATGGAATTGTGGTATCAATATGAGCTCTCGCAAATTTTCCGGCAATCACACTTAATTTGAATTTGACAAAAAGGCTCCATACAAAAAAGAAACAAGTGGTCCACAATAGTATTGTGATCGAATGCAAAAAGCTTTATTCTACTAGCTAAAAGATGGCGTCCCATAAGCTTTTGCCAATGTAAAACTCCATTTTTCTCCACTTTTTTCGGCAATTATTACTATAAACAATTTAGAGTTGATTGAACATTTTCATTCTAGAAATAAAATAATTTTTTTTGTTTGTAAACTCTTTAAGTTTAAACTTTTGGTTTATTTGCGGTTTTGTTTGTGCCATCTTCTAGTATTTAAAAAGTATGCCATAAAAAGAAGCCATTTTCTAATGAATAAGTACGTTGATAGTGTTACAATTATGAAAATCTGATTAAATTATTTAAAAAAAAAAAAATTACGCCAATGAATTAACTAACTAGAAGAGTATTTTGCTGGTGAGTCGAGCACGTGAGCGATTATGTGCGTCTAAATTTAGCACAGTTTCATCGCCATTCAAACATTCATTGAATGAGTTGGCAGGTCGAAATGCAACAATTTGATACTTCTGTTTAAATAAATTCGTTGCCAATCAGCGAGTAAAATAGTACATAGTGTATAATTTTATCCAAATAATAACATTTTCCGTACCAATCTAACCCCACCTACGCGTCATAAATGACAGTTCTGTTTTCAGCATGTTGCTGTTGGTTGTAAAGTAGGCGTCACAAAGTGAAAAACACGCCTCTCTATCCACAAAAATACACAAACAAAATAAAAACAAACATGTGATTTTATTCGCAACATCGCATCGGATTTTGCAACAGAAACACAATATATGCACCGCAACACCAATCTCCATTGGTAAAAACCAATCAACGTAACAAATCGAAATAAAACTGTTGAAAATGCATTCAAGTGTAGTAAACATGATAAATTCTTTTGCATACAAGCACGCACACATGCTACAACCGCTCAACAGTTACTATTGTAATGAAAATATAATCATTTGAGCACTTCGATGGAATTAATTCACATTTTCTGCGTGCCGATCAATCATTATATCACTTTAATTCAATTCAATGCAAATTTGATTGGAGCAAAGACATTATTTACGAAGAAATATCTTCAAGTCAATATAAGTTCATGAACGAAGCGAATGTTTTTAGATAAAATCGAATAAAATAGATGAAGATGTAATATAAAGCCGTCGGCAAACCTTGCTTTGATACCGACTCAATTCAATTGATGATACGGTTTAACTCACTTAAAGTAGCTAGCAAAAATATCATGAATAAAATGAAAAAAATATTTGTGAAATTCAAATAAGAAAGAAATTCTAATTAAAAATAGATTGAAAAGTAACAAAAGTACAAGAAAAAGTAAATTTCATGAGATTTGAATCTGGTTAAAAAAAAGTGCACGATTGTTGAAATGGCAAAAAAAAAATATGAACAAAAACTAAACACTGTGTAGCGTTCAACTAATGAATACAAATGACAAAATTATATGTATATTTGATGTCGCGAACGCGATACTACAAACAATATTCACAATTGTTTCGAGCAATAAAATATTTTATATTAAATTATGAAAATGTTTGCTGCATTGTAGTTGCTGCGTTGGATGAAAACAGCAAATACACAAAAATATGAAAATAAATGGCATAAATTACAGAAATTTTGACGTACAAAAACAAAAGGCCACCCTTCGTCGTGCAATAATTTTCATTTGCACTATAAGTGTGATGTGACAGACACAAGTCTGTTGCAAGTGTAAATTGAAATTAAATTCATTTTCCACAGTATCCGACCAAAATAAATTGTGCTCGTATATTTGTATGCGTATCGCTGTCTCTCTTTCTCGCTTCCATGTATCCATCCGTATCCATCGCATTTATGTATATATCCAGATAGATTGTGCTTATGTAATTGTGGCAGTGTAACGTTCCGTGCCTATTTGCCAATGTATACACACACAAAGAGAGAGAGAGAGCGAGAGAGTGCAGAATTTCACACATAAAATACAGTTTATATTTTTCACATTTCTCTCATGCGATATGGTCATTGTAGGTAATATATGGTATGTATCCATCCGTGTTGAGTCAGCCACAGATACACTTATAAAATGGTTTTTAGTACCACCCCTTGAATATTGTATTAAACTGTATTCAAAATGGATATTAAATATGTTGTATCGAGCGCCAAACCGAAACCAAACAGACACCTTTGAACGTGTAGCGTAACGTACAAAAGCAGTAACTGAATCTATATATCGAAATAATGTATACAAATGATGTGTATTGTATGTATGTAGCGAGAGTAAGGTCGGTGAATACGAAGAAAATGATGATAAAGAGACAAAAGCAAGCAATGACACACAGAGAGATGGTAAAAAAAAGAAATATCCACCCCTTAATGTATAGGCAATGCGCTACATAAAATATGCCACACCATTTAGGTCAAAGATTGCTTGCGTTTACTCGCTTCAAATAGACACCTAGATGAAGCTGAATGAATACGCCGAATTGCACATATACATGTATGCACAATATGCGTGCGAATCCATTCGCTCAGCAGTGATACACATGTAGCGATCTCAAACGGTAACTGGTAAGATGTGTTGAACTCACAACAGAAACAAATTTCTATGCATTGAACGAGTTTAAGAAGACTTTAAAAAAGAAAAAAGATAAGCAAGTAAACTGTACTCTTTAAAGAACCAATTGCAATCTGAAACTTTACATTTTTAAGCCTCTTACGTCCATGATTGACATATCAGCAAAAGTTAACTCTTTTACATGGAACAGTAAAAGACTCAAATTAAGTGATATTTTGCAGAAGAATGATCCATTTGTTGAAGATTGTGCGTTAAAAGATGTTACATGCTAACGATTTTCACGTTTTTATCTCATTCAAAACTACACATCTCGTGTGTGATCATATTATTAATTTTTTTTAGCTTGAAATGCTTTTTTTTGCTGCAAATACATGCTCGATCATTCTGTGAGTGCACACAAACACATTGACCAACTCGTTCGGCTCAACTTCAATTTTCCAATAGAAAGAGCCGAGTGTGATTTGAGAAATGTTCGCTACTGTGCTTCTTCTTAGCCTCACTACCATTTGCTCAGTGGCGCGTTCGATTTGTGTGCCATCGATTCAAATGGAAGTGGGCCTTTCGCATGTGTGCAATTCATATCCCTGCCTGCCTTTCAGCCTGCCTGCTCTCCTGCACGTGTGCTTACTTGCGCTTGTGTAGCATCGAAAATTACGTGCCATTTCATTGTGGTTGTGTGTTGCTGCTACCAATGTTATACAGTTGAGAGCCAACGACTGTGACGGCAATAATGTATATAATGTTGTATTCAATACGATTCACATTTTGTTTGTGTTCTTTTTTTTCCTCTTCTACTTCGTTTTTGTTCTTTTTCCAACTCTCTATTTTTCGTTTCATTTCATATTGATGTGTGTTTTTCCTCTCTGTCTCACTCTTGCCCCTTGTTTCTCTTGTACTGTTGTCGTTTTCGTTGCCGTTGCCATTTGTTGTAGTGGTTGTTGATGTGGGTATACTTCCCAACCTGAAATATTAACATTTTCAAATGGATTTGGTTGGTTGGATAAGAATTATTATTATTTTTTCGTTTCAGTTGCATTTGAATGTTTGACGTGTAACGTTGTACTTGTGTCGTTCCTGGTTGTATCAATCTGTAGCTTATTCACACCATCAACCATTCATCATAATACTTGTTTCATTCGATTTACAAATTGATATTTTCAATTTGAATGAAAAAAGGTTTTTTTTTTCAATTTTTCCAACGATTTACACAATTTAGAAACATTTAATGCGATACCACAAAAAAAGCACACATCCAATTTGATATGAACTTTTCTAAGGCGAGAGTAAAAATAAGTTTATTGGTGTCGATTAGTTTCTTTTTTTCGTTAGTGTAAAGAATTGTTTCCAGTTTTGTTTTTCGCTTTGAATTGTAGTGCCTTTTGAGGAAGTAATAGACAATGACTTACCAAACCTTGAATTAAAATTGAATCCGAAACAAATAAGCGAAGCGTTGAAGTGATTTCAAGTGAATTTTGATAATGTGCACATAAATATGATCGATATTTTTCAATTTACATGATATTTGTGACCGAACAAAAGAAAAACGAAATAATATTTTCGGGTGTCATTGACTGAAAACAAACCGTTTCATAAAGACAAAGATCAAAAAAGATTTTAAATATTTAGTTGGTTTTTCAAAGTAATATGAGTCTACCTAGTGGTGTTGATATGACGAATCTAATGTCGCAACATCCAGTCTTGGGAGCTTTGCCACCGGCTTTCTTTCTACGTGCCGCATCTGAACGCTATCAACGCACACCAAAATGTGCTCGATGCCGAAATCATGGTGTTGTAAGTACAAAAAGCCAAACAAAAAATAAGACCATTATCAATTTGTGTTGATTTGAAATATTTGGTTTAATTGCCATTATTCATCAAATCCGTAAACAGTAAAATGCATCCGAGTTGAAAAGAACAATTATGACTTGAGATGAGAAGAAAATAATTTCAAATTAACATGACTTAATGATGGCTTAACAATTTCATTTTCTATGTTGTGTTTAATATAACGTTTTGGTGTTTGTCGAATGGCATTGTAACTTCAAATCCACGAACACTTATTACTTCATTACGGCTTTGCATTAACTGTAAAGTGGCTTTTATTATTTTAAATTAAGCGGGGAGAAAAACGGTACAATAATTAAATGCTTTATCTCCATTGCGTATGAGTATGTTGTGTATTACCATATGTAAGTGTTCTCATTTATATAGCCAGTTAAATGGCAAAAATTTTCCAACCGACCTTTCCATTTGCTATGACGATTTTCATATTTGCTTCTTTTTCACATCTCTGGCACAATGTTTGCTACACAACCACTAACACTTTTGTTAAGAATCACATCGAGGCAATTCTTTTAAATGTTGAATAAATTCAGTTTGTATTGGTTAAATTAAACACTCGACAGTACAAGCTTTTTGATGATGACGATGACGAAGAAGAAAAAAACAGTGTTGGTGACATTCATCTAACACTTTTGTTATTAATTTATGAATGTTGTTCATTGCGTCGGAAGTTTATTTATAATTTGTTTTTCTTCACTCTTCTAACAATAAGGGTGTCATTCAAATCATGCTCATTTTCAGTTTGCAAATGTGACGGTTGATGAATAACTTTCCCTGTGATTTAGAATATATTTTGATGTTTTGAGAAATTCGCTCGCATTCGTTTCATTCAAATACGGCAATTTTCTAATTATTTTGTTGTTCCTAGCTACAGAAGAACAAAAGAAAATAAATGATATTTCATTTAAAGCTTATACATTAATTTTGTTTAACTGAATTGTGATAGGTGAGTGCGTTAAAGGGTCACAAACGATACTGTCGATGGCGCGATTGCGTTTGTGCTAAATGTACACTAATTGCTGAACGACAACGGGTTATGGCCGCACAGGTGAGCCTATATATAAATTAAAAAAGAACGAACTCTTTTTTTGCATTCACTCATTGAAATTGCCAATGAGAGCGAAAATATATGAGAAAAATTTATCGAATAAAAAACATTTCTTATTGGATGTGTGTCTGTATGACGATTAGGTGGCATTGCGACGGCAACAGGCACAAGAAGAGAATGAAGCGCGTGAATTGGGTTTATTGTATTCATCAGTGCCAGGCCAACCACAACAACAGCAACCAGCTAGAAAACAGCAAACAGAAAACAATATTCAACCACCGGGAAATTATCACACAGGCCTATCCTCACCGCACAATGATCATGAGATGGGACAACGTGTTCACTTCAGTAGCAGTGAGTCAGGTAAACAATTTAAAATCGGCATATTTGAAGGAATTCGTTTATTTTGGATTTTCAAGCGTTATCACTCTTTAATCTATTAAATCCTTCGTTAAGATTAGAAGTGTATGAAAAAAGCACAGAAACAGCGGTTACTAATTTATTTATTGCTTCTGCTATTTTACATGCAACGGTTCTTGGCCAATGTGACAGATGTCGAATCTCATCATCAAAGGATTAGATCCGATCGTACTGGAACTACTTATTCACCGGAACGCATCGATAACGAAAGTCCGGGTAAGTAATATTTATAAATAAATAAATGTTAGAAATGTTACAATTATGCAAATTCGAATGAATCCACAAAATGCCAATACCATTTAGTGTATATGAATCGATTTTGTTATGTTCATATTTGTGAATTATTCGTATTCATTCGCATGTACAGTTTTTGCCATTTTCGATCTGTTCAATATGGTTTGCCATATAAAGTTTCTTGCATTCAAACAAAATGCAATAATTTCACACACAAAAACACAATTACAAACCTAATATTGGACGTTCACTTGGCTTTGAATTGACTTTTATTTTCAATTAATGAATATTTAATCGATTTATAAAGCAGAATTTTATTTAAATAATTGACTTTTTTTGTAACGAATGTTACAACAAAAAAAAACACAAATGTAACAAATACAAGTTCAAGGTTTTTCTTTTCATTGAAAATTAACAACGGAACCATAAATATTTGATAAATTATACAAGCTGGGGTGTAAAATTGACATCTCCGACGGCATTTAATCTAGATTTAGATTTGCGGTAAAAAAATGGTTATCATTTGCACCTCACCCATCAAAGACACACTTTGAATCACATTCGTTCGACTAATGAAAAGCTATAAATTGAAAAGTAAACGTACATGCTAAGCGATCAGTCTGAAAATGAAGAAGAGGTTGCATGAAATGGTCAATTTGTTGTTTCTGTTTATTTCATTTGCAAATATAAAAATAATAATTTAAACATCGAAAGTGACTCTTGGTTTTGTGTATTTTTCTTCTATTTTTCCCCATTCAGTCTCCTTCCCTCTCGGTCTCTCTGTTTTTCCCACAGACACGCTCACAATTGTAAAGTTTTATTTTTGAAAAGTCCATTTTTCTGCATTATTTATTTTCGACAAATAATCGACAAAAGTGGTTGGAAAAATAGCAACGGTTCTCTCTGATCATGGCCATAGTTCATAAGTGATAGCTACAGAAATACACTTACAAACAAAAATCCATCGAAAAAAAAGACGCATTCAAATGTCGTTGCAAAAAGAAAAAAAACCACGTGAATTTAATTGTGTATAATGTGTTTTAAACCAACTAAAAATCAAACGAAATAAAGGAAACAACCATTTATATAGAGTGATTACATGGTTGAATGAGTATGGTGCGCGTACACACAGCTCCACATTGCTCCCTTCAATTGTACGCTTACTTATGTGTTGATTTTTCGCTGTTGCGTGAAAACCAAATATCAAATTCGCATTCGAAAGAGAGAAAAAAAAAACAATAACAACAACAGAATAAAATTGTGTGTGTGCAATGCAACGAGATGAATTTACAGTACGCATTCATCAATGTCCATTCAGTTTGCAATTTTTAAATATAAAAGCGTGTTTTTTTTAAATTGTTAAGTTTTTAAATTCAAACAACTTGAACAAAATGAAATCAAAATAAAAGTATATACTTTCAGCAGGACTTTTTAAATATACATTTCTTACCTTTTTCGATATTCATCAAATTTTAAACACACAAATCTACGGCGCAATGACCAATGGCCAAAAAGAATAGGGTCGAAACTGAATGAATAGCAGAAAAATTGTAAAATAAAAAATCATTCACCATTTAAATGGTTGAAAGCGTCCACTTCACTTTAAAAACGACGAGTGAGATAGAGCTCAATCTCGAATATAATGCAATCGGCGATAGTAAGCATTTTGCACATGAGCAAAAAAGACACACACACACAGAGAGAGAGAGAGAGAGAGAGAGAGCGAGGGTAACTAAAAAAAGAATGAGGAAGCGAGAAAGAGATATATAGAGAGAGACGCAAAGAGAAAATGACATTAAAATAAAAACAAACTATTGAATGTTGAATTTCCCATTCAATTTCGGCGATTTCAATTGGTTTCGCAAAATACAAAAATTATACCAATTATTTTAATCGTTTACCAAAATGAAATTTTTGTGTTTCCGAAAAATAGTTGGCTCTCTCTTTTTGGCCGTCATTTTTTTATTATCCCATTAAAAGTCGATTTTTGTTTAAATGATTCCATCGACGATTTATCTATTTTTTCGTATTTTTGGGGGAAATTAAATTCGATGTTGTTATGCAGTGTTACAATGAAATTGGTTATATCGAACTAATTATAATCGTTTATTTAATTAATTGGTCAATGTAATAAACTGATGACCGAAGTGGTGAAAAAAAATGCACGAGCGAATTGAATCTGACATAAATGAATAATATAAAATTTAATGAAAAAGTTTCAGTTGTAAATGTGATTTTTGCATTAAGATATTTCTTTTTTTTATACATTTATCGATATACTATGATCGACCCCAATCATAGCACGATGCCCAGCATCTGATTCATTTCATTTTAATTGTTCATTTATATTAATTCAAACTTCACACAAATGTACGCGCGATAATTATCAGAATTGCTGTGAGAGAGAGAGAGAGAGAGAGAGAGAGAGAGAGAGAGAGAGAGAGAGAGAGA